GGGGGGGGGAAAACAACACTGTTTGCAGGAGGGAAGGAGAAACAAACAGACAAACACCCCAGAAATGCATGCGTGAAAAATTGAATGCAGGATTTTGTCTCGTAGATCAATCGTATATCAACGCGAAAAGCTTTACCGCCGGAAGAGTGCGCCAGCTTCATCCCGACCCCAATCGAGCTCTACCTGGCCTTCGTAAACACTGTCGATGATCATTTTAGTGCGATCATAAACATCCGTGTATCGGTTCTCACACTCTTTGAACACCTTGAACACAAGACTGCGGCTAAGTCCAGGGTCGTCTGCGTCGCCAAAATGTTTCTCAACACGCTTCTTGAGAAGATCTGCCCCGCGTCTCAACTCCTTGACATCATACGACGCCATCAACTTCTTCACCACGTGTTTCGAATGGCTCGTACGTGTGGCAATGTCTGTTGGGTTGCTTGTATTCGCGCGAAGGGATTCCGTTGCCTCTATGAAGTCTAGCAGTTTCCCGAGAGGACGGCGAATGACCGCATCCATATAGAGTTTCATATGCTCGTGATAATCCTGATATGCTCGATCACGCCATCGTTCGAGAACGGTGATACTCCGGGTATCCACTTCTTCAATATAATGATTCATGTTCTCGATGAGAAGAATATGATAGTTGAGAGCTTCTTTGTCTTCCGGGTCACCTACCCCAGTAGTAGCTCCATTGGTTTGACCAGGAGCTTCTTTGGCAATGAATTTCAAGCTTTCCCACATAGCACGGTTGATTTTATTATACGCTTCGTTGACAGCCAGGCGGACATCAGAGAAATTAGACGATGTTTGGCTGGCTAGCATGTTTTCAACGGCCGCAGAAAAGTTGGGAAACGTGCGCATAAAGGAAATAACACCTTTTCGTTTATTGATTTTCACCTTTGTCTCTTCAATTCCTCTGATCTGCTGGTCAACGAACCGGTTGAATAAGCCATTCAGACGATTGAGCAATTTCTGTAATGTGTGCACAATGAAATCCTGATTTGTATCGTCAAATTCAGATACCGCCCCTTCAAGGGCAGCTAACACTCCAACTCCTTGTCTGTGAAGAAAATGGAAAAGTCAGATCATGTGATATAGACCGCAGCGTCTTGATCGATTACTTACAGTTGATCAACATTTAAGACCCAATCGACAAGGTTCTGTATATCAGTTGCCCAGAACGAAAAGATGCCATCCATAATTTGCTCGACTCGTTTGGCAAGTTCCCGATCAGGATCGTGCAATTGCTTTAAGCTGAAGTCCGGAAGCCGTCTCTCATCAGGATTACTAGCCGACACAATGTCCGGGAACTCCGCATTTGCAAGTGAATTCAGGTGAAAGAAATGGACAGCAAAGTTTTGTTCTTCAGAAATCATTCTGATCGTTTCATGCAGCGTACCGGCGAATACCTCAAACGCTTCTAGCCTGCCCTGTTGCCTTTCACCTATAGGTTTCGCTGCATGTGGAGCGCGAACAGTCTTGCCTCTTCTGACAGTCAATTTACGCGCTGCATTAGTTATACCTTCGCTTTCTTTTTCCTTCTCATGATGGGTAAAAAGAAGCTCATTTTCTTCGCCGGAGCTCTTCTTGACGGCCTTCTTCCAAGCCGCAATATTATTCCTTATTTCGCTTTGATATGGCGCTTTGGCGTCATGTTCGTACAAATTGATTATCATAGCCCATTCCGTTGAGCTGACTTCCCGAGCAAATAGCATAAGAGCGTAGTACAGCCAGAGATCCTGACGGGCTGCATTGCGAGCAGTATTATCAAATTTCGTGGCACCGCTCATAGAGCTTGATGCCATATTCGCCCTTGTCTGTTCGCTGGCTTTAAATGCGATGGACATGAACTGCCTGAGACGTTGTAAGAAATAGCGCGCCTCTGCTCGGTACTCATCTTTCTTCTCCCGAATTGCGCGCATTTGCCCAATTTCGGTATCAGCATAGACGCCGACACTACTAGAGTCACCGGCGGCATCGGCCATGCGCTTTTTGTTGTGATGTATATCAGAATCAATGGTCAACATTGCCTTGTAGAGTATAGACAAGCTAGTTTCCGTTTCATGTATGCCATCTGCGCCATTTAACGACGCCTCTTTCAACGGTCGTAGATCCTCGGTTGAAATGGATAGTGTTTGTAGAAGATTTTGCAATTCACTTTGAAGAAGCTTTTGGTTGGCAGTCTGAACCTGAAGACCTTGGGATTGTGCTTCGATGTATGCAACGTCATCATGGAGAGTCTATTGTTTTATGAAGCGTATAAGCGAAAGTAATTGATCGAGTGAGATAGAAACTTACCCCAAGTTCATGAGAATAAAGCGTTAAAAGACCATCAAGCTCCTCGCATTCTTCGATTGTCCGATCAATGAGCTTTGCCAATTGATCAATTTTACCTTCTTGCTGTTCAATATTCCCAAGCCAGCTGATAGCTTGAACTCGCCCAATTTCTCTCCGAATATCTGCTTCTAGATCTTCAATTTTCTTGTCGTCGCTCAGACGACCATTCCAACCTAAATCGGTGAGGATTTCATCGAAGTAACCATCTGTACCCGCAAGAAGACTAGTTTCAATATCAAGGGCTTGGCAATACTTCGCAATATTATCTTCACGGCGTCTCCGACGCCGTTCTTGAGCAGGTGAAACGGATCTCGACCTAGCTTTCTCAGTTGTCTCGGGCAAAGGAACAACAGGGGCTTCGATGGTCACATCAACGGGTGGTGGAGAAATTTCATCTGCGTCTGCCCGAGTAATCTCAACCTTTGGAGGCTCTTGAGCAGGAGGTACTACTGAGGGAATTGGCTCGCTGATGGCTACTTCTGGCGTGGCAGGAGACTTGGTTGATTCGCTACTCGCACCACGCAACAATGGGGCTGGTACAACGCCTGTAATGCCATCGGGTTCACTTGTTGCCTGAGGCTTGTCCTTTGCTAGCAGGCGCTCGCCGGCACCACCTGCCCTGGGCTTAAACGCGTTATACGCGGTAGCCGCCTTACGAAAAGCGCCAGCGACATCTTTCGCCGACTTCTTCTTAATCATAGGCCCGAGACCAGGGCGATGAGCTTCGGGTTCTTCTTCTTCATTTACCACAGGTGATATGGTTGGTTCCTCGGGTGACATGGCATGCTGATCAGGTTCTGTGTGGGCTTTTGCTTGCTCCGAGGGCTCAGGTTCAAATGGAGCTGGAGGAGCGACCACAGGTTCCTGAGCGGGCTGCACAATAGAAGCTTCAGAAGTCGCAATAGCGGTAACGGTCTCGGTCTTGATCGATAACTTAACTCTGGAACTGTCTGATGAGCCTGGTCGAAGAGAAGGTGGAATATCCAGTTCAAGATTTCTAGATGATCGATTCGAAATATTGCTGCCTCGAGAAGGTGGCGCATTGCCTCTGCTCGATGGTCTCGATCCTGGACCATTAGGTTCCAATGCTGAAGACTGGCTGTGGAAGGGGACCGTTGAGCCAGTCCCAGCTGTGCCAGGACGTAGTTGCTCTCGAGAGACGTCCAAGGCTTGACTGTAACCCGCTCCATGCGGTTCCCTTGCTTCACGGGTGTAGGATGCTTGTTGGAGGTTGGGAGGGCCACCTTCTCGTCCTCTAGAGACTGCTCGATCTGTAGCTTTATGACCGGCCAGATCCATATTCCGTTCTGACGGCAGTGGTTCAGCCACGAAACCATTGGTATTTGGTGGAAACCCATCGCGTTCTTTGGGTATATGCGGAGGCCGGCTAGGTGATGGAGACGGTCGTGGCACCTGTTCGCGACTTGGCTGGGGTCGGAGCTTCTGCTCCTCAGACGTCTGTGGTCTCGGTTCATTTTTCCCAAGCTGACTCGGTTGAGGTCCTTGCGAAGACGGCGGGCCTGGCTGCCTTGTAACAGGTTCAGGGTGCAGTGGTGGTGCTTGAGGGACATCACCAATTAATGCTTGCCTTTGCTTCTCGTCAAAGCCAATCAATTTCGGAACCCTGCCGCCTGTATACTTTTTGTAGATTTTCACAAGACTGGCAATGAAGAAATCTTTCTCCTTGAAGTTCGCCGCCTGCCAATAGTAGGGTTTTCCTACGGTCACAACAAATCCCACGTTCGATGCCCACTGTTTGTGCTGTTGTTCGAGTTGAGTAGATGGCTGTAAGTCACTGAAAGATTGTATGGCGTTCAAGTCGTCCAGCATCCATGTTTTGCCTATGGAAAATGACCCATCGCTATTTTCACGAGCCTTATGCATACGAACGCGGCCTGATTTCCTCAACGCGACAATGATCAATCGAGGTTTCTTGTTCTCCGGGGGAGAGTTCGGTGGCGACGGCGTGGACGGGTATGCCGCATCTTCGGTAATTCGTATATGAGTGATATACGATTCGGTCACTAATTACACCAGAGTAAGTATCTTCCAAGATGCAATGGAAAATGAACAGTTTGTCTGCTTGTGCATAGATGGGTTCGAGGACAGAGACTAGCATACAGGCGCCATCGTCATCCTGCTTGGAGAAACAGCTCATCATAATCCTCCTTTTTTCATCTTGAAACATATGGGCCCTCGACATTGTGCCATCCCCTGCAGCTGATTTGCCCTCTGCGGCTTGTCTTCGGGCTCGCTGGCCAGGAGAATCATATCCTCGAGAAGTCGGTCCACCTAATGTTGCCATTTCGGGAGCTGTCTCCTTCAGGAGGCGTCAGAGCCCCCTCACCGTAAGTTCGTACGAATCGTCAATGAGGAGCTGGAACACGCGAGCGCATCGAGGCTGGATTTTTCCAGACCCGCTGGAAGTTAGCTAAGTGTGGACTGTCTGTAGCTCCTGGAGTAGGGGTATTGCGGAGGGATAGGAAGTCCGGAATGCGACCCATACAGTTGGAGGTTCCCCTAGCGAATAGCGGCGCTGGCGGCTTGGATGCTTGCTAAGCTATGGAACACACACTGTGAATGGCTCCCCACATGCTTCAACGTCATAAATCAATTGAAGTGCATCGTGACAAGAAGAGCTTTCGGAGCTCCGTACTCAACTGCAATCGCCAACATGGACGACGGCCATAGGAATGCCTGCCTGCCTGACTCCAACGCTCCTTCCTGAAGAACAGCAAGTGCTCATGGAGGCCTGAGGCTTGGGCCTATAGCCAATCACAGCACGATTCTACTCACCGCCCTACACTTGTATCGCACTTTTCCTTTTTAGGTTTTTTTTTTTCTTTGTTGATAGTGTTCCTGGAGCAATTTTTTTTCACCTCAACACCCAATTAACATTTCCACCATTTCGAAAATGGCATCGAAAAAACAGTCAAAGTCGGCTGCGTCTGCGAAAGCTGCTGCAGAGGTACAGAGAAAAACTTTCCAATAAGCATACAATTATTAATACTGACGGATTCGGATTATTCTATCTAGAAACCTATTGAAAAAGCACCTGAGAGTCTCGTAGCAGCGATTGTAACGTTTTTCGACACCCATGGCTACACCGCTGCTAGCAAGGCTCTGATCAAGGAGGAAAAGGAGCGCAACGGAAGGACGATCGCAGCTAGCAAGAACACGTCACTGTCATTAATGAGCATTTACGAGGCATGGAAGTCATCTACATCATCCGACAAAGATGATAGTGACAGTTCCTCCGATTCGAGCGATGACGGTTCTGATGCGGATTCCGATTCTGACTCTAGTTCAGACTCTAGCGACTCTGAATCTGACTCTGACTCTGATGTGTCGATGGACGATGCTCCCAAGCTGCAGAAAAGTAGAAAGAGCTCTTCGTCTTCCTCCGAATCAGACAGCGATGCAGATGACGAATCTGGGCCGGAAACTTCACCGCCAAAGCCAACAGGCACGAAGCGCAAAGCCGACGACTCGGCTGAAGATCAGCCAGTAACAGCGAAAAAGGCTAAGAAGATCGATGTTTCTGAAAGCTCATCGGAGGAATCCGATTCATCAGACGAGTCTTCTTCTTCCAGCGACAGTTCTTCCAGCGACACTTCCTCCAGCGATAGTTCTTCGAGCGATAGTTCGTCTAGTGACTCCGAGTCTGACTCTGGTTCTGAGTCTGACGAATCCAAGACGGAGCGCAAAACATTGAAAACGGCGGCGAAAACGCCACTTCCAGAATCCGATGACAGCAGTTCATCTGATTCTGATTCCTCGTCAGAGTCTGAAGACGAGACAAAGGCGAAGGATCCTGCCACCAACGACTCAAGCGATTCAACAGATACCCTCGCGTCTACCAGCACCAAATCCGGTGAGAACAAAACCCAGAAAAAGAAAGCGGCAGATGTCTCCTTCAACTCTGTTCCTCTTCCTCCGGAACCCAAGCCCAAGAAGAAGCATACCGGAGCTCGTCCCACGCGGTTAGCGGCAGCGAGTGCTCTTCCTCATGACCATCACCCCAAGAACGACTATGTGTCATATGCATATGCCGAGCGAGCCTACAAGGACCTCTCTGTGACTCGTGGAAAGGGCTTCACCAAGGAGAAGAACAAGAAGAAGCGTGGTTCCTACCGTGGCGGCCCGATCGATATTGGTCCGTCCCAATACAGCTTCAAATTTGAAGATTAATGGAAGTGGTTTCGAAGCTTGAAGCCAATGTCTTCGTAAACCTACCTTTGCTCGGACAACGAGCCATCACTGGGGCGAAAAAGTTCTTAGGGTTAGCTTTCTTGTTTGTTTTGTGCGTGTCATGCTTTAAATGACTATACTTTATTTTCCAATCACTGTATCAACAGTGAAGCAAGGCGCTGCAGGATATCTTTATATTTATTATGGGTCTTAGATCGCTGGACAATGTGCCAGGTTTTCATTGCTTTCTATTCTGGAATATAGTTTAATCTATCTAGAGAAGTTTGAATTGAAGCAAAAGCTATTTTGCCTCGTGTTTCACGATCTAGTACGAAAAGTGTCCAAAAAAAATCAAAGGGGGGAAGGGGGAATTCTACTCCATTCAGATCCCCCTCGACCTCCACGATTGATTTTCATCTAATCGTCTCCAGCGTCGATCCCACCCACTCTCACGTTCTCTTATCTCGTCAGCTTCGCTCAGGCCCCAAAAGGGTACCTGGGATCTGAGCTTAGCACTGGCAGATTTATTTTCGGGGCTGGGTCTCTCATAGCCCGAGAGCTCGAGCACTTTTTCCTTGTATGTTGGGCGGTGCTTTTGTGCAAGCGTTCGTGATGTATGTTTAGCGATGTCATTGGAATCTAAGTCCAGGTGATCCTGGTACCAGATGCTGCTGTTGCAGTCAAGTAGATCGTCTGTGGAACCAAAGTCAAGACGTATTACGCCGTCAACGATGCCTGTATATACAGTTGCGGAAGTGGATGAGGGCGAAGACATGGTGTAGATGGGGCCACGGTATGTAGTATAGTTGCGACTTCTTGGGACATTTGGCGGATGATGCGACAGAAAGAAGGAGAATTCGTTGCGTGAAGTCTTCCCATTTGACAGAGCAGGTCTCGCTTCAAGGTGGCTGTAGCTATTCTGCATGCGAAGATCGAAGACATTGACCACGGCTTCGGATCCTGAGCCTACGAGAAATCGGTCGCCCATAGGCTGGATGCAATAGATTGGATTACTGTCCATCACATCTATGTATTCTCTTTCGAACATTTTTGGTGAGCGAAGGTCATGGAGTCTGCATGGATGTTGATAATTAGTCTACTTGGCTTGTCTTCCAAGAATGCTTCTATTCCGTCAGATGAAAGCAAAAACTCAAGTGCATACCTAACTCTGCTATTACCCCAGCCAGCGAGGAATACTTGGCCGTCAGTTCTCCCACCATATGTGTCGACACCTAGCGGGGCGATGGCCCCAACTCGTGCTTTTCTACGCGGCCACAATGATCTATGATATGGATCATCGAATGTCAATTCCCGGTGGGTTGAGATGCGATCTCCAGCCATGTCAGAAATAACAATTGTATCCGTCACTCTTCCATGGCCGACGGCGATTCTGGATGGAGAAAGAAACTTGATATAATGGCGGGGTGTTCCCTCTTCAGTTTCGCCTGTGAGTTTCGCGAACGAAGTAACCTCCGCATCCTTCGTCGTTGTTCGGTACAAAGATATCTGGCCATCAAAGCTATGTACAGCAAGAATTGGTTCGGATCCTGTGCTAAGATCAAGACTATGGATTTCGATTTGATTGGTGATATATGTTTGTTGGACTTGGTAGGTAGCATTTTCAGGATCGATGGCAATGTGAGAGACATCGCCTCGTGCACGTCCATAGATCAGATGCTGCTTCCCAGCCAGACTGCTGGGGTGGTCTGGTCTCAATAGATGGACACCACGGATATCGTCGTGACTACTTACATGCTCCAAATCATTGAAGCGTAGCCAAGTCTCGTGGGCTTGCGTTCCCGTCCTTCTGATCTTGAGAATAATCTCTGCAGCCGCTCCCCATGCAAGCACCTCTTCTCGGTCTTGCCAGCGCCCACCCGTCCACAGTTCATGGCTGTCAAGTGATGGCCGGTATCCTATGGTTGGGCGGTCGTGTCTAGTAGTATCGCGGACGCCCACCACCTTGGTGGCTTCTGATGGAACAACAAAGCGAGCAAGGACCGCGCAACGATCTAGAGCACGAGATCGTGAGGTGACAGCCTGAGCAACGTCTCTCCACAAAGGAGGGGCATCTTGAAGAGTCGGGAATTGGTTCCGGACGAACGCGCGGTAGATACGATCATCGGCAACTATGATCTTGTGTAGGCGCTGGCAGGTTTGTGCCAAGTGGGTGAGGGAGCTCGCTGTCGGCAGAAACGTTGCGATATGATATACAATCTCCGATGGGAGGTCTGCTAGCATGTTCCGTGAAATGTTCTCTGTGATTTGAGGTCCGTCAAATTTTGCGATGGCAGGTTGTCCTCCACTCTCTGATCTCCAGGAGGAACTTAACCCAGAACTGCGCTGCGCTGCCGAGTTCGAAGTCCCTCGTTTACTCGTGAGCTTTCTTTTCAGCATGCAGCTCAGACCCTGTATCTGGAGATTTGTCTGTTCGGACAATGTTGGTTGCTTCTCGATGCTTATCAGTGCGGACGTCACTGCGGGATCTGTAGGCGGAGCTTGCGAGTGGCCAATGAACAGCCAGAATAAGTCGGCCACGCTGTAGTGCTGCAAGCTACTTGCACTCGCAACATTGTTAATTGTGAGTTATTGCTGAGACTGCCTTCAATCTCTAGAATTGACGAATTGAGGAATTGGCGAGTACCGAGGTAGGCAACCAACGTCATTGTTTGCTGCCTTATCGATATGGATTCTTATCTCCACAGCGATAAGCCCCTCATCGCGTCTCAGCTTCAATTTGTCGACAACCTTCTACCTCTCGTTAGCTGTTGGGCTGATACCATGATTGGCTAGGAATGCCAACCCTGACAGATGGCCCTTTCGCACGTTCAGATTATCGGCATCTTGGCTGCGCTGTCTGCTTTCGCCTACAAATTCATTTTGTATCCAGCTTTCCTTTCTCCATTGGCAACAATCCCCAATGCACACGTTACAGCACCGATTTCCTCCGCGTGGATTACCTGGAGGCGCTTCAGAGCGACGAACAACCGAACCATTCATGCGGCGCACAAGAAACTGGGCCCGATTGTCAGATTGGGTCCGTCTGAAATCTCCATAAACTGTGTGGAAGGTGGTCTCAAAACTGTTTATGGCGGTGGCTTCGAAAAACACGACTGGTATCCAAGAGTGTTTGGCTCGCTGGGGTTTGTTCTTGATCCATAGCTCCCCAAGCAGAAGGCTGCCAGCTAACGATTCCTTGCCGGGCTTAGAACAGTCAGTATGTTCACTATGACGAGTAGCAAGGAACATGCTACTCGGAAACGCATGTTATCGAATATTTATTCGAAGTCATTTCTGCAATCCTCGCCTACTTTGAAGCTTATATCATCAACGATGATCTATGATCGCCTACTCCCGATATTGGAGAGCGCCGCAAATTCAAAAGAAGCAGTTGATGTTCACGAACTCAATTCAGCATTAACCATGGATTTTGTCTCGGCGTATTTGTATGGGCTTCAGAACGCAAGCAATTTGCTGCAAGATGTGCTATTTCGGAAGCATCTCCTGCACAACTATCAGTGCAGAAAGCCTTTCGAATTTTACTATCAAGAAGTGCCGGGTCTAGTCACTCTCAGCCAAGCCATTGGCTTACCTATCATTCCCCAATGGTGCCGTGACGCAACCCAGGTGATGGACGAATGGAATATGGATCTCTGCGACAAGGCCGAGAAGTCCCTCGCCTCTGACAACCCTCGCATCGAGCCCACGGTATATAAGCAAATGAAATTATCCATGGCCAAGCAAATGACTCTGGGAAAGGATGACCCGAAGGGGAATGCACAGAAACTCAAGCAACAGAAAATCGACATAGCTTGTGAAACATATGACCAACTCACCGCCGGACACGAAACCAGCGCTGTAGGGCTCACCTACTTATATTGGGAACTATCTAAACATCCCGAAATTCAAGACGAATTACGCAAAGAGCTGCGCACTCTATCAGTCAAGATCGGGAGAACCCCTGTAATGGAATTTGTCAAGCAGCTCCCAGGAGCCAAAGAGATCGACGCATTGCCACTTCTACATGCAGTTATCATGGAGACACTTCGACTTCATGCACCTATTCCAGGTATACAACCACGTGTAACACCAGCGCCATCCTCAACGCTTGCTGGATATGCCAATATCCCCCCAAATATCAGAGTTAGTGCGCAAGCATACTCCCTTCACCGCAACCCGGAAGTATTCCCTGAGCCTGAAGCATGGCAGCCGCGTCGATGGCTGAAGGAGTATAACACCCCAGAAATGGAGGAGATGCGAAGGTGGTTCTGGGCCTTTGGCAGCGGTGGGAGAATGTGTGTGGGCAGCAATTTCGCTATTCAAGGTACATTAATCTTGCTTTTTCTCTTGACCTCTTGTTCCTGCTTGCTGACTCTTGTGCAGAAATGAAACTTGTGACAGCCGCGATATACAGCAATTTTAAATCTACCATCGTTGATGATGATGGCATTGAGGCTATTGATGCGTATACTGTCAAGCCGACCAGTGACAGACTGATTCTGGAGTTTGAGCGTATCTAAAGTAGATCATCAGATATATATATATATATATATAGTCCAATCCAAGGGAACACCGCTCAGATGGTAGACCAATTGACCTGACATCACAAGCAATCCATGGCAACTACCGTAGGTACAATCAAGTACCTCCCCGATAATTTTCAAAAACAGTGAATATCAAATGTTTCATCAAAAACATCGACCGGTTTGACCGAAGCCGGAAGTGGAAGTGGTGGAAAAGTTGCCCCTCCGAAACCTTCCAGAGTCCCGCGCTTAGAAACGTCGACATCACCGGGAAAATCAGAACGAGTCATAAAAGAACCTGAGAAGTAGACTTAGTCGGTATAAGACTGGGACAATCACTCACAATGCCTGACAAGGACGCAGGCACACCGCGTGTCTACATTGCGCGACATGGCAGGCTATAAGCTCTCTACTTTCTCTCATTGGATTGTATTATTAACAAACAGACCAGGAGAAACCGAATGGACAAAATCCGGACAATACACTGGCATCACCGAGCTCGAGCTGACCTCGGACGGAATCGCGCAAGTACAAAATACCGGCAGGGTCCTCGTTGGGCCTGGAAAACTCATCGATCCATCGCGCGTTGCGCATGTGTACGTTAGTCCCAGACAGAGGGCACAGGCGACATTTGACCTGCTCTTTTCAGGGTCATCGTCTTTGTCGTCTACCAGCGACCGAGTTTCGACAACTGATCGCCTAGCGGAATGGGCCTATGGCGAATATGAGGGAATGGTGACGAGTCAGATTCGCGCACTGAGGAAAGAACATGGCCTTGACAGCGAGAGGCCATGGGATATATGGCGAGATGGGTGCGAGGGCGGAGAGTAAGTCAAATTTGTCAAACGATGTAGCCTGCAATTCTTTAGGAAAAGAACTGTCTTTGCTTTGAAACTCACGTATACACCCCTGTATCTAGATCAGCACAGGAAGTGACAGACCGCCTGGATGATCTGATTAAAGAGATTCGCACCTTTCAGGCCAACCATATGCACGGCGAACCTGGTCCGGCCGATATCGTGCTGGTAGCACACGGTCATTTATTAAGAGCATTTGTAAAGCGATGGCTGGGATATCCCATGGAATTCCCATTGTCGCTGATGCTTGAACCAGGCGGCATTGGTGTTTTGAGGTAGCTTCTACTCTGGAAGTTTTTTTTTTGTCCTATGATTCCTCCTGGCTGACGCATCCTATAGTTACCAGCATCACAACGTTAATGAACCGGCGCTTTTCGCAGGCATGGCCTTCCCAAGCGCATCTTGAACCAGACATCACTTTAAACGAAGGGGGCTTCAAAAGAGGAACGGCATTTTCGAAAGGACTGGCGGTCTTTTCAATAGAAGATATATAGAAAATATAAGACCGCAAAAATGAACTAGAGGTTTGTACTGTACAGCAGCTCTCAAAATAATCATACACTGAATAGCGAAGCATCCCTCTCTTTCTCTCGCGAGGTTTTGTTCACTTCAGAGCCATCCCAAAAAAAAACTCCATTATTTATGCGACGAATTCTCAAATTTCTTAGCCAGGAAAATATCCAACGTTCTAACCCAGACGACCCTCTCGCTTTCGTGGTCCTGAGACCTTGGGGAACATCCTCATCAGGTGGTAGTTGACAGCGTTGTTCTGGACGGTTGTATCTTTCTGTTGAGTGCAGAAAGAGATTAGAAAAATAGAAATCAGAGTACTGAGCAACAAAAGTAGAGAACGGAACGTACCCTCTGGTCCATGCATGCTTTTAATGATTCCTCCAGTCCCGAACATCCTTCACTGCCATGTCCAGCCGAGGCCCAGCAATCTGTCACAGAAAAGTCGTTAGCAAGGTCCATTCTGTCGATCTCCATAGCCCAAGCCACTGCATCAATTAATTGAAGCATAATATAAGTGCATACTCAGCATAGACGACATGATCGTAGCACATGAATTCTGTTGTTGCTGGTTTGGTCGTCGCACTCGAAGGTGTTGAATCGTCTGCAAGCGCACCGGGTTCAGGCGCGTCGGGGCACCCTTGGCAGGCATATTGAAAGACTGAGATGAGAGCCCGCACAGCTCTTCTCCGTGGACAACAGCTGCTAGATCCTGGACTTGTACTGAGATGCAATGAGAAACTGTGCTGCTTGGAAGTGAAGGCTGGCCGAAGTTTCTCGGGCATGCCAAGACCGAAGAAAAGGGCCGCAGCGCACGAGCCACCCTGAGTATGCCTGGGCCGTTATCAAGGTCGTCCGATAACAAATTCAACGGTCTGCGCGCCTTTTTTCCAAAGTCGAAATCTCTACTCTTATATATCAATGAGGAAGCTTCCATGATGGGAGTTGCTCGCAGCTCTTCTTTGGGTGCTCAATGTGCATCATGCCTTCAAGCCCAGCGACGCCGTTGCCTCCTGGCGCTATCGCCACAGAGGGCCTTCTCGGTGTCGCCGCTTCGAAGAAACGAAAAATCGAACCATGGCCCTGAGAATAGGGAGGAAGGGGCCATGTCCCGCAGACTGTCAGAGATGACAGAGGATGCTCTTCTTCAAGGAGGACGATCGGCGCGCAGGAATATACAGGAAGCGGGTTTCTCGGAAGGTTTGAAGCAGGAGCTGGAAGAGAAGATCAAAGCCAGTACTTTTAAAAGCGATAATGCGGGGGCTTTCTCTATATTGAATATGCCGGTATGATTTATTCTCTTAAATAAATTGTGACTTGGGCATTCAACTAACAGCGCATTTCGCAGGCCAGCGCAGGAAAAGGCACTCGCGAGAATGCAATCGCATCACCGTGGCGCGGGACTGAAAATGTCGAAGATACCACGCTCAGGATGCTCGACGACTCGAAAAAGCCAATGCGTGTCCCCTACCAAATTCCAAATCCAACAGCTCCCGTCAACGTGAATCTACGGCCTGCGGCGAAAGTTCGCCACTCAACCGGCAGTCGTCTTGCCAGTGCCAGAGATAAGACGCAAATTTATGCTCTCAGCCAGAGTACTGGCCTCTCAGACAAGGAGCGAGAGGAGGTTAAGAAGCAGCTTACTGCGCGCTTTGAAGCTGGTGCGCGACCGATGCCGATGTCAATAAATGGGCTGGCTTCACTGGCGAATGAACGAATCGAGGACGCTATTGCGAAAGGGCAATTTAAGAATTTACCACGGGGGAAGGGCAAGCATACAAAGACAGACCACAATGCAAATAGCGCTTTTATCGATACGACGGAGTATTTCATGAACAAGATTATCCAGAAGCAAGAGATTGTTCCGCCGTGGATAGAGAAGCAACAGGATCTCGCTCGGGAGATAGACCGCTTTCGACAGAGACTTCGGACAGAATGGCGAAGACACGCAGCAAGGCTGATTTCGAGTCATGGGGGCTCATTAGAGGACCAGCGGAGAAGGGCGCGAGGCTACGCTGCAGCAGAGGCACGGTTGATACAAAGGAGAAAAGCAGAATTTTCCATTGCGTCCTCTAACGCAGAAGATGCTATCTTGAGCAGCCTTTCTCAAATCAGCCACGATGGCCGAATTTCCAGTGGATTTGCACAACCTTCTGTCGGTGTTGTATCAAATACAGCTCCAATGAAAGCCGAAGCCGAAGCCGCCAAACCTCCCGAGTCCTTGTCTTATGCAGATGAATCACTCCCACATTTACCTCCACTTCGTGACCCGGAATACATGACTAATGAAAGCGGCTGGCACAAATTACAAGTTAAAGCTATCAACGATCTCACGCGGTCATACAACCTCCAGGCGCCCCAGCTGGCACAGAAACCGTACTTGAATCTCGAGCGCGAGTTGAATGCATGTTACGCAGATGTGGCACCCTCACTGGCAGACGAGATTACTACGCGGGCAACGGGACGGGTTGGGACTCGGCAGGTGACGAGCACCAAACGCCAAAGCCTCGGTGGTCTTGTAGAGGATATGCTGCAGACAAATCAGCGAGTACGACTGTACGAAGAGGACCGGTCTAAAGCTTATGGTTTCAAAGAACTCTGGAGAGACATTTGGAAAAGAGGGGAGAAGAAGATGACCTAAAGCTCGTTATAGTTATGATTTGCACATCGAGTTGGATTGTCCACTGATAGACGTACATATAGACATTTGGTGTAAAAACAAACATAGAGACCAATCCACAAATCTTCACTCTTGTGAGACTAAGCAGTGAGTAGTTATATATTTTCTGGTAGAAGAATAGGTATGCGATGTGATGAAGCACGTGATTGGACAGACCATGCGGGCCAGATCACAAAAAGAGCCAATCAGAGACTGCAGAGACACGGGAAGCCGCGGGCCGTGCACGGGTCGGCGCTTAACTAAGAGCGGCGATTGGCTGCGCGGATTGCCCAATGAGAGCGCTCGACGTCCACTTCATCGTCGGATTATCAAACAAGAACAACAACATCTGCTTTACGGAGTCAAGTGATGATAGTGATACGCCATGGAGTGCAAGGGAGGCCTGTGGATGGAATTCGACATTCCTCTCTCCATGCTCCATATTCAGCCCGACGGCACAGGCAGAAGTGATATTCACTGCCGTCACACAGCTCACAGTGTGATGAGGTGAAGAGAAACTCTTTTTGAGCACTATTAGCAGTCGCCTCCAGCGAATAACAGGCCAGAAGCCCCCAGACAAGAGCAGCAGTAACCCCGCCAGGCTCAGTGATTGGCGGCGGGACAGCGCGAGCTGCAGCCACCCCTGGTCGCTTTCACATCGGCCGCTTCACTAGTCGCCAATCACCCGCCTCAGCACATCTTCAGCACCAAGTCTCGTCCTCCATACACTCCGCCAGTTCGCTTCGACAACTCGTCCGTCACAAGGAATTGGTGCTACTCCACCATGCGCCTACTAAAACCCAAGTGCGAAGGGGGCTCGCATTCGCCTCTCATATCTGTGCCGGACCCCCATTTCCCACATATGTAGCCGCCGTCTTTCTCAGTCCCGGATTGATTGACAGGAAGTGTTGCGGTCAAATGAGAATATAAAGAATACCATACCGCCCCCCTACCCTTCGTGAGTCTAGCTGCTTGCGTTTCCAGCATGCTTGCATCTTCTGCTCGCGATATCTGGACTGCGCTATTTCTCTTCACTCCCTGCTGGTTCATCATCCCAATATCAACATTGGCATCCGCCCAGCCGGTCAGCGGTGACTCTGTCTTCTCAAGCCGGGGTGGGAGACTGGACTCGCAGGACGACTCCAGTCAGCTGCCTATCCAGATCGGCGGAATTGTAGCCAGCTACGTGATCTTCGATGCTGTGGTCGTATTCCTTATCCTCTTTATAGGACGACGACTACGCCGCGAAGCACACTCCTCCAACTACTCACTTGAGATGGTAATGCTGGGACCAGCACACAAATACGCCGGCAGCCTCGATCCAAGTCCTATTTCCGACTACACTATCGACAGCCAGTTCCCAAGCCCAGACAAACCACGTGGCTGGAATATGTCGTGGCCAAGTGTGAAAAGCCACAAAGCCCACGCCTCGATGAACAGCAGTGTTGCTACCATCGACGCAAGCGTCGTGTCTGCGGACCGGCGCCGAGCGCAGGAAGAGATGGAATTCCTATACGCACAGGTCTTGGAACATGATGCGAAGAAAGCTTCTCCCCAGTCTTCTCCTGTCATGGATAAACAATCATCACCCGATACGCCGTTGGCTTCCCCCGTGGCATCTATTCAGCCTCCTCCCTACCAACTACAGCCTCAGTACCAGGAACCTTTGTCCCCACGACAAGGGAGCACGGCAACAAACAAGTCTCGCACAAGTAAGCGGCTATCTAAACTCTCCAACCTCTCCATATTCAGCCCAAGCTCGCGGTCATCGACAGGCTCAAACAAACTCAAATCACCTCATTCCATCCGTGATCTACCCATTTCACCTCCAGTGAAAACACCCGATCCCGTGCAAACCGCGACATACCAAGACAGCCAGCCAATGTCACCACGAATCTACAACCCAGGCCCACCGCCAACAGCACCATTACAAAACAGCGCCCGAGGATTCACACTGCAACCTCTCGCAACTCCCAACAGTGTCATCACAACTCGTGCCCATGCCGCGCCGCCCCCCTTGAGCATCAACAGTAGCAACTCCACTCTCCCCTTCCGCCAGCAATTCAACCCCCCTCAAAGCGCGCCATACACAAAGACTACCATCTTGGAGAGACCATTCAATAATGTGTCCGGTGGTCCGCGCACCGGTATGCCAACTCCGTACAGTCCGTACATGCCATTCACGCCTTTGACGCCGATCACGCCGAGTCGACTGGTAACGAAGCGTGACAGGAAGAAGATGAGCAGGTCTAATGGGCTCAAGGTATTGCATGAAGATGATCTAGTGAAGAATGATGAAGAGTTGTGGGGGATGTAGATTTGTTTCTTTCTCTCAATTTTCGGACCGTAATCTAATCACGGAGTTGGAGTTGCTCTCTTTATTTGTATTTATGATGTCCGATGATATTTGTCTGGAAAGTCACATAATAGCAATCCCTATACCCTAGTACCTAGCCAGTGGATTTGCCATCTTTAGAAGACATATGTATCTCTATCATTAAGAATTAATAAGCAATATGCAGGTGGATATATAACAAGTCATGAAAAGGATGAGAGAGAAAAAAAGAAATATCTACTCAAAATCATCAATAACAGTACCAATCCCTCTCGCCCTCGCGAAATCCACCAGATCCCCCCCAGTCACCAGATCCATCAACCCAAGACCAACACTCTTATACACCACATTCCCACTCTCCAACCAACGCTGCAGACCCTTTTCGCCTTCCTCGGCCCCTTTCTGCTCTACCACAGGCGACAGCCGCGCCGCATGTTTCATAATCATCAACTCCCCAATCTCAACCAACTGATGCGGGCCTAGTTCCGCCTGCACGATCTCGCCAGCTTCCTGTAGACACATCTCCAGACTATCGACCAACACGACCCCGCCGCGTTGCGCATGTTTGTGGTAGTGATGCGAGTGCTGAGAAGCAGGCTTAACCTCGTACCGCAGAATGTCCGGGTGCAGTTCCGTCATGTGCGACTTGTACGACCCGATAGCGCTGATGAGACGTCCCTTGCGCCGGCCTTCGGTCGAAGTGAGAAACTCCGCGGGGAAGAGCGGTTCGAGCGAAGGCGTGCAGCAGAAAATCGCATCTGCTTTCCGCACCGCCTCGCGTAGCAGACGGTTGTATTCGACAAAGTCGCTGCTGAAGGCGTGGAATTTCACGTCGGAGCGCCACGAAGCGTTGCCGGCTGAGTAGATGTCCTTGAGGAGATTGGCCGCGCGGTCAAAGGAGCGGTTGACGATGTAGACGCGTTTGACTTCGGGTCCGCGGAGAAGCAGAGCGAGCCGGATGTGCCAGTAGGCTTGTCGCCCAGCTCCGAAAACGGTGATGGTCTTGACGTGCTTGCGCTTGTTGAATACGCATAGCGAGGTAAGTGCGGTGCGGAATGCTGTCAGATCTTGCGCGCTGATTAGCCCGATTGGAAGACCGTCTTGGCCGACAAGGGTCAATGTGCCTCGAGGGGAGGAATCGCGTGCTCCTGTCGGCGGCCAGGCTTTGCCTGTGACTTGCGTCACTCCCCTGAGTGACTTTGATGATGGAACGTTGCTCGGTTGTGCTGTTAGAGACTGCTGGTTTATGCTAGGCGTAGCGCCGGTAGATGATGAGAAGGATGATGTCTCGTTCTCGCTATCGTCATCGCCGTCATTTCCTTCGTGCGACGTGCTCAGCGACATGGAGCTCAGATCGGTCGACAGGGAACTACTAGACCGTCGCGACGAGGATTCGTCCAGCGCAAACGATACCTTGGCCGACTGTCTACCACCCAGCAGCTCTTGGCCGATGGTACTGCAACCAGGCTTGACGGGATCAAGACCGCCAGGAGCCATGGGGGAAGAAAGGATCTTTACGCCTGTTGTCTTGCCGGTGCTCGCGGGCATGAACACGGTCGTGTTGCCATCCTTGCCCGTGATGGCCGTGCGATGCGGTTGGTACGACGCAGAACATCCCTGTTCGTGGGTTCCAGTCGAGTATTCGCGCAGGGCCTCGGCGAGGTTGCGCTGCAGGGTGATAATGTCGTCGCGAGAGAGGGAGAGGAGCAACGCGCGGACTTGCGCGGCGGTGAGTACTGTAAGTGGCATTCTCTGTTATGTATTCAGTATATCGATGGGTTGAAGAAGTAACTTGAGGAAAAGGAGAGATGGGAGAAATTCCAATGCAGAGCCAATGACGTGTTTATGCAGATGTTTATCCATGCACTGCCACTGTGCAGGCGGGGTTGTCCCCTTATGAAGCTTGAGACACGTGATATCGAATCGCCAGGCGTTGTTACCATTATTTCTTATTTTTTTGCATCCCTTTCTACATTCTTCATTTGATGACTATACATACCTACGCGAGTCCTTTGGTGTTCAATGAAAGTTAGTTCCTCGGTAAAGTTGGCATAGATTAGTCTTTGTAGACCAAGATATGCACTTCGAAAGTGTAGGTACAGCAGGACTACAATGGCAAAATAACTGGATTCGCTAAACGAGTTGGGTATATATGTATATCTCTATGCTCATATCGCTGGTTGGTCCCAGCCGTCACGCGTGGTCTTCATCACTGCAGATTGCTTATGCGGAAAACTGACCTCGCCTTCCTTGAAGAAGCCAAACTCAGTGAGATAGCTTATCAATCTGGAACGGGTTCTGCGTTAGAAATCAAGCAGATCTCTGAAAGACGGAAAAGAAGGAGGAGGAGGGGCAGACTCACTTTTTGTTATCTACTCGGGGCTCCAGCAACACCGTCTCTGTGCGAGGATCAGCCAGCCAACAATAATGCACCAGCGAGCTGAGCCAGACGTGCAAGCGATGAGAGCCACGAAACTCTTCCTCACCTACCAAGACATGCAGCCCTCGGTCGTAATTGCCAACGTTGTTGAGGAGCCTGCCCAGGGGATCTTCCTTGACCCAATAAATCTCGAAATACCCAAATGGCTTGCCGCCCCAACACCCAAACACGGGGAAGCTGTGTCGATCGTTGAGACCGCGTTTCAGGAACTCTTCTGTGCTTGAACGAGGCCCTGCTTCCCCCCAAGCTGCATTGACTCGCGGGTTGTTCATCCACTTGTTCAGCAACTCCACATCGGATACTCCTGGTGGAGTACTAGTACGTGCGGGTGGCACGGTTAGTGACGAGGGAGTGTTAGTAGATGATGCAGTATGACTGTGTTGTGCGCCGCCTGTTTTGCCTGTACTAAGTACCGGCACGCGAAACGAAAGGTATTGCCCTACACTTGGGATGTAGCGCGTATAAAACGTTTCTCCCTGGTGAGGAGGTCGTTGTCGGAGGGGGTGACGGATACCATTTGTGAAAACATATTGCGTTGGCGCCGGGGGATAAAAGGTTGGAAGATGACTGCCCGAATAGAAAGGACCACCAATAGAACTAAATACATGGCCAGGAGTAGAAGACTCAGTGGGCGACATCGAATTGCCGTCAGCCAGACGGAGGCTTTCGACGCTCGGCGAGGCAGGCCGCGAGTTGTACGGCGAGTTTATAGGAGAGAAAGAGGCGGCATTCGTCGGTGTCAATGTGAATATAAACATGCGCGGATCCAACTGCCAGAAGCTTCGACGACTCGTAAACATGCGCGCCCAGTTGGCCGGGTTGCGAGATTCGATCGACTCTGTTCCCACTGATGAGTCCTCGTTTGAAATCAGGCCCATACGCTCTAGTTTCTGTAGCAAGTTTCTGCCCTTGAAAATACCCTCTCTCTTGATATTTACCCGCCATTCGCCCTTGGGTCTTCCTAGCTCTGACGTCAGCGCCGAAGCCTCGGTCATGATTCGAGGGTCTGGCTGAGGCTCGTGGAAGTACCACAACAGGGTAGCCCAAAGCATCATGGCAATTTGGCGGGAGGGCGAGATTGGGGTTTTGTAGTCGCTACTGGAGGGACTGTTTATGGAGGAAATAAATATGCAGTCGTTCTGCAGCGTTGGTTTTTTGAAACTGGAAATGCGAACTTTGCGCTCCGACGCATTCGTGTCTGTCGTCGCCGTGGTGGTTTCGCCTTCATTGTCATGTGAGTGTTCACCGTCTACCTGGCCGTCTTCAACAGGCTTCTCTGTGTGAATGACTACGGTCCAGCCTGGTGGGAACGTGGTGTTGTGGACGCCAGAATCTGTCTCCTTAAAAGTGAATCCGCCGAAGACTGGCGTCACCGAGAAAGTGTTGCCGTTGGGCAGATGGCATATTGGAGAATGCATCTCTACCCCAGAGGAGATGGTGGAATGTGGAAAAAAAAAAAAAAAAAGAAGGACAAAGTTGCGTCAGTAAAATCATCAAATTGAAGAAATTCAATGACGATGACGATGACGATGAGGCTAGTCCCGATATGGAAGGAGGGGCTGTAGCGCGGCGGCCTCAGGCAGGTAGCGTCGTTCCAGGAATGCAGGCGTTCTTTCTCTTTATTCCTCTACTAGGGGAGTATGTCTTGACTTTGTATGAATGTAATATATGTACTATTCTGAGCATGGTTTATGTGATGAATTGTACATACATATACTGTACTGTTGGCTCACGCAACGCAACGGCTAGGTAATTAGCCCTAATTAGTCATGCGGTCGTCAACTGATGATTAACAAAATACCAAGAGAATAGTGGCATGATCATACGACCACCCGGGATGAAGAAAATTACTTCATGGGATAGTGGACAAGGTTCGTAGATAGATAGTTATTAGTAGATTCTAGTTGAGTACATTCAACCATGTAGGTAGGGTCCGAGCAGCATTATCCATACACCTCCAATACAAGCAAGCACGCAATACCAGAAAACAGATATGAACTCAACAGAGAGAGAAGGGAAAAAAAAAAAGTAAATAACAGTAAATAAAAACGCCAAGCCATGCCAGATGCAATGTGTGTGTTAGTGAGCCCAAGTGAAATGAAAATGGGTATAAAGTGCCTTTCCAAAACGGCGGTTTATACTGAGTATACTCCAGTAGTTCTTCTAAAACCATTACAAGTAACTCCTGGATGAGACAAAAGGAAAAAGAGAATAGGAAATAACGAGACCAGCTCGATCAGGAACTTTTGGTGTTGATGTTGTTGTTGTGAAGCTCAAGGCTCAAGCAACAGTGCGCGACATGCGACCGTTCATGTAAGCTCCGGCAGCAGAGGCAAAAAACCTAGCCATCAAGCCACCACCGGAGCCTCCCAAACTGGCAGATGTCTTGATCTTCTTGTTTGGCTGATGGAGCATCGGTTGTTGTTTTGGTTGAGACTTCATCGCCTGAACATTGACATAGCTGTAACTAAGGGCCAAGCTGGCTGGGCTGGTGCTTCCATCGATGACCATGACATCGTCCACGGAGGATGAGCAGGTGCTGATGCTACCGGGCGTGCTACGCACACTAGGAGCCACGCTAGATGACCGAGATGATGGTGCGCAAGAGTTAGAAGTTTCCGTGTGTGACAAGCCGGGAATATCCTTAACAGAGGGCGGAGAAATCGAGCGGTTAGCACTGCGATATGGCGAAGCGCGTCGGCGGGGATACGGGCTGTAACGGTCACCTTCGTCGACTAATGACAACGGAGAATTGCGGGTGACAGCATGCGGCTGAACGGAGAGGTGCTGCGAACGTCTTTGCGAGATAGCGCCGAGTTCGCCACGCATTTCCTGTTTCTGGCGACGGAGACGTGCAGCGAGCGACTCGGCAGAGGCATTCAGACGCCACCACTCATGTTGATGGTGCGAGTTCATGGCTTCCTTCTGCTCGGCAATCTCGCGCTGCCTGCGGATAGGAGCTAGGAAGGGCTCGAAGTGCTCGAGCAGATCTTCTTCGTTGACGCGGGTGTCCCAGTCAAGAAGGAAAAGCAGTTGGCGCTCCATCAGGTTGACCTCGGCCAGGGAGAAGCCAAATCCAGGGTAGCCTCTGACAGCGGTGTAGCGAGCCCAGTGCTTGTTCTTGGGACTGGAGTCATTCAAGTTCTTGGCGGCCAGGATGAGCGATGCGAGGAAGATGCGATGCACTGTGCAGCGCATGCCCTTGGCCACGGGAGGCAGGCGAGCACGGAGACGGGCCAGGAAGACCAGAGAACTCATGAGGGTGGGCACCTGTACCTGAGAGCGGTGCACCAGGGACATGATGAAGACCTCGAGCGGTGGCAGAGGAGGCAGGTTGTCGGCCGGGTCAAGGGGGGGAGTGCTGGGAGGGGTCGGTTGGCCATGCTGGCTCACAGACGATGCCGTCACATGTTGTTCGCAGCGGATGACTTTGGATGCCTGAGCAGCAAGGTGACTGATCATGTCCCGTGACACGGGCAGCATCACGAACTCGTTGAGTGCGTCTCGGTTCATTTTGCAGTGGTCCATCATGATGCTATGAAGAGTGGTAGCAGACAAAATGAAAGATGTTTTTCTTTTGGGTCTTTTGTGTCTTTGGGAATCCCTCCACAGCCCGCCTGCTGGGGATATTTAATAATTACCGAATTCGGCAAGGCGAGATTCCTGGGTGGTTGCTGGTCAGAGCAACTCACGAAGGGATAATACGTAGGACAAGCGAATGTCGAAATATTAGTTGATCGAACCAGGGTTTGCCGCGAGATCCTGCCCAGCGAAGCAATATGCCGTAGTTCACGTTGAAGAATGTGGCTCAAATAGTTGGTGTTGTCGAGTCAACGTTGCTATCGATAATGAATGAATGGCCGCGTTTCGATATATATATATATATATATATTTTTTTTCTTTAGTGGCCCGTTTGTCCAGAAAGGGTGTGTTTTTTTATTATTGTTGATGATGACAACGCTAGGCGTTATGATGCAGGCGATCGTTGCACTGAGTCAAGTTCTCGTTGGATCGGTCAGGCCGTGGGGGCTGCAGCGTGAGGCCGAAGATGATACGGTAGGATGTAATGGCGGCCGGCGAGACGAGCGATCTCTTTGTGCTTGTGGTAGATGGACAATAGGAAAAACAAAGATGTATAAAAGAATGGCGACAAAGCAGAATAAATATGAGGACAACAAAATGACTAGTATTAGGTATTAGGAGGGAAGAAATGAGCGGTGCATGTGGATGGGCCTCGTGAAAAATGTGAGGTCGCAAGCAGGTAGTTATATGCACTGGATGCCACACATCGGCCGGGCCCAATCGAGGGAGGGCGCCGGCCAACGCTGCAAGGACAACTGCGAACCAGTTGTTCGATGTGGAGAGGCCCAACTCCAGAAGAGCCAAATGGGGCGCCGCAGGGGGGAGCATACTTGCATGCCTGCGTTTGCTGATGCTATCTTTGTCAGAGGTCGCAGCGCCGGCCGTGATTCGCCTAGACCAGACGAGGAAACGAGTCAACAGCGCGAAATAGGCAAACAACACGGGCAGACGCAGAGATCATTCGCTAGGCGCCAGATCGTCTAGTGTTTCCGATTAGGGCTCGGTGGCCAATGGCCGGCGGCGTTGGGTGTCGCAGGGCCGTCACCCGCGACGGCCTGGCGTGTCATGCGAGGAGCGTCGCATTACTCTTGCAGTCGAAGCTTAAACGGAGAAAAAGAATGTGCCTGTGTCTTCTCGGACAAAATTTATGCATTCAATTCAATTCAATTCAATATGGCGCTCGCTTTTTCCGGCGCGGTGCTTGGCATCCCCATACTAGGCATTATCTAGCAGGAATGCATTTATTGACTGGCAACGCCCCAAAATTCGAGGGGATAAGAGCCAAACACGATCCTACAACGCGAACCGTCGCATTCTGTTTCGCCCTCCTTCCTGTGCACGCTGTTCTTTTTTCATTCGGGGCCCTCCCAGCCAATCATCGTAAAGCCGGTGGTGCACTCTCCGACACTTACTATACACGACGTGGCTATAACGAGCATTAGTATATGTTCATGAATGTGATCTGCTTCATCACTAGCTGATGTCATCGTCAAATCCTTCTTAAACTCTGTTGGGAACTCCACGTAGACTTAGCCCCCATCCCAAGGTTTCTGCCCTTTCTTGGGCCTTCCGACTGGCTATGATGATCGCTGTCCTGCGACGATGCGGTGATACGCAGCGAGCCTTTCGTCCATGTGAGGCACGCAAAGGACAGGTTGCAACTATAGTAAACCCCTTCTGTATTCATTCTATCATTCTATAGAAGTTTATCTTAGACACTCTAAGAATGAATGCCTTGCCTTGTCCTTTGAAGGGAAGGACACAATGTACAAGACGCCTCTCCTTCATTCGGCTCTGTCCATTGCGCAAACAAGCCCTCGCACATATCTCATGTTTCATGTTTCCTCGCGCTTCCCCGGAGTGAGCGTGATTCGAACTCCGATCTAGACCCTGTCACTGCCGGGCGCTACGAGAAACGCTCGTCTTTCCGGTGGCGGCCAGTCACAGTCCGCGGATCCCAATTAAGAATAAGGGCACGGTGGGTCCCGCCCCGTCATGGCGCTTAATCTGCTGAGTCGAGCTTCTGATTGGCCATCGCTAGCCTAATTCCTGGTTATTTTTAGTGAGCATCTTGAACGGCGATATTCTTAGAAAAAGATCATGCACGACAACGTACTACGTATAGCACAAATACCTGGGTAGCTGATTTTGATGCATCTGTGGTTTTGGGAGGTAATAATAGCAACAGCGATCCTGCTGGGAATTGGCCGCTTAAGTGGGCAGGTGTGCCCTGACTGGACTCACTCTCAACAGCTAGTAAACAGTCCTTGACGGCTATGGTATTCTACACCCCCATATACCATACTCTGTACAGTGTTATATATTATACTGCTAGTATTATTACTATAACATACTGCTAGTTGCACTAAGTTATATGTTTGGCTAGTAGCATGGCGCCACCGGCTGATTGGCGGTTCCGGCACCGAGATCCAAGGCTATCCCGCTTTTGGTTCCCCTGACCCATAGAATTTCCCAGGCAGAAAGGATCACCGCCAAAGATATTTATTGCAATCTCTGCAGCTGCCAGCTCTCTCTTCTGAAACACATTGTGCTGCGCTCGTGTTTTGGAAGAACCATCGCCTCTCCAATGGCCGCTTCCAAGAACTCTGCCGCCGCCAAAGGCACTTCCACCCTCACTATCCTCGCGCTGCTACTTGCTGCTTTCGCGTCTCTGTTTTACTACCTCGAGCAGCATCTGGAATCGTTCTACGTCTTCGAGCCCGAGCATCTGCACGATCTTTCGCAGCGAGCCATTGCGGCGCACGGAAATGACACCCGCGCCGTCGTCAGCTACATCGTGAGCGAATTGGATGAGAAGGTTGGTGGGAAATACCTGAATTTTGACGAGGAGTGGGTGTTCAACAATGCTGGTGGCGCCATGGGCGCCATGTACATTATCCATGCCAGTGAGTTTTTCCTTTACTCTCATGAGATTCCTCCAGTGCAACTAATAGAGCCTCAAAAATAGGCATTACTGAATACTTGATCATCTTTGGTATGTGGCCTTGCCTTATCCCTTTGACAGTAAACTAACGACATCCAGGAACCTCAATCGGCACTGAAGGCCACACCGGCCGTCACACCGCTGACGACTACTTCCACATCCTCCAGGGCACCCAGCTAGCCTACACACCGGGATCCTACGAACCAGAAGTCTATCCGCAAGGAAGCGTGCATCACCTGCACCGTGGTGACGTAAAGCAATACAAGATGGACAGCTCTTGCTTTGCGCTGGAGTACGCGCGCGGATGGATCCCGCCAATGCTCGGCTTTGGCTATGCAGACACCTTTACGAGCACCCTCGACTTTCCCACTCTGTGGGCCACGACGCGGATTACCGGCCGGGAAATGATTGGTAATCTGTTGCAGGGGAAGATCTAAGAGGCCATTCCGATTCCAAAATAAAATTTTTTTTGTCAGTGTATGATAGGTATTCAGGTATCTATATATTTAATACATAAACGAGCTGATCGGGGCGATTGTCATTGTTCATAGTCAACTATTATGTACCTACTACAGAAGCCCCTAATACTGCATGCTTTGCCGGCGTACTTGCATTTTTTCTCTTGCATCTCCGCTGCATGCTCAGGAATGTGACACGCCATGCAAAAGCTTACATATACTATTACATTCATACATACATACTACGGAGTCATATTGATTGATTGATTCTCACTGCCTAATCCCTAGCCACCGGTAACCCGGGGCTACGCCCGCTGCTTTTGGCAGATGCCATCCACTTCCTCGGGTTGTTGCCGGACGTACATACTCGTACATTTGTATGTGGCTGGCGGAGATATGCTATGCTATGCACTACTGCAATGCATCAAAAAACAATAATTCGGAAGCTTTCAATATAGGTACTATGATTATCCGTCGATTGATTCCGCATCTTTCGGCGGTTGCTCCGGTGTTGGCGAAGACCGTGAAGTAAGGGTTGGAAATTTGACCCCACAGTCATGTATCTCGATATTCCATATAACTACGCTGAAAGCACTGACCGGGCTAGTGAATTTTTTTTCTTCAGGTCAATGTTACCTAATCCTTAATCATACACGGAGCATTGATTTGCAAAGGAAATTGATTCGTTGGACTTTCCAATTCGGATGAAAATGGAAATCTGGGATCGGAAGTGTATCCCTTGTAGATCTCGGAGCATTGGTTATGGCTTCAATAGTCGTGACCAGAAGGGAAATATCATATTATTACATGTATGAATTAGAAGTAGACAATTTTTCCTGAAGAATTTACCCCCTATGTCATAACCCTAACCCTGAATCACATGACGCGGCTGACTTATCAGTTAATTTTTCTCTCGATAAGATCAACTTGAAGAGGGGAACAAAATCCAAAGCCGAGTAACAAACAGACAGTCATACACCATGGCGCCCACGCTCTGTTTCAACTGCCAGGCCGCGCGCGCCATCATAATCCGGCCCAAGAACCGACACAAGTTATGCAAGGCATGTTTTCTCGAAATCTTCGAAACCGAAATCCACGAAACCATCATCTCCACCTCGCTCTTCAAGCGGGGGGAACAAGTCGCCATCGGCGCCAGTGGCGGCAAGGACAGTACCGTGCTGGCCTCGGTTCTGAAGACGTTGAACGAGCGATATGACTATGGGCTAGACCTGATTCTGCTCTCTATCGATGAGGGCATCAAGGGCTATCGAAATGACAGTTTGGAGACCGTCAAGCGCAATGCGGTGCAGTACGAGATGCCGCTTGAGATTGTCGGGTATGATGAGCTGTACGGCTGGACGATGGATCAGGTTGTTGCTCAGGTGGGCAAGAAGGGGAATTGTACCTACTGCGGCGTGTTTCGCAGACAGGCTCTGGACCGCGGCGCTGCGAGGCTGGGTATCAGGCATATTGTTACGGGCCACAATGCGGACGATGTTGCAGAGACAGTGATGATGAATTTGTTGCGAGGGGATTTACCGCGTTTGTCTCGAGGGACGAGTATTGTCACTGATCAAGCGAGCGTGGACATGAAGCGTAGCAAGCCTCTGAAATATGCGTACGAGAAGGAGATTGTGCTCTACGCGCACCATAAGAAATTGGATTACTTCAGTACGGAATGCATCTACTCACCCGAGGCATTTCGTGGCAGCGCTCGAACACTCATCAAGGATCTCGAAAAGATCCGCCCGAGTTCTATACTTGATATTGTGCGGAGCGGTGAGGATATGGCATCAATGGTGCCTCCTGAGGTCAGCAACAGCGGGAGAGCCGCTGCTGCTGCTGCTGCCGCCGCCGATGCAGAGGATTTCTCGACTGGTGGGTGCGGCAGCAATAATGGCCGGTCAAGTGGCGGCGAAATGGCCGCGATGGAGAAGCAATTAGCAGCAAACGAGGCAGCACAAGAAGACGAGATAGAAATCACCTTGCCAAAGTCGCAGTCTGCGTCTTCTGTCGCGCCGGCATCGAAGGAGGCCAACAGCAAGAAAAAGCAAATCCAGTTTCAAGTCAAGGGGAAGCCGGTGCGGGCTCAGGTTATAGGGAAATGTGAACGATGTGGGTACATCTCGAGTCAGAAGGTTTGCAAGGCTTGCATGTTGCTGGATGGTCTGAACAGGAATAGACCCAAGACAACTATCGAGGTTGGATACGAGGATGAAGAGAGTAGCTCGACGCTGATGCGGCAGATGGAGAGCGTTCAATTGACCTCAGGTTGATGCTCAACGAGTATTACCTGACTATAGAAAAACCACCGCCATCACGTCCTTGTCTGACCATCACGCGTACGACCGGCCACAGACCTCTTACCGGACTGGTTAACCGTCCCATGCGAACATTGTGGTCGAACAACTACCAGAGTCGGAGCAGCAAACATTTCCTTCGCTGCAACAAGCACACCACTAGAGAGGTTTCTCACGGCAAACCAAATCCTTGACGCTTGATTCAACAAATCAATGCTCTTTGGCAGCATAGAAGGTACCCTTGTTAGATTTCCTTCCTCTTCTTCCATAGATATATCTATACATGTATATACGCAATATCATACATAACCCATCCAATTCTTCAAGCTCACCAATATAGCTTTGATCTTGTAAGACTATTTCCAACTTCACTCCTTCCTCTCCCTCCCTTCTTGTTCTAAGTCCTCCGGCGCTATACCCTCCTTATTATCATTATCGGAATAGTCATTTTCAACGGGCAAATCCATCCCCACCCTCCTCGCCGTCAACCGCACCCTCTCTTCCTGATCCATGTCCATTCCCGGATTGTAACGTTGGAGGAGCGTGGCGTACATCCTCTGCGCTTTTGCATATTGCACGAATTGCTCTGCTTGTTGGATTTGGTGCTGTAATATCTGATTTGAGGATGCGCTAATAGTGGTAGAAGAAGAAGGGGTGGTGAATCGTTCTCGAAAGCGTTGTTTGAGTAGTGGTGGTGATGCTGCTGCTGCTGTTGAGGATGGCGATTGAGGTGAGGAAAGCGAGATGTGTCGACGGGGTAGTTCGCGCAAGAGTGCGCGGTAGAGCTGTCGGGCTCTGAGAGGAAGGTCTGCTGTCATTTTATTTGCTTTTATCCTTGTTGTTCGAATGAAGGATACAATCATAGAAGAAGTGAAGAGCTGGTTGGGTCTGGAAATAACGAGTCGAGACTGGATGATTAAAGATTTAAAGTACCGCCGCCGAGTGGATCCGTTGCTGCGCTAGCGTCGCTGCCTTACGAGTCAGGCCACGTATTTATGACCGCCAAGTCGTCAGACAGAATTAAAGAGTTCGAGTTCTATAAGCAAACGACTGTTTCCAAGTTTACTCCTGCCTCATTGAAGGCCCTTTACACGTCTCATGGCTAACAAATTTGAACAACTTTAGTCTGCTCTTGAAATACCGAAGCTTCTAGAGTGTCAGAAGCTTGCGTGATATAGGTACCGGTCCACTACTAGAGGCTTACATATATTCACAGCCGCTTTCAATCAGGAGGAGCATTCAAGACTTCCCAGGGATAGGAAATACTTCTCAGAAAGTGACAGGCTATTTTGGCATCTAAGTTCTACAGGGACTTCCAGTCATATGCTTTCTCCCAGGCAGCTGCAACCTTGAGGCAATCCACGTCCGAATATTTACGGGCGACCAGCTGCAATCCAGCAGGAAGCTTGACATTTGCATCCTCCCTAGCAGGAACAAAACCCACTGGGATTGAAAGAGCAGGGTGTCCAGAATCTGTGGGCTCTTTGTTAGTCACCACACGTCGATTCGAGAAAAAAGAAGACTCACTGTCGAATGGTGATGTGTTTGTTATCATGCCCGTTGTCCTCATCGCGAATTTCAGCATGCCCTCTTCGTAGCCATTCTCCGGCAGTTTCGGAGCTGGATGTGGCAGTGTAGGCATGGCTAAGATGTCGAATTCTTTCAGTGCCTTATCATAGGCGTCCTGAACAGAACAGATGTCAGCGCAACTTCACGAGCCGAAAAGGGAAGTGACCTACGCTGATAAACTTCTGGAGGTTCATGCATTTTCCCTGATGCGCCGGTCCGTGTTTCTCCGAAAACCATAGGTGGTTGAGATACAAGTTGGCTGCTCCAGGGCCGAGAGAGTCGAACTGCTGCTGAGTGAGGCGGGGGCCAACTAAAGCCAAACGATCAGTCATGTACAGCTGCTTTCTTCCTTCCATCCCGCCCAACAAGGCTTGTCGTCCGCAAGGGAGCGCAAGAGAGCTCATCCAGACAAGAGACGCTAATTTGTGTTCGGGGATTGAGACTGGCGCCACCTCTGCGCCGAGTGTTTCGAACTTGTCGACGGCGACCTGGACGCACTTGACAATGTTCTCATCCTGGCCGTCAATCTGGAAGCCTTCTTGGAGAACTCCAATCTTGATGCCACTCAGCATTCTACTTCGTGGCTTCGACACGATCTCGTCGACAGGTTTGACAAACTTTAGCCTCGCGTCATCGAGCTCCAGTAAAAGCTGCCGGTCATCCCATGTGTCTGGGCCGGCAATCGCCTCTAGAAGCAAGGCGCAGTCCCGAACCGTACGTGTCATCGGCCCCGCGTGGTCAATCGCCGCATCCAGGTTGATGATGCCCGTGTACGGCACCATCCCCCAAGTCGGCTTCAGCCCGACGATTCCACAGGAAGCCGCAGGGATTCGGATACTGCCGGCTTGGTCGCAGCCGATGGACATGTCTACAGCACCGGTCCCAACGAGGCGGGCGGAGCCACTACTGGAACCCCCAGCACTGAACCCCTGAGCCCAAGGGTTGTGTACATGGCCGGTACTGGCGGACGCGGATAGGCCCTCGAAGCAGGCATTTTCACATGCTAACAGGGTCAGCGTGTGGCTAGAATAGCGTTGAGGCTCTTCTTACCGGCCTTGCCGACGATGGTACCTCCGGCATCCATCACCCGAGTCGCGACGGTGGCGTCGACTTTCGGTGTCCACTCTACCATCGACGTCCCGTTTGTGCATGGCACTCCGGCGAACGCTATATTGTCCTTCAATGCGATCGTTCGGCCCTTGAGCAAGTCGCTGGTCGGCGCTGTACATTTTGCAGTAACCTGCTGGCGTCAGTCTTGCGCGATGCGAATGAACGGGCATTCCTGACCTTTGCTGCCCACCCGCCGAGATTGTTGTCCTCGGGGACGTGAATATCAGTTCGTGGATACTTGCTGAGGTCCGGAATGGGCATGACACAGCTGTCGTCCGGCAGGTTGGCGATTACGGCTTCGAGACCGCTGACGAGCGTGACGAAATCCGCCGCCATTTGATCCGATAGCTTGATGCCCCCCTTGGCAGCAATGTCCACGACATCCTCTACAGCTACGCTCGCCGCCTCAGCGTCGACTCTGACAATAGACATCTCAAGTTCGATGTTAAACTGGACCTGGATATTGGAACAGCTCCCGGTACATAATTGGAGCCAGAAGCCGTGACTATAAGTAGCCGGACCAAACCAGAAGCTCAGCCCATCTCGTCGTGCTCTATACCCTGGTGGATTACCTACTTGTCGCATGGAAAAGATCTGGATAGAAGAGATCCACTCGGGCCAATCTCCGACTGGCGTTGTCTATCGGCGCTATTGTCGGACTTTTGCTAGCTCTTCTCCGCTGGCCCGCCCGCCAGACCCATGAGATGAAGTAGACAGACGTATCGCGAAGTCAGCATCTCGACTCTCTGGAGCAATCGAAAAAGTTTTAGTCAGGCAGGAAATAGCGGCGGCCGCCGACTTGCGATACCGGCAGCTTGGTTCTTTTATACCGAGGTCCTAAGGGCTTTATTTCAAAACATTACTTTCTCGAGCCTTTTCAGCACTACACCAGCGACAGTTTCACCACCTGACTTCATACCACAACCTGCGCACCATGACAACTCAGCCCGGTAGTCTTGCGGGAATCACGGTGCGTGTACCAGCTTCCTATACTTGTCAAGGCAAGCCTCGCTGATTTGTAACTAGAAGTGGCCCATTAGCCATGAGGTACCGGATTTGACTGGCAGGATTGCTTTGGTCACAGGCGCAAAGTTTGTTAGCTATGTGTTCTTGTCTACTCTGTTCGCTCTAACATATTCCAGCTCTCCAGGAGGAATGGGCTTCCACACAGCCTACCAGCTGGCCAGTAAAGGCGCGAAGCTGTACATAGGCGCCCGAAGCGCGTCCAAGGCCCAGTCTGCCATACAAGAGATGAGAAAAGAGAACCCGAGCATCACCGAAGATCAGCTTGTGCCCTTTGTCGCCGACTTGGGTGATATAAAAGCGGTCCGAGATGCTGGCCGGGCCATGCTGCAGTCGGAGAGCAGGCTAGATATCTTGGTTCACAATGCTGCCATGTACCTGAATATGTCGCGCCCTCTGCACACAAAACACACTGACATGCTCTCTAGCATCTCGATGCCAGTTGTGATAAATCCTGACGGAATTTCGGTCTCTTTCGCCACCAAGTTAGTTCTCACTTGAGCCTTCTCATACTCTATAAAATATACCTGCTGAAAGTTTTAGTCACTTTGGTCCCTTTGTCTTAACAAAGACGCTTATGCCTCTCCTGGCACAGGCGGCGGAGATCACGGGAGATGCTCGTGTTGTTACGGTATAGAGATTTTATTATACTATTTAGTGCTCTGGCTCATTGCATCGCAGATCTCGGCAACGGCATATAAATTTCTCCCTCCAGGTATTCGATTTGACTCCATAGATAGCTTCAACGTCGAAATGGAGCCTACTACACTTGGCGGTGCAGACTTCACTCGATATAGTAAGATATTCTTCCAGATAGTTCTACAATGGATTTCTTTGTTAACTAACTAATCCTCGAAGGTTTATCAAAACTGGCGAATATTCTATTTGCAAGGCAGCTCCAGAAGAACTTTGATGCAGTTAACATGAATGCTATCTCAATGGCCATTCATCCGGGGCTAATCAAAACAGGTATCAGTCTTCTTAAGCCCTATACTTTCTCAACTATTTGATTCATACTAATCGTATTGCAGATGGAGTCATTAACTGGCTACCAGCGGATTACCTCGAGGGTAGGCTGACACCAGCCGAGGGAGTTGTAACAGCACTGTTTGCAGCCACTAGCCCCAAAGTATTCGCTGAGAGGGATGTTTACAAGGGCGCGTTCTTGGTCCCTCCGGGTTCTATAGAAGCGCCTGTTGGCGATGCCAGGGACGAAAAACTTGCCCAGGAGCTATGGGAAACTTCTGAGCGCATTGTGGAATCTGTGTGTGGCAAGTCTGGAATGACTGAGCAGTAAGGTAAGGTCAGGTATATCCCAACACCTTCGCAGAATGTCTGTGTATAGAAGGTGAGCATTGCCTTTTAAATTGAATGCATGAATTCTTTCTTGAGAGCAATGGAGTAGAACTAGACAGGAAACACCAAATAGTATGTGGATGGCGACAATATTGAGTTAGATATATGCAACAACAGCAAAGTACAACAAATATATGACCATGAGAGCAAACAAGTAAATAAATAAAGGGAGGATAGGTCTCGAACGACACACATCAACTTGGATTACCCGACTAACTAACTTGAATTTATGAAACACTTAATGCTTCTGTTCATAGTTATGTTCACTGGGCGATCCGAAACAGTTATATACAAGAAAATAAAAGCTGTGATCTTGCTATAAAAACAAAAGAAGATGGAACGTGTTGTGATATCTAGTTTCAGCTTTGAATTGTAGGTTTGAATTATAAGCATAAGTGCATGATATTCATACCTCTCCAAGAAGGACATTTACAGTCTCAATTTAAATTGAAAAAGGCCCCAACTATATGAAGTTTGGATGTTGGTAGTGACAAATCCTCGCACTCCGAACATTCAAGAGCAATTTGTCCCCGATCAGAATGCGAACAGCACGAAATGAAGTGATATTGGGGTTGTGCTCTCTCTCTACACATTCTGCACGAACAACGTATCTTGGACTTGAATATTTACTTCTCACCAGTATGCCTCTTAGCCGTGAGGTTTTCTACGGGTGCATCGACCCTATAGTTCATGGCTGCGCGCAGATCTTCCAGGAAGAAGCATGCCAGACACGCCGCAGCACCGAAAGGGATCGCGATGTAGTAGACAATGTGCAGTGCGTCTGCGTACGCCTGTTTCATGGCCACCATCCCCGCGTCGACTATGGTAGAGTTGACTCCCGGAATAGCGGCCAGGGCTGCGGTGTCCTGCGCCGTCAGAGCGCTTATAAACGCCGACACCTGGTCGGCTGCCAGGCCCGTTTTAGTCACGGCGCTTGCTATCTCAGTGGGCAGCTTGACATCGAGGCCGGAAGCGTATGCCGCGCTGAAGATAGCCGTGAACACCGTTGCGCCAACAGCGCGGGCAGAGGTCGTGACAGCTGTAGCAGTAGCGATGAGGTGATGCGGTGTCGAGAGTTGGACGCCCGCTACGATGAGGACAAGCGGGGCGCCAAAGCCCAGACCGGCGAGGCCAGCAAATATGAGGCATCTCAAATCATCGCGAGGCTGGATGGTGGCGAGGCCGACAAGCCCCCCGGTGTAGATGAGGAAGCCAGCGAAAAGCGGCGTGCGAATGGTTCGGAACCGCATGCTCCAGTAGCCCCAGACAGCGGTGGACAAGCCCGAGACAACCCAGAAAGGCAATCCACGAACGGTGAGGAGGAAGGGATCCTTTTCAAAAAACTCAGATGTCCTAGTGTTTCCCCACAATGTTATTAGGCTACTCACAGGTGATAGAGAGAGAGAGAGAGAGAGAGAGAGCGAGTATGGATACTCACATGATAGGATAAAAGAGGACATATGAGAACAGTAATATTCCTTCGATAACCATGAGGAAAATACAGATGGAAAACGTGCGGCCACCTGGTTTGCTTCCTTGGAAGAGCCCATGATGCAGAATTCCAGTCGTAGTACCTTTCCACTCATAGACGCCAAAGCCGATGAGGGTTACCAGTCCAATGACCAGCAATGACAGTACACGGGCGTTGGTCCATGAGAAGAGCCCGCCTCCGAGGTTGAGCGCGACCAGGAACAAGGATAGACCGGCTGCGAGTAGAAAAAATCCCGGTAGATCCAGGCGTGTCAGTTTCTGCCAGAAGGAAAGGTGATCGAGCCGAGTATGTCGCTTTGGGGGTCGGTAGCCAAAGAAGATGCCGATTGCTGTCACCCCCCAGAGGGCCATTTGCACCCACTGTCGACGGTCAGCGTGGATACATAGCTAGGTAGAAAGGTGGCCTGCTTACATAGAATTTCTTCCAGCCATTCACCTCATCCATCTCGGTGAATGCCCCGATCGCTAATGGGCCAGCCACTGCACCGAGACATGCAGCGATATTCATTACCGCCTGAGACACTATAATCAAAATGTCAATACAGACAGATGGATCGATACCACCATCACTTACTCGGCCTCCATTGTCGCGGTAAGATCTCACTCGGTACGGCAAAAGCCAACCCCACAGACGAAAAGCCAATGCCAATGAGTATCGTAGCCCCGATCAACCGGTAGATGTCCGTCGAACCGGGTGCAATGGCCGCGCCAATGAACGACATGGCCGAAGTGCCCACAAGAAGCAACTTCCGCGCCTGGAACATATCGGATGCGGAGGAAACGAGGGGGGAGACGACGGCTTGCATAAGTGTAAGGGAAGCAGAGACCCAGGTCTCGGCTTGAACGTTGTTCAAGGAAACGCCAATGTACGACAGCTTTGCTTTCACGGTCAATCAATCTTCTCATCCTGAGAGGGAGGAGCTTGCTTACGACGGACGGAGGGCCTTGAAGTGCAAACGTCTGAACGAAGTTCATCAGGAACATGGAGGCCAGTGCGATCCATGTTCGTAGATGGATGACAGGTTCCTCATCGACATTGTCGTAAACGAGGTCTTGCGTAGGGGGGCTAGTGATCTTTTCGACATCTCCAATGGTGAGGCTTGCAGCCGGGGAAACTCCAAGTGACACATCGGTGTGTTCGCCCATGTTGCTCGCTGTTTTGAGGAAATACACAAGTAGACGTTCCAGTGCTCGAGAATGCCCAGCAAAAAGATTCCCGGTTTAGGGCTTTTATCCGCCGGATGTCAGACTTGATGTACGTTGGCGCCTAGATTAGAGAGGCCCAATTGCCATCTTCGACGAGCATTAAATGTCGTGAGATCCATTAAAAAGGCTCGCAGCTGTACATGCACACCAGCGATAAGGCCATGGATAGAGCAACAATCACAGATACAAATGAGGATTCCAAGCGGCGGAAATTTGCGAGTGGCGGAAATTTGCGAGCAAACTAACTTTAACTCTTTCTAGGAGTGGAACTCATCACACGATATGAGGATGAATGGCGTGTGGGTTTGAGTAGGTCCTTTTCGACGTAGAGTTTGAGGGCTTTGCTAATCGGAGTGAAAGAAAGTCATTTCTGTTTTCCATCCCACGAACGATAAACGGGCCAATATTTTGGGATTTGGAGCAGCGGGGAAAAAGGGGAAAAAAAGAAAAAAAAAAAAAAAAAAAAAAAAAAAAAAACCTCCAGCGGTATAAAGCAGTTGTTAAGTAACTCTGTAGCGGCTGGGTTAGAGGCGTCACTACTACAACAATGGCAATCACCTCTCCAGAAGCACCCTGGGTGCCCATCGCCCGTCGCAAGCAAGGCCATCGGAACGCCTGTATCCCGCCACAATGGCGCATACCCTCCGCTCACTTGCCTAAAGACCCTCCGCGCTTCGCGGACGGACTTCAAAGTGCCCTAGATGTCCCTTCGAAAGTGTTGTCCAAGGAAGAAATCAAGATCACCGAGGACTACACCGTCGCCACATTCCTCGAGGCGATATCACGCCGACGGTTCTCCGCCGAGACGGCGATAGACGCTTTTTGTCATCGAGCAGCGGTGGCACATCAGTTGACGAATTGCTTGACCGAGCCCTTGTTCAAGCAAGCTGCAGAGCGTGCGAGGTTCCTGGATCGATATCTGGATGAGCATGGGACCACCCTTGGTCCTTTGCACGGCTTGCCGGTCAGTGTCAAAGATACGTTCGATATCAAAGGAGTCGATAGCTCCACCGGTTTGGCGGCATTGTGCTTCAAGCCGGCCGAGAAAAATGCACCTCTGGTGGATCTTCTATTGTCGTTGGGAGCAGTCATTGTGGCCAAGACCAATGTGCCGCAGACGTTGTCAAGCCTCGACAGTATAAACAACGTCTTTGGAAGAACGATGAACCCTGTCAATCGACTTTGCACAGCGGGTGGAAGCTCCGGAGGGGAGGGTGTCATGGTGGCCATGAAAGGCTCTCTCGTCGGGTTTGGCACCGATCTTGGTGGTAGCGTGAGAATTCCAGCCATGGCGAATGGAGTTTATAGTTTCAAACCGAGCAACTCGAGGCTACCATACGGTGGACAAGCAGTGTTGGTGACCGAAGGCATGACCAGGCTGGGTGTGCAACCCGTGTCAGGTCCACTGGCGCGGAGCATCGACGATATCAACTTGATCATGAAAGAGCTGGTACCAAGGGCCGGCCTGTGGGGGGAAGATTGCGTGTTTGGCGAGTGGAATGATGCTCAAGGCCGCCTCCAAGGAGCTGGGCCGAACGGAGAGATTGTCATCGGTGTGCTGCGATGTGATGGGAACTGCACCATACTACCACCCGTGGACCAAATTCTTTCTGAAGTCACATCGAGCCTGAAAAAGCAGCCAAACATCAAGGTTGTCGAAGTTTCGACTCCAACGGCATGGACCCAGTCACAGAGTGTCATGGACAACCTGATCAGCATCGACGGCGGTGTCCTCATGGGAAAGCTCTTAGAGTCCACGCAAGAACCGCTGGTTCCCTGGATGCAATCGAGATTCAAAACCAGCGAGCCCTGCCAGCTTACAGAAGTGGCTCGGTTACAAGCTAGGCGCACGGAACTCGAGTATGAGATGCTACAGATCTGGTCAGAAGTGGATAGATATGGCAGGAGGACGAGGAAACTCGACGCCATCATTTGCCCTGTGGCACCTCACCCTGTGCCCGAGATTGACAGATACAACACTTTGGGCTACACGAACGTTTTTGTCATGTTCGATTATCCTGCAGGCACCATCCCCATTAGAGATGTGGTCGAGCAAGATCTTCGCCTGGGACAGCCACTCGGGGGGGAATCGTTAAGTATCTCGGACGCTGGGTGCCGAGAGTTGTGGGACGAGAGAACTGTCAACAGGAAAGTATACCTGGGCACCTCACTGAGCATACAAGTCGTTGTACCGCGACTCGAGGACGAGAAATTGGGGAGAATCATGACTTTGATTGATAGAGTGGTGAAAGGCCACACAACCGGTCCCAAACTTCCTGAATGAGATGTGCAAGATAGTCGCATAAGTGAGAGTCTAAAGGTATCCATCGTTAGATAGCATTTGGTAACTAGGACATGGCCCTCAAGTATATGAACCAGTGAATAGCGTTACAAGCTCGAGACTGATAAGATATTCCAACAGTTACGTAGCCAGTCGATAGCTAGTTTGGGGCTCAATTGGAGCTTCCACTGCAACATCTTAGGTAATGAATGCACTTGAGGATTCGTTGAGCCATTCTCTTGGTATCATCCTCGGTCGCTTCATGTACGCATATTTGATTATGGGGGATTGGGATGATATCAGGCAGCAAAAGGAAGCCCAGCTGTACTGATCGAGACAATCGGACCAAGGCATTGGCGGTTTGAGTCTCTGGAATTTGTGCAGATAAACCAACCCAGGTAGTGCATCTTTTTGTCAAAATCATTGGCTTGTGAAGCCTGTTCCGAGTCAACTTTATTCCAGTCAAACTTAGAATAAGTCGTTTGCACATGATAGAGATCACTAAAATTCATTCTGGCTGCATCCCCTGACTAGTATGGTAATATGTACTAGATCTTAGATTTGACTGTACAATCCTTCTAGTATCTCCGAGAATCCCATCGACAAGTTGGCCGGATCAGCCTCCATCAACGCCATAGTTGCTAAGCAAGATCGCACCGTTCGTTCCCAAACCTTATGATCCGCCGCATCTCGCTTCTCTGAAGAGAGCAGATGAAGCGCAGCAGAGAAAAGAAGGTGTGAAATGGTCCAATCAGTGGGGAATACCGGAATCTGGTGGCGCATCTCATGGTCGTGAATAGCGCAAAATGAATGTTGATGCTCTCTGACGAGGAGGCTACAGCAAGACACAATTTCTCGAACAGCGTTCAAAACATATTCAGACGTTTCCGATGAGAACCTGGAGAGCATGAGAATAGTTTCATTGTATTGCAAGCTGGCCCATGCCTCGAGATACTTGACAGCTCCTCCCCAGTCGTGCATGTCGCTCGTGATAGCGGGCATAAAGTCCATTTTCCAAGATTGGTGCCAGTGGAGTAGTTCATCTCGAACCTTTTCACATCTTTCCTTCAATTTAACTAGATTGCGCTGCATGGATGCCTCGGAGAGCAGGAGGCTTTGTAATTGCATTTTCATTGTCGAGATTCGGTAGAACTGTATAGATACGCGTTCTTCCGTGGTATTACAGATTGGTTGAGTCAATTCCTACAAAAGTGTCAGTTCAGCTTGCATGCGGTGGAAAAAATATTGCCCTGACATCACGTAATTTATCTCCTGTGATCAACACCGTTGGCCGACCAAATGCGGTAGTAACTTTCCTGCTCTTGTTATCAGTGCAGTGCTCTCGATTCAGGTATTTTGGTTCAGGTATTTTGCACGTACCCCTCGATGCAATACAAGGTTCTAGCGAGCATAGTGAGATGACCTTCATCCAGGCCATTGATATTCTCGAAACGGCCGTGAGACATGTCAAAGTAGAGGCGAATCGCAAAACCAAGATTCCTCCAAATATCGCCTCCACCAGGGCTTAAGAGCAAGTATATGCACATGAGCAGAGATCTCTGCATCATATGCAAAGTATTGGAACCCGACGAGTGATCACAGCTGGTGTCGACATGTGAAGTGGCTTTTTCAAAGTATGCAGCCGGTGTGAAGCTTGCCCCGTGCTCCGCCCTCTTCGTTAATTGGCTGCTTATGGCGAGAATCAAGTAGAACAGCTCCTGGTTGTGGTCCAGGCAAGAAGCAAGTGGTTCGGTGTAGCAATATGTGAGCAGGCCCTGTAAAGAGTCGTCATTCATGACGGGGTACCACACGTGGACTGATCTGTGAAATACCGCAAACAGACGCAAGGCGGTCGAAGCATCCGGGCGGCTGACCTGGACCGTTGATGTGCTAGAATCAAGGATCGATCTGGCACTGGGTTCGCGTCCGAGAGTTGCAGGGGTGTGTTCTGCTAGCGGAAGCATAACTGGATTTATCGAAGCAAGATGACTTGACACGCCAAAGAATAAATAATCCGGATTTGTGGTCCGTATAGAGGACATGAGCTCGTCTTGCGACTTTCCGGAGACGAGATTGGACGTAGTCACAGCTGGGATCAAGAGATTGATGCCCCAAATTAGCTGTGAGGAGGCTTTAGAGACAGGCTTCGTAGGAAGTGTAGATGTCGAAGGCATATTTTGAGGCGGTGGTACAAGTTGGTTTGCCGCAGTAATTCTTTGAATTAATTGATGGATATTTCTAGGATGCGAAAGTGCTCTTATAAGCTCTTTGAACCCAGCAAAAAAACCACGACTAGGAGGTAATGACTAACCTCCGGGGCACTTCTTGCGATAATATAACATCATAATAAACGCACTCCCGGCGCGATTTGTGACAAGCACCACAGCATGGAAGCTCACGATCGCATCGAATATGTTGATCGCGACAGAAGCTGCAAGACGGCATTGAATCAATGGCATCCTTGATGTCTTTTGGAAGCTCTAGGATTGGTATATCGTTGGTAGCGTCTGCGGTGCTCGTGAGAATCGTCTGCTGTTGTTGACCTAGCCAAGGGGATTCAAGAAAGTTAAGTGAGTATGCCTCCTCAAAATCAAATTGAGCTCCAATGAACTCCTGCCAAATATCATCTGTAAATGGCTGTTGAGAGTACTCGTGAGACGACGAAGGTTCTACAGATAGAAATTCATGTTGGACCTCAGTGTTTGCTTGATATATACTGCGAATGCGACGTTGCGAGAGCAGTAATTCAAGCTCCGCAAGGAGCTTTAAATCATTTGCTGAGCCGATCGAACCTGGCTGATTTGAAAATACGGCATCTCGGAGATCTCTAATATACAACCCGGTGATAGCAATCACTGGCCACCTCTGTGCCTCAGTATCCTATTTGGATTTAGCGCCCATTGATATTTGCAAGAAAAAAAAAAAAAGAAACAAAAGTCTTGAGTGTTACTCACAAGGATCGCCATAAAGTTGTCAAATGCAGAAAGGAGCTCATTTTCTAGAGAAGCTTCCCGGACGACGTGTCCATAGTTCCTGAAGATGTACAGTAGTACAATTGCTGCTTGAAACGCATCGTTAACTACCACAAAAGTCCAGGTCAATCTCGTATTCCGAAGAGTTTTGTGGTAACCATTGATCAGGCTGATCGCGCTTGTCGTTGCGGCCATTAAGGAAGCATGACTTGGTGCCATATTTCCTGGATATGGTCGATGCAACAAGTTCTGACTATGATGTGCAGTGCTGACTATCCATTGCGGAACGATACCATCCGAGGAAGCTGAAAGATTAAACATGCTTCTTATGCGCTCTTCCATGTGCTGAACCCAGTCTGCGTGACTCGAAAACTGGTTTGGAATAGCCCGGTCGAAGAATTTGATCTCGTATATCTCGGATTGAAGCTGGCATAGTTGGATCTGTAGCAAGAAATGTTTCGCATTTAGTCTTTTTTCACTATATGATGTAGAAACCCCAGCAGTATGGCTCCCTTCTTCATTACCACCAGGCAAGCATGTGGTTATATGCTCATCGCTCACACATGGGGGTGACCCTGTAGATATGGCAATAGTCCTGTCGATCAAATAGACCTTCCCCGTTGTTAGTGCCGAGAAAGAGAACCAACAGCGTGTTTATGGGCTTTCAAAACTGTACCGTCCAAAATAACTGTCTCCGGAGGCTTACATCCCGTGAAGTGAGTCCCTGGGTAGGATCTACCTCTTGATGAAGACCTAGTCCGATGGCCATGCGTACGGCTTCACTACCCAAGAAGTATATATTATTGATATATGGCAACAGAAAACCTAGTTGTATCAACAGAAGAAGTCCCTGAAGTGATCTGATATTGGAGTGCTTTAAGAAGGTCCAATGGCGCATGGCATCGCGGTAAAGCGACTCGCTCATTGACGCGACTCTGGAGAAGTCATCACATCGTGAGGTGAGGCAGCTGACTGCCAACACCATCGATACAATAAAACGGCTGATATCTGGAGATCTGGAGACGTTGGTCTGTCTAGAATAAACTTGCCCAAAGTGATGCCATAGCTCACCGCTGGTAAAACATGGATATCGCGGTAGGATCGTATTCACGTAGTTGTCAAAGATGTGCCTTGCAACTTCGAAAGGGATTCGCAAGGCATCGATTCCCCAGAATTGAGACTCATTGTCATGGCCTGCTCGTTTTCCAAGATGTTCGTAGTAGAGTCCATGTACTGGAACCTTGTGAGGAGGTCGTTCTGTCGGGTAGAATAACTTGGATTCGTGGAGGAGACCCGGGTGACTGCCCACGCAGCTCGTTGTATACAAGCTGCGTATTGAGATGCTTATCGTCTGGAGGGCTTGAGCGTAAATAGTTTGAGAGACACTGGATGTCTTTAACTCTGTCCTTTCTGACTCGACTTGAATATAGTGCGGTTCTGTCCAGCCTCTTTGCTCTTGCTCAGTCTCAGCTAATTGCTTCTCCAAATACTGGAGCACACTGCAAACAGTCTTAGTCTCGGCCAAACGCGACAATAAGATACGGGTGGAGCACCTTCGTGGGACTTTCTTGCGGCTATGCCGGTTGATGCCTACACACTCTTTACCTGCTATGATGCATCGAGAGCAAGAAGGCAACTTCTTGTCGCACTGAATTCAGGTGTCAACTGGCTGCTCAGTCCCGCAAATTCGGCAGACCAAAATTCAAGATTTCTTCACCTTCTTCTTTAGTGAATAGCACCTAGCGCAGGCTAGTACAGGTTGGACACGCTGACGGTCAGGCATCGCCTTGAAGACTTGCAACGTGCATGCACACACTCAGGCGGGCGAGGGTTCCGAGCGAATGCCGGCTGATATCAGAACGCCAAGTGTCTATGTATTGGGGATTTCTTCTCGCGAGCCGAATTTTTTCCGACTGGAATCGTGGCTAGGGTGATGTGACTGGCTGCGAGTGCATTGTATTCGCAAGTAGAAGGGCAGTAATTCCACAACAGGATGGTATAGACCTGTTAGAATCACGTGCTTCCAGATGCATGTTGGAACTTGTGATGTGCTAACCAGATTTGGATTAGGAGTCAGGAAATCGGCAAATACCAAGTATGTCACGGAGTTACTTGTGTCGTATTGAATATAGGCCACGACTGAAATCAACCTGGTAGAAATACAGAAGTAACAAAAATAATTAACACAATGCATCAGGCTCGTATCCAGGATGGAGGAAGGCTGGATATGTGAAGCTATCCGGAGGCCTCATTTACTAACCTATAACGAACTAGCGTATATATCTAGGCCAAATCCGGTAGTGGCCCATATCAAATCCGACAATCAGACAAGTAGATAGCCTATTGCAAGGCTGCGATTCGATCCATATCGAGGTCAAAACAGGTACATTCGAAATCACGAAGACAAACCATATGGTTTGACATCCGACTTTTCTAAACCGGAAAGAGCAAGTGTAGGAACGTCAAAGGAAATCCGGTACGTAGATAGGTAAAATGACTCAGTTTGAAGTTGTAGCAGACTAATTTGTAAAATCTGTTTCAACACGCACTATATAACATAAAGATATCTCACAAATACAAACCAGTGCTTGAAGGGGTATGGTAATTTCATGAAACATAAACATAATACATGGGAAGGATATATATTAAAAAAAAACAAGGCCACGAAAAAGTCGAGAGCCATGTTAAATCTCTCAAGTGCGCAGCCAGCGCTGTCCCCACGTCTTGTTTCTATCGACTGCGCCTCCAGAGGGTTCCACTTGCAGGCTTCGTGAGTACAGGTCCTATGGGTCGCATTAGATATGATCGTCCGGAGTAATAATAAGAGGGAACTCACCTCTTCATCAGCCATTTTTGCATCTAGTACCAACCGTTGCACGACTTCATTCTTATGAATGTGTGGGTACGGCGTGCGCTGACTGCGTTGAATGGCGAGAACAACTTCTCCCATGATTTCAAACTTCTTCCAGTTTATTCGCTCCTTATTATCGCCCACAAATGTCTTGTTGCCCTCTTCTGCTGATACGAGATCGCGTCTATGAAGTGGTAGAAACGGGATACGTTCTCCAAACGAGTTGTCCCATGCCAGACGGTATGCAAAATGACTCCGTTGCGTACCCATCAATATGACGAGCCGTAGGAAATCTTTTTGAAGGGGAAGAGGAATCAAGTCTCGTGTTTGTGCTAGTCGCTGGACAGGCGTGCCGTTGATGCCTGCCATGACTGCACCCAGGGAATTGTAGTTATTCAGACGTCGAAGCTTCTACAAATGACGCAGTTCGTTAGTCTCTTGGTAATTACGACAATACGACAGGTAAGAAAAACCTACCAATGCAATGTTCATGAACTTTTCCATAGCCTTTGCGCGGTGTTTAGCTTTATCCCGCAGTAATATCATGCTTGCCACCAGAAACGCTAGATGGTTGAACTCCCGAATCATGCGATTCACATGTTGCAGACTTTTTGTGTGCTCCTTCTCGGGGCCAGACAGACTAACATGGCGGACAAGATCCCGCGGCGTGAAGGAAGTAAACATGATCCAGTCAATACGAGTGAGTTCGCGGGCGAAATCGTCGTCTGGAATCTCCATAAATTGCCGCCACTGAATCTTGGTCAGCAGATACCGAGGAGTAAGTTCCAGACTCATTGCCTCTCGCTGCACGTTTTCTAGGGACATCATAGCTGAAGATGCTTGTGTTATGGTTGATATTGACCGCCCAGTACTAGATATTGTGGATAGGGTTCCCGAGTCCCTCGAGGACTCAGTCGTTGGCTCTTCGGACAAATCCAAGGAGCTTATATTATTAAGTATTTTCTCTGAAAATGAAGAATGGATGAAAGTGGACGGTGACATGCGCGTGGATGATTCACCACCCAAAGACCCAGTCCTCTCATAATCGTCGTCTTCTTCTCCGTCCCGAAAAGGCCAACCGACCTCGTCGTCTTCCATTCGAGTCTCGAGATGGAGGCTGATCTCTTTGGCTGCAAACATATACACATGACTGTCCTCAATCGAATCGACAAACTCAAGTATCCTCTGGCGAGTCATGGGATATGCAAAATCCCCCGGGTATTCTGAAGCCCACTGCGCAATGACTTGAAGCAGCCTCAACTGCTCAGACGCCCGAGTCAATTGAGGCAAGTCACTTTGTTCGGTTTTCTCGAAACGGGTAATCAGAGCATTGAGCAGCATCGACGGAGAGGCAAATTTGCGATATAGACATAAGAATATGGCAACGAACTTGGCGTCCTGCTTGGAAATCGGTAACGCGATAAGCCGGTCAATCAATTCGTCGAATGTCACTCCCGGGTCACTGGGCACTGTGTCGTAGGAATGTTTTTCCTGTATTTGCTCGGAGCTCGCTGGTCTGCTTCGGGAGTCGTCGGTCTCATCGTCCATGTCCAGAAACGAACTGAATGCATCTGCCGATCCGGCGCTATGACGCCAGGTTGTCCGGAGGGCACTTTGGCGCCGCGGAGGGCTGCTCGAAAGGCCCGGCGAGGAAGGCCTGCGTGGATTCATCCGTGTTCCCGAAGGAGGAGTGTTTGGTCGCACTGGGTGTGAGTTGCTGCGGCCATTTCTCGAACCGGGAGCATTGAGAGCCACGGTGGTGGCTCTTCGTCGGTTGGGGAAAGGCCCACCGACGGCACGAGGCAGGATGCAACAATTAACGAACGAGAGGACGATAGCAGAGTGTGATTTGACGTCTAAATCCCCGAGAACACTAGCTGAAACGGTCGGAGCAGATCCGACGAGCTGTCAATGCCTCCAAAAGCAAAGTATTTTTTTTTCTTTGCTTTTTTCTCTCTTTTCTGGAATCAGTGAAGCCGCTGCTCGGGGCTATTAGCACGGACACGCAATCAGAAAGAAAGCGAATGTGGAAACGGAGCTCACGGCAGTGCTCTCGGCCTGTAGCAGGAGCAGCACAGCGTTTGTCGAGGGACTGAGACAGGAGCTACTGTTGGCATCAGAAATTGGACCCGACCGAGTGGATAGGAGGAACTTGCAGAGAGCGCAGGCAGAGAGAATCCAGGCCCATGATAGCCGGCAGGGGGCAATGCGCGGCTAGCGGGCCTAGCGTGCTTGCTATTAATCCTTCTATTAATCCTTCCCACCGTGGTCTGACCAGAGCACTCGAGTTACACATGCACGTGCGGCGAGAGGTCTCGGAGTTCTCTGTCTGGCATTGGCGGTAATTATATCTTCTACGCTGCTGATGTGTATCCGGAGGAAAGGAGCACCATCTCCTCCTTTTCCTGCTCCTCCTCCAATGCACGCGCAAGCCTCACGGCGACGGGTTGTACGGTATTTTCCCGGGACTACCAATGTCTAATTCAATTCTACTGATCCTCCTGGCCATGCTGCAGGTGCCTACACATTCTTCTCTCCCATGGTCGCCCGGCAGGGTATCTCCCTCGGCGACGCTGTTGACCTTGACGTACTACATCTGCCCAACAGTCATTGTTCCTATAAACCGAGCTATTTCCGAGAGACGATCCTCCTTCACACGGTCATGCAAGCTAGCGCTTGAAGGTTAACTACTGGCACTTATCAGAATCGAACGGTGGAGAAACCTCGGTAGTCTGTATCCGATCTCGTTGTTGCGTGTCTGAGACGCCTCCGTATCATTTCCGCTTCGTGAAAGAACGCACCTCGTAGCCGGTTAGTCTACAATCTACGTGCTCGTGACGGACCATGTGAAATTCCCACCAACTCTCGCTCGGTTTCCAGCGCGCAGAGTGAACGAATGGTGCAACACTGCGAACTCACTTGGATTATTGAAAAGGGCGGAAATGCCTCAGTTAGGATTAGGCATCAATAATTCATTTTTTAGGGTTTAGGATCTACTATACGCGCACTATAACCTATTGTGCCGCTCAAGCCAGGCCAACCAGGCGCTAAATACATAATGCTATGAAGTTTTCGAACAGTCTGCTGTCGGGTAAAAGTATCCGGTGTATATACACTAGATTATCGGGACCTTCCTCTCATTTCTCGAAATATTCGCTGGTCAGCATGTAGTCTTTTACAGAACATACAGAAGAGCAATGGGATATTCCGCAGGAAAACCATCATTCACTCGGCGTGATGGGAGTGATGTGCATTAGGAACTTGAAATAGACTTGTGCAGTAGCTCTGCCAAAAACCCATCTCAGTAAAACCACTCCATACTCCATATCTGCCATAATATAAACACAAATCCTAGAGCCCAGATCAGGACGAACCTCCACGCTCACCAACAACCAGGGCAATAAATTTCATAAAGCCCTCGGCATCAGAGCCCGTACATTCCCCATCCTCACAGGTCTCTCTCCATTTCCTAACTTTCCCGACACCCCGATTAAACCCCTTTTCTGCCGTCCAGGCTCCTCGATTCGGCCTCTCGCGATGATGGGGTGTAAAGGACGCAGTATCCCATGCTTCTTCCTGGGTAGTCTTATAAATATCCCGTAGTTTGATGCGTAGACCTGGATACTCTGCGAGTAACTTTTGGTATTCTGCCGGAGAATTAAAGTCTTTGGTCGGTTGAGTGTTGCTGCTGTCTTCTTCTTCTTCTTCTTCTTCTTCCTCTTTTGGAAAAACTTCTTGTACAGCATTTTGGGCTGTCGATGCAGGTTGCTTCAGTGCACAGTATATTTTATGTGATTTTGTGCAGCCGAGAGAACAGCTTTTGTAGCGGTTGATTAGTTGAGTGTACCGTGAGAAGAGGAGCAGGAGTGGAAACATACCTCGATACGCCGCATGTAGGGCATTTATATTTGGAATTTTCTTTCGAGCATACCTCACACAGTCCGGGCATTCTCAGGTTTACCGATGCATGCAAATCTTTCAAATAACTGTCTTGAAGAATGATAATTAAGCTCTTTCCACGTGGTCGATATAAGGCTTCTTGTTAAGAACGGGTGACAGCTCTGGCGAGTTTTTTGTCAATGCATCATACATACATATATATATATTCCCGTATGGTCCGTGCGCAGATGAGCACAGTGAAGCATCTTCAAGACATTCATCTAATCCTCAAGATGAAATACTGTCACAAGAATCACGGATGAATTCCTCCAAAGCAGCTGCAGCACTCATTTAATCGACATTGAATTAGGCGTGGTTGCAGCAACAATGATATCACGTGCCTTTGACGTCAACGTCCAACTGGTTAGGTCCGGGCAAATTCTCGCCGGCAATTATTATTAATAATTATGAGAGTTTCAACATTCACCCTTGAATCCATCGACACCACGAGTCAAAACGTACCCAGAGATCTGTAAACGGAAGAAATAATCGGCATATCCACTCGCTACCACCATGTCGGCGCAGCAAGTGTCGCGGAGTGTCGTCAGACAGACTCTGCAACGGTCGCAGAACCTCACAACGCGGCGGGTTGACGCCGCCCGGTTCATCACACGAAGGTCCATTCACTACGTGCGGAGCAGTGCCCCTGCTATAACACCGTCTCAGAGTCGTCGTAGACCGATCTTACATCCTAATCACCAGACATCGGGCCTTCCCAAGATTAATGGGCCTTCTTCAGGCAATAAGCGATCTATATTCATCCAGACGGAATCGACGCCGAATCCTGATGTGAGTTCGTTGCTGGGCAGTACTTCAAATGCATTCAATATGACAACTGACTGATCTGACTTTATATCAAGGCTCTTAAGTTCTTGCCTAACCACCCGGTCTTGCCGGAAAACTTCTCCACTCCCTTCTTAGAATACCTCTCTCCGAGGTCAACGCTCGCTCCGCCGCATCCTTCACCATTGGCAGCCAAACTGCTCAATGTCGAAGGCGTGTCATCTGTATTCTACGGAACCGATTTTATTACAGTAACCAAGTCCAGCGATGTCAACTGGGCGCACGTCAAGCCCGAAGTTTTCAGTCTGATTACCGAAGTCGTCACATCCGGCGAACAAATCGTGAACACTGTTGAGCGCACTTCTGCCGGCGGAGAGAATGCGCAGGAAGGCGGTGAAGAGGACACGCTCGGATATAACGAAGAAGATGATGAAGTTGTCGGGATGATCAAGGAGTTGCTGGAAACTCGCATTCGGCCCGCGATTCAAGAAGATGGCGGAGACATCGAGTTTCGCGGGTTTGAGAACGGAATCGTGATGTTGAAATTGCGAGGAGCTTGCCGGACTTGCGACTCGAGCACTGTCACACTCAAGAATGGCATCGAGTCGATGCTCATGCATTACGTATGTTTTACCTCTATATCCATTTCTAATATCTGACCAATACAAAGCCTGACTGACTGACCTTGCCCAGATCGAGGAAGTTCAAGGCGTCGAGCAAGTTCTAGACCAGGAGGAAGAAATTTCCATGCACGAGTTCGCCAAGTTCGAGGAGAAACTGCGACAACAGAAGGGCTCCGGTGCTACAGCATCTTCGGCACTGGATACGGCGGGGGCTTAAAATGGACACTGCAATGGATTCAATTGCTGGTACCGGTTATGTACCAATGTCCCATGTACCATGTACCAACGTACTTTGATATTTCTTTATGGATATGCGTTAAGTGATAGAAAGAATGGATATGGATATAGAATCCGTTGACTAACTTACCGGTTACCAACTGCTTAATGATTGCCACAGTAAGCACCCATGGGGCGCATCAGGTGATTTAGCAGACGGTTGGATGTGTCGTGACGTCGGCGAATCAAACCACGAAAGAAAGAGCGACTTTTGCTGTCGCATGTGATTGATTTCACATTACTTGCATTGCATGCCTGCCTTAGGCACATCAGTCCACACGTCATATTCCCCGCCCTAACTCACTCTTCCTGGCCTGAGTTTTGCCTGAATATTTCTCTTCACGTACCCGTTTCTCTTTAACCCCGCCTTTTTTTTTTGGTCTCATCAAGCCTGGGCCTAAAAGTCTTAGAATTTGTGGGGTAGGCTCTGTAAGTTACCGTTAACCGACGTAAATTTAAGTACGTGGTACGAAGTTAGTGGCTGCGGGCTATTTCGATGCAATATCAATCAATACATCAGGCATGTATGCTTGAGGAGAGATACACACGATAAATACTCGGTACTGCTCGGTTTGTGCAGAATATGGAGGATGGAGTATAGAGGAGACGCAGTAATGATGGACACAAAAAGAGAAGAAGAGAGCTCCGTCCTTTGTTCACGGCATAAGAATTCAGCTCAAGTCAGCATTTAATTTATCTTTTATACACCAGTTTCCCTTTCCCCTCTACCCCAGACATATAGTGCGCAGTGGCTGGGCCTGGAGTGGATTTAAATCCCGCAGGCCTCGGCCGGGCACAAAGGATTAGCGGTGATTGGTTGGAAGCATCGATCTCCGCATGCTGCACACGGGTACACTGTACAAAGCATTATCATACATAAGCTAGCTGGCTGCCAACTAAGAGTGTATCTCCGCGACACAGAGGCTGGATGCCACCAAGCCGGCCATCAACATGCTCAACTAGTCGCACAGGGAGATTGCAGAGTGTCAGCAGATGGATCGTATGTTCTGGACTTGCCAGGGTTAGCGTCGCACTGGACGGTGGTCCTTCTGGCATCTGCCAGCCCGGGGTGGCCAACCAGCGTGTGCGCCTAGTCAAGAGCGGGTCGTGCGGCTTATGATTGGGCCATCGCGCAAGCACCCCGGAACCGACCAAGGAAGGTGCCAGTGGCAGCCCTCCTTCCCCAACAGAACAGCTGCTGCTCCTGCTGCTTCCTCTTGTTCTTTTTTTTCTTCTTACTCTCGTTCGGTTTTCTTTTCTTTTTCTTTTCATTTATTTTTCTTCAGCATCCTTCCTTGCCTGCAATCTAACCTTGCTGCATGCACTGACGCATCGGCACGCGAGACATTATTACCTCGACTCCAGAGTCCATTCCTATCACTACAACGGAGTACCATACGGGGCACCGTGCACGGTCTCGGCGCTCTAGCACGCTGCATCCATCGCTGTCTTCCTTCGCCAACGAGCTAACTGCTTCCATTTTTATTATTTAATCAATACTTCTTCTGCAGAGGCTTTGGTACGGATACCTCGTACCCCATAATCCACCCAGCCAGTCTTTCGCTCTCGCTCTCTCCTCCCCTTTCTCCAGGTCTTACAAGAACCCGCCGCGCCACCTCTTCAAAGCACCTACCTGCCTGCCTACTCTGCCACGCCGCCTATTTGCCCCCCTTTCTTCATCATCATCAGAAAACCCCTCCTTGATCTTCTTGATTTATCAATTTCGACTTTATCCATCTCTGCGATCGGAACTATCTATGCATCAAGTCTGTCGCCACTAATTCGGCTTTAGAATACGAGAAAGAAGAAAGAAGAATAAGAAAGGCTTACCCAGGCCCTGCCATTCTCGACTATTTACTATTACTAGTGGTCGCCCGTCAGCCTAGGGGGGAGCGGAGGCTCTAAAATCAACGGATCATCTTTTCCACGTGAGTTGTTTACTTCACCCGACTTTCTTGCGAATAAAACCTATACTCCTATTAAAGCCATATCCAATATAACCTCAATCTGTTTATTGACTCTCCTTATGCGATCTAGATTCTGCAAAACCTGAAAATGCGCCACTTCTATGGTGCGCATCTCCTGTCGGCGCAAGTCTGCAAGTAGCACAACAACCCCCCCCCTCTGGGAGCCCGCGCATTCGTCCCCGATACCGTCCGTTTTCTTTGTCTGGCCACGACTACCCTTGAGACTTTACTCTTCGTGTCGCCGTTTTGAAATTCCGCGGAGTGGCGTGATATCAATAAAACGCTTCTCAAATACCGAACCGACAACGCAGCGCTCTTGAGCCTGACAAACATCCTTTTTCTCTTCTATCGTCGCCGGTCGTCGAAAATTCGAGGAGCTAGAAATATCAGGAAAAAAAAAGGCTTTGTATATTCTTTGACCTTCTTTCGGATTAGACTACGGGATAAAAGTTGTGCCCCCGCTGGGTAGAGTGGTAAGTCTTGACACGGTATTGATTCTTGAGAAGTGAGTCTAATCAGTATCAGACAGACAGATATTTCTCTTTGTTGATTTCCCATAAACCTCCACCGGGACCTTATAGATTGTATATTCTTTTGTTTCTCCAAGGTAAGACTCTTTCACAGGCGTTGCAAGCTTGAATTTGAACAAAATCATTCGCTGATTTGACCTAAAACTATAGTCTCATCATCTCTTTGCTCCTGTGCCAAGTTGCAGGGTATCAGCAATAGACGCTTACAAACAACATCACAAAAAGGATTATCAAAGAAAGAGAAATACCTCGCCGAAGATTATCCTGCGCCTATTGCCAAAGGAGGAGCAAGTGAGACTATACATTTGTCCTATATTGTTCCCAACCATGGCCGCAACAGCAGATAAACCCATTTTGCCTTCCAAGGCTGGAACCGGTTCCGCGCCTGGGAACAATGCGTCTATACGCCTAGAGAAAGCCAAACCGGGTATTAGGCGTTCCACGCCAGACTCAGAAGCTTTGACATCCTCTGACGATGAGTTTGAACACCTTCATCAAGTAGCTACTGCTCCCACTGCTCCCGTGACGAAGCCAGTTCGTCGCACATCTTGGCTCAACGAAGTGCCGCATAACCTGCCTCGCAAGACTTCGTTGACGACTTCAGGGTCCGTGGTGTCGCCAGGCTCGATTCCTTCTACGTCTGCAGCCGATCAGCCCAGCTGGACCACTAACACCAGCCCTAGTTTGAACAGCTCCATGTCCTGGAATCACGGAAGCAATTTTCCTTGGTCCACAGGCATCTGGACCTCAGAATCTCGAAAGGAGCCACCACCTCGACTCACTGAACTGAGTCAGTCGCCGACTATGCCGAACAACTCAGTTACAAGTCCGATCACAGAGGAGCTTCTGAGCCCGACGGCACGATCGATGACTGGTGATTCTGCTATTCCGTTTACGATTCCTCTTCACCCTACTCCAAAGACATACCGTTCACAGTCTTACTCTGTTGGTCAACTCGATCCTGAAACGGTCAATATGATGTCCACCAAGGCAAATAATCAATTTAATGGATTGCGTGGACGGCCTGGCAACCAACCTGGAGGACTTCAGCACCGCTCTTCTCGGCCCAGTTTGCTAGAAGATCTCGGGCATGACCCTGCGCTGCTTGGTCGTGTGCGTGAAGACGACGATGACGATGAGGCTAATTCCAAGGAATTGAATGACGCTAATTCATACGCTTCCAGTCAAGCACGAATTGAGCAATTGACAAGAGAGAATGCTCTTCTGCGACAAGCTGCACGTTATGAGGGTGCCCGTATGAGAGATCGCGCCGTCTCGTCTACGTCTATCAATAGCAATTACTCTCTCGCCCCGGGCATGCATAGCCTACACCGCATCCATGGTAGTGTACCGGAAGAGTCTGATCTTGCAGTGGAGGACTTGGATGAAGTTGGTGACATTTCAGGCTACAACGGCCTTCGAAACAGTAATCGACGAAGGCTATCTGAACACTCTGCCAACCTTGAAAGACAACTTGCCCCCTTCGGTGGTTCGGTTGAGAACAGACCACTAGAAAGCCTCAAGCGGGCTCACTGGCAGACATCTCTTGGCTTTGGTAGTATTGGTGAAATACCACAGAGTAGACGCCACTCGTTCGCAGATATTCCCACCAGACATGCCTCGATTGGATCAATTGGTGAAAATCAATCACAGTTGGGGGTACGACCGGGGCTTAGTGACAGAGAAGATGGCTTTACCAACGCTCTCGACGAGGCACTCTCTACACCAACGGTCGAAAGTGGTAAGTATTCAGTTATTTCGTATCACATCATTATATTTATATATCAGTACTGACTGCTAGAAAATTAAAAGCTTCATACTTTTCTTCCAGAGACCCTCTTCGGGCTGGAGAAATACCCGGAGTGCCTACGTCTTTGCACCAAGCCTACAATGTGCCTTCGGCGTATGGTCGACCGCATTCAGGATTAGCCCAGCCTCACCAAAACCAGCGCCTGTACATCGTGACATTCAAATGCCACCGCGCAGATGTCTTTTATATCCAGGAAGACACTGGACTTCAAGTCAATCCTGGTAATCTTGTGATTGTCGAGGCAGATCGCGGTACAGACCTTGGAACCATCCAGCACGCCAATGTCACCTGGCAAGAGGCAAAGGAGCTGAAAGAGAAGCTTGCCGAAGAGCATTATAAATGCTTGATGATGTTTTCACGCCAGGCTCAAAATGGGGCATCCAATGTGGTCAATTCAGGTCTAGGAAACCGTAGCGCTGTTGGTGGGATGGGTCCAACAGGGACTCATGGAGCGCACGAGCCTCAGTCAACAGAGATTAAACCAAAATTGATCAAGCGACTTGCTCAGAACCATGAAATTCTGACTCTGAGAGACAAGGAAGGAAATGAAGCGAAGGCTAAGCGTGTCTGCCAACAAAAAGTTGTGGAACACAGACTAAACATGGAGATTCTCGACGCCGAGTTTCAAATGTCAGTTTCCTCGCCCTTTCCATTTGATAGAAGTTAAGCCAAGTTTATACCCGATACTGATTGAATGATTTGTATGTAGGGACTGGAAGAAGTTGACCTTCTACTACTTTGCAGACTCGTATATAAACTTCAATTCTTTGGTAACGGACCTCTTCAAGATCTACAAAACTCGGATCTGGATGTCTGCTATTAACCCAGCCTCTTTTGTTACGCCATCTACTGGGCTCCAACCTCCAAGTGCAGGTGCTCTAGGCTATGCCCAGGAAACTGCATCTGATCGTCGACACCCTCATCAAAGTCGCAATTATAACGCACCCCATCTATCTCCAACACCACCAAACCTTCGTGATTCCTTAGAAAGAGGCGAATTTGGCGGTAATACGTCTAGCATGCTGCGCAATTCTTACATGGACCCGTATCAAGCATTGGGATCCTCCGTTCGGCAACACGAAACAGCTTTTGCTCACGGTGCTGCATCTCATGACCCATTCGCGCCGCCAGCGTTGAATGGATACAATTTCCTAGAGCCTTCGGGCTCAGATTATGTCAGAACAACCTCTCAGAGTCAACGATCTGATCCCGTCCAAGCAGACTGGCTAGGGAACTTCCAGGGATTATCACTCAATTCCTGATACATTTCTCACCCCCCAAAAAACATTCAGCCCGCCAGGGTTACTTTATATTTCTTCATTTCATTTCATTTCTTCTTTTCCTTTCAACCACCGTATATGAATTTCTTTCCTTCCTCGTTCGTCATTTGAAATTATTAAAATTGTCCTAGATTCTCGGTTTATATTTTCAAGGATAGGTTGATGAAGAGACCTTACGACCTGTGGCTCCATATACCTCATAGACTACGGTGACTCTCCAAGTTTACAGTTTCTTTCTCCTCTTGTGTGATTTGGTTTGTGTTGCACTGTCAATAATGCCTGTTTTCAAAAATTGATGACTTGTAACGTGGGGATGTTTCGATATCAACATTCCCGTCTTATACTCTTCTCTCTGTCTTGATTTTTCCTTTTGTATTTCTTCTTTAGGAGTGATATTCCACGTCCAATTTCTTTTTTGTACTTTTCTTTTTTTTTTGTGGTGATAGACGGGAGATCATTATGACGATTATGGCTGGATTTAAGAATCAAGTTCGCTGAGAGCTTGTGGTACAAAGAAGCAATTTGTTTTATAAGAGAGATATGAAAGAATTCGATTGCGTTTTTTTCATGAAGTGTGCATATATCACCGGGTCCTTGACAATGAGCATGAAGTTGATAATGATCGAGAATGCCAAGGAATAGTGACCACCGAAATTGCACGAACCAGCCGTAGCACGTGACCGACCGCTTCAGCCTCTCTATGATTGGCTCGAATGCGCACCTCGCCTAAAATATTTAGCGTCCCACACACAATCCCGCCTTCCACGCTTGGAGAGGGAAGCTTTGAATCTCTTTTTCAACCTCGACCAAAACGACAACGACGACTACCGACGAGGAAGCCAAGCCGACAAGGTGTGTGTGTTTTCTTGATGATGAATTGCAATTGCAATTGAAATACCCTCAAAAAGTGAACGAAGAAGAACGATCTGACTGACTTTGACTGTCTTAAACAGATGGGTGCCTTGAAATACGTTGAAGAGCTTCAGAAGAAGAAGCAGTCTGACGTGCTTCGCTTCCTGCTGCGCGTTCGATGCTGGGAGGTGAGATTCTACGAACCCTGAAACTTTTTGCTTTTTTATTATCATTATTTTGAATGCTTTATCGGAAACCTGCCGGAATATGGAGATCGAAAAAGAAGAAAGAAGAAAACAGGACAGCCCGTCGAGACAGAAAAAGATGATGGAAGATTGGAAGAAAAAATATTCTTGCGATTCGCCTTACAAAAAAAAAACGGTCACAGAGGAATTTGATACCCATTGGAGTATTCTTTTAGGACGTTTTTCTTTTCTGCGCTGGCTCCTTATAAAAAAAATTTCTTTTCTTTTTAATCCGATCCGGTCCAGGTGGATGTGTGGCACATCAAATGAGCAGCACTTGTTGTTGATTTTTTTCTCTTTTGGAATTTATTGCTCGAGTGCTTGCTTGTGTCTTGCTATACACTCGTTGAACTTTGCTGAGAGTGCATTAATATAGCTTCGTCAACTCAATGTGATCCACCGTGCTTCCCGCCCATCGCGTCCCGACAAGGCTCGCCGTCTCGGCTACAAGGCCAAGCAGGGCTATGTCATCTACCGTGTCCGTGTCCGCCGTGGAGGACGCAAGCGCCCTGCTCCTAAGGGTGCCACCTACGGTATGGCTTTGATACGAAAGTGATGAAAGTGCAATGGGCTAATTTATCGATTTTGGTTTTCTACAGGCAAGCCCACCAACCAGGGTATCAACCAGCTCAAGTACCAGCGCTCCCTCCGCTCCACCGCCGAGGAGCGCGTTGGTCGCCGCTGCGCCAACTTGCGTGTCCTGAACTCCTACTGGGTTAACCAGGACTCGACCTACAAGTACTACGAAGTCATCTTGGTCGACCCTCAGCACAAGGCTATCCGCCGTGATGCCCGCATCAACTGGATCGCCAACCCCGTCCACAAGGTAAATTCTCTCGCGTCAAAGTAAATCGGCCGGTTTAAAGAGAAAGAAATACTAATAGTTTACTTCTTTCTAGCACCGTGAATCCCGCGGCCTCACTGCCACCGGCAAGAAGTCTCGTGGTATCAACAAGGGCCACGGCTACACCAAGACCAACGCCGGCCGAAGGAAGACCTGGAAGCGCCACAACACCCAGAGCTACTGGAGATACCGTTAGATGCGAAAATAACAAACGGTGGTGGTTGCGAGCGAAAGAAGGAGTGTGGCACCTGGCTTTTTCTCTCTGCTTGCTTGGAGAGAAGTTTCTGGGTTGCACTAGGGAACAAAAATTTCACACCATGGTTCATTACAATTATGATTCCAGTATTAAATATTTTGAGGGTTTCAAGCGTGTTATGATTGGTTTTTACGAAAGGAGTCGTCCTTTTTCATTGGCGTGACGACTTAGCCAAAAAAAATATAAACGTCAATTGATAATATGATGTCTGCCCTCTGAAGTGCGACAGAGCTTTGTCCTGTAGACTTTTTTTTTTGGCCATGAAAGTACGGAGTAGAGGGATACTATTCTCGTGTTAATATATACTATCGATCAACATGTTTTAGACGGGTACAGGTACTTGGCTGCCACTACTATGCGGTATGGAGCCCCAGGTACCAGTACCAGGCGACACGGGCAGGACCAGCCAATGACCAGGCAGGGACAATTGGGACATGGGCGTTAACAAAGACCTTGTCTCAGATGGCCAAGCTCTTATCATCATGACCCTCGGCCAAGCGAGCTAGATGACTTACTTGACTGCATCGCTTGGGCACGAAATCCTGCAAAGCTCCTCCCCCCCTTAGAGATCGACATATTATAGTTGCGCACGCCTTTTTCGACGTTGCGAGCCCTCTCAAACTTGAACTACGCGCATAATCCTGGCCAACCTGTGTGCATATAATCGATCATAATCCGCCCGAATTCTGCTGTCGTGTTGCATACGATACTGCCCCCCGCGTCTCTGCTCTGCTGCTTCTTGGTCTGCATGCGGCAACAACATCGCAACATCACCATTCGACTCAACGCTGACCGACCGACCGACCGACCTTGTACGGTTCTTCCTGAACAAGCACTTGTCATGCACTAGTCGAGCTGGTATCGAAACAACGAAGCAAAGAGAAAAAAGATAAGAAAGATTGTACTATACATGCCTCGTCCACATGCCGCCGTGGACCTCTCGAATACTCCCGAGCACGTCGGCGTCGTCGAGCTCGCATTCCAACCAGGTCCATGCGCCGCCTCCTCCGTCTCATCGCAATGCCGTCGAGCCGGATAGAACTGCACTCATTGCCATAGACTACAATGTCCCAATTCTCTCACCGACGACACCGACGGCGCCGGCCTTTTCCTCTCCATCTTCACGCAATCGCCGTCGACCCCATGCCCGCTCCATCAGCCAGCCGTTCCCCTCACTCATGGATGCAAGCGCCCTTCGAAAGACCGACAAGAAAGCCGCCGCCGTTAACCGGGACTTGGACGCAGATTTTAGCGATACTGAACCATCCGGCTCGAACAAGGTACGGAGTCCCGGTGAGGATCTGGTGAGTGGGAAATGCATGGCATGCCATTCTACCTGTCGCTGGCCGAGACATATCCAAGTCTTTAGGTGCACGGTCTGTTTGACAGTTAATGATCTTGAGCCGCGCCCTGCTTCTACTAAGGGAGGGTACCAGCATGATGATGTGGACAGTGAAGCACATCCACCGCCGCCGCCGCCCAAAGATGGTTCTCCTGAACGTTCGCTACCTGGTAGGTTGGACATTCCATTTTGAACTCAAAGATGGGCACAATTCTGACTCTTGATTGTAGCAGTCCCCATATCTATCGAAGAGACAAGGAATATTATCGACGGCTGTCTGTCGAGATATCTCCAGCGTTGCCTGTCTGGAAACCAAGATTCTGAACCCGCGCGGCCGGACCAGAAGATTCGTGAAACCAGCCATAGACGACAGGAACCACAGACTGATGAAAAGCAGGCGGCGCCTTCGAATATCCCATTCACGCTCTCCAGCACAAATTTCCTGTCTCCGCCTTCCAGTGGCGCAGAAGATATGGCACGGAGAGATGGCCGTTCGATGAGATTTCGATCAAGTTCGGACACTCCACCTTTGTCACGAAGACGCGGCCATTCTGCTCAAGGTGAAAGAGATCGCTCACCATTGCGCCTAAACACAAAGGCCACGGAGCCGAAAACTCGACCGTCCATGTTCCGTCCTTTGGAGGAGTACATTATTAGATCCTTCACAGGTTGCGACTGCCTCAATGTCTCTTTCATGACCGCCAGTGCGCTTCGTACAATCACGACTGCTCCCGAAGATGATCGCCCGAAGCAGCAGGTACTAAGTCCAACTTCTCCAACGTCTGAAAATGTTCTGTTCCCAGAGATCGATCCGAAAATGTTGCTGCTGGGCGATCTTGCCGAAAACTCGTCTTGGTGGATGGGCGGCCGGCCGCGCCGTCATGAGAGTAAAGAGCCCAAAGACAGCGCCCCGCGACGAGACAAATCCCCTCTCCGGCCAAAATCTATTGTGACGACAAGGTCTCCGCGGATCGAATGGGGAGCGGTAGCTGAATGGTATCATTTAGTCCTACATGCTGGGGAAAATTGGAGAGAAACGTGGAAAAATCTAAAACAAAAGACGAGTATCGATGGACAGATCGAATCGGGTGTTTCAGTTGACCTGAACCTGATAGAAAAGGAGATAGCGGAGGCACGAGTGCACGCCCAGAAGACCCTGTTTAAAGCGACTGAGAATCTATTAAAGCGTCCTCGTCGTCCGCTGCAGCGCCCTGAGCTGACCAGGTTCCTGCTCATATTACTCGCGAATCCTGAGCTAAACCCTCTCAGTGGCAGTACGCCGGTGGCACCGAATCTTCCTCCCCTAGAAAGTGTTGCGGATAGCCAAAAACCAGTCCCCAATTTCAGTAGACCGCATGGGGCGGGCGAAAAGAAGGTTTCGACCAGGTCGCAATCCAGTAGCCTTGGTCACCATTCTGGAATCGTCAAGAGAATCTTGGGTCTGCTTGGAAACCTGCCCAATGAATGCCATCACTACTTGGTAGGGTGGTTTGCGCGTCTGTCTAAGAGTCAATTTGAGACATTCGTAGGACTCATTGGACGGTTTATCACATATCGGCTGAGTAAACAGCATCATCATCATCATCATCATGGTCGACATCGCAGCGGATCGGTGCAGCCTGTGAATGGACTGGTTCCAAGTTTCCCAGGCGGTATTGAGAGCTCACCGGCTCATCTACACGCGGTGCTTCATGACTCGCGCCCTCCAGGCCAGAGCAACGAGGGTAGCAGCCATAGCCGACGAATGATGTATAATACAGACGACTGGCAGATTCGAGCAGCGGCCCGAGTCATGGCATTGCTATTCGCTGCGAACAACCAAGCCAAAACCTCAACTAGCAAGCGTGACGCTCTTCTCCCGAAGGATTATAATGCGGCCACGGCGCCTCTTATCTCTCAGTACAAGCGCAGTTCGATGACGTTACCGTTGCATTATTTTTATAACACACTGTTGGATTACTCTGATCTTGTTTCTGATTTCGAAGCGTGGGAGGCACGGACTGCCAAGTTTTCGTTTTGTCAGTATCCTTTCTTCTTGAGCATCGCTGCAAAGAGCCGGATTCTGGAGCACGATGCTAGACGTCAAATGTCTATCAAGGCCCGGGAGGCCTTTCTGGATAGTATTCTGAATCGCAAGGACGTCAGTCAATATTTGAACCTGAAAGTTCGGCGAGATTGTCTTATCGAAGACAGTCTGCGAGGTGTCAGTGAAGTGGTCGGCGCAGGGTCAGAAGACATTAAGAAAAGTTTGCGAATCGAGTTTATTGGCGAGGAGGGCGTGGATGCGGGAGGTCTTCGCAAGGAGTGGTTTTTACTGCTTGTCAGGGAGGTTTTTGATCCTAATCATGGTATGTTTCATTGATAAGGCTAGAGCGGAAGAAATACTTACTACGAATAGGCCTTTTTGTTTATGACGAGGACTCTCAGTATTGCTATTTTAACCCCTTTTGCTTTGAATCTTCAGAGCAGTTTTTCCTAGTTGGAGTTCTTCTGGGCCTTGCGATCTACAACTCGACGATCCTTGACATCGCATTGCCACCCTTCGCATTCAAGAAGCTTCTCGCCGCAGCTCCGGCAACTAGCATACCGGCAGCCGCGCAAAAACCGCCTCATGTCTCGTCACTCGACGATCTCAGCGAGTATCGACCAGCACTAGCCAAGGGCCTCCGAGCGCTTTTGGACTTTGACGGCCACGTCCAGGAGACGTTCTGCTACGACTTCGTGGCGCAGGTCGATCGCTACGGCCAGAATGTCAAAGTTCCCCTTTGCCCAAACGGAGAGAAGAAGCCAGTCACCAACACGAACCGCCATGAATTCGTCAGCTTGTACGTTCAATACTTGCTCGACACGGCTGTTCAGCGGCAATTCGAGCCTTTCAAAAGAGGATTCTACACTGTCTGTGGCGGTAACGCGCTCGCATTGTTCCGCCCGGAAGAGATCGAGTTGATGGTTCGTGGATCCGACGAACCCCTGGACGTGCCTACCTTACGAGCGGTAGCTACATATGAAAACTGGCCTGCCCCGAAAGCAGCAGACTTGCAAGTCCACGCAACCACACAACCATCATCATCCTCAACATCCAAAGAACCCCCAACCACGGATCCCCCCTCAGAACCAGTAATAACCTGGTTCTGGGATTTCTTCACGCGCTCCTCCCCTTCCAACCAGCGCAAACTCCTCTCCTTCGTAACAGGCAGCGACCGCATCCCTGCCACCGGCGCCGCAAGTCTGAGTATCCGACTCTCGTGTCTCGGCGAGGATTGCGAGCGCTACCCGATTGCGCATACGTGTTTTAATAAACTGGGGCTTTTCAGGTATGCCTCCAAGCAGAAGTTGGAGAGGAAGTTGTGGGATGCGATTTGTAATAGCGAGGGGTTTGGGTTGAAGTGAGATTATATCAACCTATCTATCTATCTATTCATGTAACCGATGGGAGGTGCTAAGAGAGAAGGATTGGTCTGTTTGGTTTATGGAAGATTGATTTGAGTTGGGGTAGTTACTTGATATGATTAGGGCTAGGGCCTTGAGCCCTAACTTTGCAGTCGAAGCTACGTTTTAAAGTCTCTAAGATAAGCCCTGCTAGGTTACGAAGTAAATGTGAATATCAATTGGCCTAGGCTAGGTCATGTGTCCACGAAATGAACGCTCAATAAAATGATTGACAGCATTATGATCCACAATGCGACAATGCCTTCTTTTGTGTGGGTGAGTGAGTGAGTGGCTAATTATGTACACTGAAATGAATGAAGTGAAAAGAAAAATAAATAAAGGTCTTAAGCCTGAATACAATACTGGTAGCCGAGCCACAGGTTCGAGCACGTTGCGTCTAGACCTGAATTCCAGTCCATGAGCTGAGACGCAGTAATACCGACTTCGGCCTCAACCTGGAGGCAGTAGTCGCCGGACACCACGGTGTAGTATTTCGTGCAAGAAGAGACGGCACCAGGGTAGACAGGGTCGGACGAAGCTGTTGCGGTGGCAGCCGCAGAGGTAGGAGAGGCTGTTGTGGTGGTTGCGGTGGTGGTAACTGGTGTTGTGGTAGTTGTTGGCACCGGTGATGTGGTGGTGGTGGTGGTGAAAGTTGCAGGCGGTTCAGTAGCGACTGGCGCGCTGGTTGTGGTTGGAGCGACTGTGGTGGGGGTTACCGTGGGGGTCACCGTGGGAGTTTCCGTGGGGGTGGCCGTGGTCGAAGTGGCTGAGGTAGAGGTCGTGGCTGATGTGGCGCTGCTGGGGGAAGTCGAGCCACTCGAGCCTGTCAGATCGCCAATAGTGCTCGAGTCACAAGAACTGGCACCCGTGGACCATCCAGTGAGACGGTTGGCAACATCAGAGACATAGCAATGAGTAGCAATGCCCTGGCCCAGGTTGCCGTCACTGGCGATGGAGCCAGAGTTGTACAGTCGTGCAGCCATATAGTACTTGGTGACGTCGTCAACGCCCGTCTTAGCGAGGAGTTGCTGAAGACCGTCACCGCTGGATGTGCCCGCGGTACCGTCGTTGATCATTTGAGTGATCTCACTGGCCGGGCATGGATCCTGGACATCGCCGTTGTTGCATGATCCCGCACCGTCGTGGCTCTGCATGAGACCCGGGTTGACAACGCCGTAGTTGGTGGTGGGTACTCGCACGCAACCTTGGCTCTCCTGCATGACGATAGCCAGGATAAAGCGGGCGTCAACGCCAGTGGAGCTGGCAACGGACTGGATGCTGTTGGACAAGTCATTGATCTCGTCATCGGAGTTGTTGGCAACGGCCCATTGGGCACAAGAGCTGGACATGGTCTCCTTGTTGGCTTCGAACATTTCATCGAAAGACGAGACCCAGTCGCTTAGGGAAGGCCAGCCATCCGAGACGTCTCCATTTCCACCAAAGACAGTGTATATGCCGCGCTTCTGGAAAGAATGAACTTCATCAACATTGCGAGAAGGAAGGGAAGGAACCGGAGCTCCGAAAATGAGTGCTGGAAGGCTGCCGGCAGCCAGGATCTATATGGATCAAACAGTCAGAATGAAACAACATTAAAGGGTATGCAGGAGTCGACCTACAGAAAGAAGGACAGACATGATGATGTCAAAGAGCGTTGAGGGAATGGAAGAAGTCTCGCTTGCTTGCCAGAAGAAAAGAGAGAAGGAAAATAGCGCGGGCGGCTCATTCTCTTATTTAATATCAGCGAGTCGACTCATCCATCCCTTGTGAGTCTGACTCGGCATTTGATAGGTGTGGACGAGAACCCACTCGGTCATCCCTCGCCAGCTGAACCGCATGCTTAGGCCAGGGAGGACAATTTAGTATTTAGTCTTTACCAAGGACGGCAAATCCACTGCATGAAGCAGACCCAATGGCGGATTGCCATCGGGGTTGAGGCTGGCTGTGGGCGCAACATGTGAAACGCCTTAGGCCGCCACGCCGCTGCCATTGGCTGACAGCGGCCCCGCCAGAGGGTTGCAGCCCTAAGCCCTAACTAGCCTTCTTCATGTATATTATTCTTATATTATCGCGGGCCCTCCTTCATTTATCTTGATTAATTGTTTATGATTTCGTCCTAGTCAGATTCCCTGAGCATGCTAGATTTGCTGACTACACAAGCTGTATGGACATGACAGATCCATGACCGTCGTAAATAATCGTAAGATCATATGGTATAGTCGATAATCTGCCTTTCGATCGTCGCCATGCAGTCCATGTCTTCATTCTCCCTCTTCAACTCTATCGCCCTCTCCTTGAACCTCTGATCCGCCAGCACCGCCTCCACGCCGGTCCTGATCTGCTCAATGCCGGGCGTCGACGACTCCAAGTCCCATGCATAGCCCGCATAGACCGCCCTCATTGTCACCTCCTTCTTGTCCAGCGCCTCCCCAGCCAACACCGCAGGTGTGCCGTTCGTCACCGCATGGCTCGTTGATCCGTAACCGGCATTGCACACAAACACGTCGGCATACGGCAAAATGTGGTCATATGGCAGAAAGTCCGTCCACCGCGTATTCTCCGGCACGTCGATGTTATCCCCCAGCGTGGCGCCTCTTATCCCAAGCGTCGCGATGGTGAGTATATCGTCCCTGCCCCTAAAGGCCTCCATGGTCGGCACGACGAGCTGGTTGTAGTCCACATGCGCAGTGCCCTGGGACACGAAAACAATCTTCCGATCTTTCTTCCCGGCGCTCTCCAACACCTCGCCCCACCAACTCGGTGCCTCGAAGACGCTGCTTGACAGTAGCCTGGGCGGCAAACACCCGGCAAACCGCAGCTTGGGCGGCATGTCGGACAGCGGATACTCCATGCTAGGACTGCACATTTGGAAGCATACATCAGGCGCAGAATACCATGTAGCAAAAGGATGGTCCTCCGGGACAGTGGTGCACCCGGCCTCCCGCATCGCACGTTGAGCGGCCTCGAAGAGCGGCAGCCAGGGACCTTGGTTGGCGAGATTGTGCAGTTCCTTGTTCCGCAGCAGACAGGCGCGTGATGTGTCGTAGGGAAGGCCCATGGAGAATGGAGCAGTATCGACGCTTGGAGCGGAGATATTGACTGCACCGATGCCGATGGTCTTGGGGAACGAGGCAAACCCTAAGGGAGCAGGACGGCCGTATGCAAAGGGGGTGACGTTCATGCTGCAGAGCTCGTGGACGATGATGATCTGCCGGTTTGGGTCGCGCTGCTTGAGCTTGATGAGAGCATCTTCGAGATGCTGGGTCCGGACTGGCATGGTGTTGTAGAGGAAATTGACCAGGCCGTGCACAAAGAGCGGCAGGCGACAGTCTGTGATGGCTTTACCTGCTGCTACGACGGCTTCTGGATTCGGGACGGGGTCGAGCATGGATGGAATAGGGCTGAATTCCGCGCCCATGGCTAGGATGTCGGCTTCGAATTGGGCATAGCCATGGAAGACGACGGTATAGCCTCGCTGAATCATGGATGAAGCGATGTTGAGGAGTGGGTAGGTGTGCCCTTCGCCGGGCAAGGCTGTGAAGAAGAGAATGGGTTTTGCATTGCCTCCGTTTGTGGCCATGTTCTACTATCGACTATCAAGGTCAGGTTATACTAGATTGGCGGTTGATGCTGGAGTATCTGTCTGAATCCAACCCTAACCCGAAGTCTAACATTATAAGTAGAGGCCGCGAGGTGGGAGAGATCAGTATGAAAGAGCGATAATCTAGATTGCTTAGCAACGTTGCAATGCAGCGGTAATTCACATGTCAGGCCGCTTATCATCGAGGCTGATGGACGTCTCCGATTTCAAGGACCAGTTAACTAACTAATGCGGCGCGGATTGTTGGTTGGTTCAATGCAACGCTTGTAGAGCTGGCTGCGGCTGAAGCCTGATAATCTCTAGCTAGGCCATTCTTCACAGTAACGTAGGATTCGGCTTGTATTTAGCTTATGATCTTAGCAACTGCGTGATACGTAGTCTTCTAGACCCCAGAGATAGAGTAAAAGCTGCATGAAATACGATCAATGTAACGTTGCTGGCTGTATGCTGCTGCTTTCTTCTACTAATGCTGAAGAAGTTCCCTATTACATTCAGAGGGTAAAAAAGGAAAAGGAAAAAAAAAAAAAAAAGAACACAAGGCTTTACAAGAAGAACAGCTAGTTCGGCGGCACAATGGCCTCACCCAGCCTTATCGCCGCCATCGTCATCTTGGTCGGCTTCACGGCGTACGCCAAACTCTTCTGGCGCCCGGCTCTACACCCTAAAGCGCCGCCGCTCACCCACGGCGTGTACCCTATCGTAGGCGCTACAAAGTTCTTCACCCGCCGCTGGGACTTCTTCCGCAACGCCGCACGCGCCTCCAGCACCGGCAACTTCAGCTTCTTCGTTGGCCCCAAACTAGTTGTCGGCCTGACCGCAGAATCTTCGCGGCAGGTATTTTTTGACAATCGCCACTTCGGCTTTGCAGAGGGTTATGGCGGCCTGGCCGAGGGGTTCTCGGTGCTGTTTGGCCCATCGGCTGAAGCGAGCAAGGCCGCTAAGAAGCTGGAAGAGCAGCTCGCAGCGGCAGGGAACGACGCAAAGAAGAGGCAGGAAGCAGAAGATAGAATGAACTTTTCAAAATTTTTCAACAGTCGCATGGTGCGTGTGCTCCGGACGGACGCTATGCAGCGCAACTTGCCCAAGCTAGTTGGCGATGTGCGCGCGCGACTGGGAGATCTGGCGGCTGCCATTCCGAACAAGGGCTTCACAGACGAGGCTGTCGTGGATCCCTTTGAGGACATCTTCAAGATTGCCTTTCAGCTTACTATCCGGTCGGTTGGGTGTGGCGACATCGCCGAGGATACGGAGCTGATGGGCAGGATGATGCACTGGTATCATCTGGTGGACAGTCTGACGTCGCCAACGGCGGTTATGTATCCTTGGATCCCAACCTGGGGCATGATCAAGCGGACTATGGCGGGGATGAAGCTGTTTGAGATTGTGAAGAAGATTGGGGACGAGAGGCTGCGGACAGGGAAGCGGGGAGAGGACGCCATGCAGATTATGATGGATCAGGGGGATGACATGGGGAATATTGTCGGGGTAAGTATTTACCTCCTCTACCTAGCATTCTCAAGTGACGAAAATGCTGATATTGTTTCACTATTCAGTTTGTCGTGTCAGGCCTCCTTGCCGGCACCATCAACTCCGGTGTCAACGCCTCCTGGATTCTCGTCTTTCTTTCTCTCAACCCGCAATGGATGAATAAAGTCCGTGCCGAAGTTGAGGCGGCCATCAGCAAGAGCGCTACTACTACAGATCCCAATGCTACCATGGTTGAGAAGCTGGCTTCGCTGCCGCTCGAGTCCTGGGAGACCGAGTTTCCGACAATCGAGGTGTGTCTCAGGGAATGCATCCGGCTCACGGCGACTGGAGCAACCTTCCGGCGCAATATCAGCGGCCAGGACATCCAAGTCGGCGATGAGATCGTTCCCAAGGACGCTTATGTAGCATATCACTTTAACGATACCCACCAGGACCCCAGCATATACCCTAACCCGACGAAATGGGACCCTGGCCGTTACTCCGAGGACAGGGCCGAGGACAAGAAAAAGCAGTATGCGTATCTTGGCTGGGGAGTCGGACGGCATCCGTGCTGTAAGTTCTCTAAGCGCCTAGCTCTATAAGTTTTCTAGATGTATACAGCTTGATACTGACCAAGGACAGTGGGTATGCGCTTCGCAAAGCTGGAGCAGTATCTCATCGTTGCTTTTTTCGTCACTGTCTTCGACTACATCGCCTGCGATTCTAAGGGGAACCCTATTACAACTCCGACCCCGATCGACTTGAATGCCTTTTCGGCTCGTCGACCGGAGCCGAGGGTGTATTTAAAGTATAAGTTGAAGGAGCAAATCTGAGCGACCTGTCTGGCTATCGGGAGTCGTGCTAGTAGTTTACCTTGCTTTTGAGAACTCTATTCTCTTCTATATCGGACTATCTAAGAAAATCAACTCCAGGGTGTCACTTATAGGTCAATGCAAGTTCGTAATCAGATTATACTACTTCCATAACCCTTTTTCATGCCTCGCAGCTTACTACGGAAGCTACCAGAGCCATGTTCCACTGTCTAGGTATACATATATTTCATAGGTATAAAAAAAAGCCTCTATTTTTTCGTATCGTCTGTGTTTGTCTCGTTAATTTTCCTAACTTTAACACTTTTCCATCTCAAACCAAAAGAGCTAATCAATGCAAGACCGGCCAATCCCAGAGCAAGATACCAGATAGACCTCATCGAGTCATTATAAGCATTCAAAGATTCATCCAGCTTGTCAGGAGGGACGAGATTCTTTAGACTGCCCGCTCCGCTGCTCGCAAGGCTGGCTGCATCGAGGTTGGGGACAATTCCCGCGAGTTTTCGGATGAGTTGGTTTTCAAGCAGACTCTGAGATGCGGTCACGAAGATGGTGCCGCCAAGAAAGACAAAGAAATTGAATATTGACGTTCCAATGGAGATGTCCTTGTCGGAGAGAACGGTCTGGATTACAATATTGGGCTGTTGAAGACATAGACCGAGTCCGGCACCTGTCAAGATCTGAACGAGGCAAATTAGCTGGGTGTCATTGTCATTCATTCAGAGATATGACAGCCTCTCACCTGATAGCCGATTGATTTGCCCTCATTTATGTCCACTGTCCATGTGGCGACCAAAGCTGCACCTGCAACAAGCATCATGCCACCAATAACGGAGAATGGAGTGTAGTATCCAACCTTGCTGACAAGAAAACCGGACAAGACAATGGCAACCACATTGCTCAACAGCAACGGGAGCAGGGACAGACCAGAACTCTGCGGCGATTTGCTCTGCACGACTTGAAACCAAATCGGGAGGTAAAAGGTATACAACACTAGCACAGACCCCGTGGAGAAGCCAATCATGCATCCACAGAGTATGTCGCGTTGGCAAACAATCCTTGGAGGCACTGTAGCGTTCTCTTTACGCCATACCTGACAGGCAATGAATCCAAGTAAGAAGACTCCAAAGAGAACGAATAGCGCAACTACACGAGCCTGCGACCAACTTTGATCCTCTCCGCCAAACTGAAGAGCAAAGAGGAAGCAGATAATCGACGGCGCAATCAGAAGGAACCCAAGAGGGTCGAATTCGAGGATCCTTTTACGCCATGATGTTGCCGGCTTGCATGGCGGAGGAGCGTCTGGAGCAAGGATAACTAGCAGGACCATAGCAACGCCTCCGGTAGGCACATTGATCCAGAAGCACCAGCGCCAACTGACGGATGTGAGATAGCCGCCCAGGATAGGCCCAAGGATGGACGATATCCCAAACATCGACCCCAGCGAGCCCAGGAACTTGGGCCGTTTCTCCAGAGGAACGAGATGGGTGACGAGCAGAAAGGCACCGGGCCCGATGCCAACGGCTCCCATGCCAGAGATTACACGACCGACAATAAAGGCATTCGAGGATGGCGCTGCTGCGCTGATGATGGACCCAAGCTCAAACAGGGCCGTGAGTACCAAGAGAACCCATTTCGTCGAGTAATACTGGTAGATGAGACCGAACGAGAGCTGGGAAGCGCAGATGGGCAGCAGAAAGCCAGACTCGTACCAGGAAATGTCCGCGAAGCTGTTGAACTGGCTGGATATGGTTGGGATGGCGGTACCAATAATCGTGCGGTCCTAGTCGTCGAAGTCTCAGTTCAGCAGATAGGTAGTGGCTAATGGTATTCTATCATACCAGAGCAACAAGGAAGAAGACGAGGGAGACGGCCAACATGGCCGGCATGACCTTCTTCAGGGGAGGGTATATCTTGTCATCAATGTCTTCCGTCTCGGCGTTTGTCTCTACATTTTTCTCTAGGGAGTTTCCCGTAGCCTCCATTTTCCGTGTAGATCAGTTGTAGTCTCCCAAATGTTGGCTGCTAGGAACAACAAATGCCATATATGAAGCTAGCCCTAGCGCGATATTGATTCAGCCCATGCCCTTGCTCTTGCTACGTGGGGGCCATATTATGGGTCCGTCAACTACACATCAGATGGCAGGTTACCTAGGTATGTAGCATGTTCAGTGAGCCGAAGCTGAGCTAATACACCTTCATCTACTAGATGAGCGCCAACAAGTCGCCCTCTCCGCAATGAATTTCCCCGTACCACGTGCTTTATTTTGTTACCTATTTGCTATTGACCGTATAAATAGATAGGAATATTTTAAAAGATTCCTGTTGCGATTCTTGGGCCTCATCAAAAAGGCATAAGATGAGTATCAGCCTCATATACAACCAACACTGGATCATGTAATCTAGCACCAGAAAGGCCATACAGAACTATATCCATTATGCTTCTATAAAACAATTCAGATCATGTCTGTCTAGTACTTTGACCATCAGTAATACTGCTAACAACTGGATGATGAGGTTCTCCCAATTCAATATCCTCCACACCATCCTGAATCCTGTGGTATTCATTCTGTGCCATTAAAATCTCTGCTCTGGCTAAGTATGGCGGCAATGGACTCTTCCCATCAAGATCTTCGGCATGAATCTGAACAATCTCTATTTGCTCATCTTCATGTTGTTGCTTTGGCCTATCGACCAAGGGGGCGTCTCGTGTTGTGCGTAGAATAGTCGAGAATTTGGTATTGTATGTTCGTTCCCCGTTCGCAATAAAAGCCAAAACTCCACTAACCACACACAATAAAGTGAAGAAGATGCCTAATCCGTATGCTGTCCACAAAACGCCTTTTGAGTATAAGTACACGTTCATAGAAGATGTGACAGTCACGTTCACCTTCCCGGGAGCATATGGACTGGACATGTTCGGCTGAAGCGAATATTGGGCGATCAGAGACAATGTAGCATTTCTAAATGCATCTTCAAGGGCGTCTAACAGCGGCATAGTTCCATTGCCAGATATCGTTATTGAGTCACCGAGCCATTCTACTTGCTCCCTGCCGAGCTCGCTGAGCTCCCTGTCTTGGTCGGCAGATTGCAAGAATGCAAGTTCGTTCGTCTGTAAGAACACTGTGGTCATGAGGCTCGTGTCTTTGGCGACTAATGACCAGGCGCCATCATCCACTTGGTAATTTGCAACCGTACCAACCATCATCATACCGAAAGCATCCATTACAGCCTGATAGGAAAACATCTCCACGAGAGTTGTATTATAGTCACTCGCAGCAGAACCTTGCGGATCGATAATGGTGCCATTCGCATAGGTGACTCCAAAAGGATAGGACCCTTCAACGCCCCCAATATAACCGACATCACTGATGTGTTTCAACGGAAGAGTGGTGTTTATAGTCTGGGCGCCATTGACATAAGTAAAGTTGCTGATATACGTGGCATTGTAAAGAGAGCATTCCAAAATCGTCGAATCATTCAAAGCTGATTTCTCCATGTTGCAATTCTCGGATAGCCCACTATACATGCGCGGTAGTGCAGCAACCATGATTGCAAGCGGTGGATAGCTTGCAGGATATGGATAACCATCGCTTGCAGCGAAATCTTCCCCCTTGGGTCCCACAGTACCACTTCGAAGAGAGTAACTTCCCGAGGAATTGGTGAATGGCAGTGAGCCATTTGACGTGGACGAATCCGGGACCCAGGAGATATAGCCATAGGAGATACCACAGGGGGTTGAATTCCTATAGGAGGCATTTATTGTATCGAATATGTTGTCCGTAATTTCCTGGTGAAGAGTGGCATTGACTGGCTGGCAGTTTATCGCTGGTCCATTAAACTTCAAAACCCAGGACGAGTTTGCTTGCGGTGGACTAATAGGTTGGATTTCTCCATCGGTTAGGGCTAAAGTGACGGCCTTTCGCACTCCATACTGGGGGCCCAGATAGTTGTAGACTGGTGAGCTTGCTTCGCCAGCAGCGAGGAATGCAAAGTTCATAGAGGTGAAGTCGACTCGTGGAACTAACTGCATTGATGCATTGGATATTTGCTTCATATGCACGGTCAACGTTGATGGCGTAATGAACGACATTACGGGGAGGAGCCTTTTTGTTTTTGTCTCAATTATATCCCATGATCAGATTCAGTTCAAGAATTGATACGAGATGATCTCTCCCGTTGATATATCATATCACTCACCAAAACACAACCGCCATCGGCATAGCATTTGTAAACCCTTTCCATAGCGCCGGCGAAAAACACAAGAACCCATTACCGAGGACGTCTAGAATATTGTCAATCGTGCCCAGAGTATTGGACTGCTGACGTAGTTTCCTCCATGCTATTTGCTGAAAGGCGGTAGATACAGCATAACCCAGCCAATACTTTGTTATAAATGCAAATAATGTGCCAGCCGATAAAGCGATTTGCTGTCCCGATATACTGTATGGAATACCGAGGATATCATATTGAGAGTTGGGGGTCTGTTGATTGTTCAGGGAGTTATAGAACGCATGATGGCCGACAGCGAAGGCGGCGCCGAGCAAAGTGCTGAATGCGAGGGTTAACGGAGCTGATCTTAGAGCGTCAAGCATATTTATTAAAACGTTGTGTTTAAACGTTAGGACCGGAACACTCTGGGGCTTTTTACTATTTAACATAACTAACTACAAGGAACACTACGGCGTAGTAGTAGTGGCTATGCATCCCAGCCGCACTCGACTGACTGGGATTAATTCAGCTTCATGCAACTAGGGCCCTGGCACTAACCGGCCCCTACTGCCTAGTCAGGCCCGTGTTATTAACGCGGGCCCGGATGACTAGGCAGTAGGGGCCGGTTAGTGGGCGAAGCAAGGTCATAACATTTCTCGATGAATTGATGAATTGAAGACTTGTTGTATATAGGCATTGTTCGGCCGCCCTGTTAGCCACTAGTTGTGCCTACAGTCGCGTCAGTGTCTAGCAACTAGATTTACAGCAAGCATGCTTTCAGATATCTGCATGAATCGATGCTCTTGTCAACATACATGGACAAGGGCAAATCCTGGCCATTTCATCAAGAGACAAATCGAGAGCCTCTCAGTTTCCATTGATAAAACGGCTATCTTATTGAGACCACCCCCATGGTCTGCACTATATCATATCTGACGTGGTTCTATAAAATTATGCCTGCTCTCTGTACAATCTCGACGACTGCCCACGACCGTGAAACATATACAGCTTGGGGCATCTGCATTCCCAAGTTGATTGTGGAAAGGGGTATACAGCCACATGAGGTATGGCATAGTCATCTGATCCTGCCCCTGGAATGACTGGCACGGACGATACGCTCGTTCGTGCTCACAGTCCTCTTGCGCTCGATTGAGCTCCGGTCAGCATGTGAGGCATGGATGTATTCTTCCAGCGCAGGAGAACACGGCCTGAGGCTGTATTGATATTCGTATTCGTGCTGGTATTGCGCGCGTAATACAGGCAGACTGCCGCCAAGCAAGCGCTGTATTGTTTGTATGTATGTAACTTTTCCCGTCCGCCTCTTCCTCAGCAGATAAATAGCTCCCTTCTTCCTCTCTTCTTCTTCTCCTTCCACTCTCTGCAACACTCTGCAAACCTCTGCAAACCTCTCTCTAGCAGCACCAGGTCTGTCTGTCTCTGCCAACCCTATGTTGCATGATTGAAGTTGCATATGCTAGCCCACCCCGCCTCCACAAAATGCGGGGATGGCCTGTTCTGTCGGGAAAACAACACTGACACCGAGCGCTGCTAGATTTTGTTCCCCCTTTTTGCCTCTATTTTCGTGCCAACAGTCGATCGCACACCGACACTAGTTTGCAAAATGACGTCCATCCCCGAGACCATGAAGGCTCTGCAGTAAGTCTGCGCTGGTGGCTACTATCTTGCAGTCCCAGCTAACCAACCAACTGCAGATACACAGAGCCCGAGAAATACGACATTGTCCAAATCCCCGTGCCCACTCTTCGTGAAAACGACGTCTTGGTATGTGTCGTTGCTGTCGGAAGTTTTTGCAAATCGTCGTGACACAGACTGAGCTGACGTGTATTACCATCCCACAGATTAAAATCAAGGCTTGCGGTGTCTGCGGAACGGACCTGCACATCCACGAGGGTGAATTTCTTGCCAAGGTAAGTTCCTGGCTCTATCACTTCGCGCGTGTGCCATGCTAATGTAGATGTATCTTGCAAGTTTCCCCTTGTTCCTGGTACGCCTTGTGTCCTGAAAGAAGCAAACCCGGGGTTACACGACAACCACTAACCATCCCTAGGCCATGAGACCGTAGGCGTGGTTGCAGCTGTTGGACCCAAGGTCAAGGGTTTCGAGCTCGGAGACCGCGTCGTTGCGGACAACTCTGAGCTCTGCGGTGAATGTTTCTATTGCCGCCGCGGTGAAGAGCTTCTCTGCGAGCATTTCGAAGCCCATGGTGTCACCATGAACGGTGGTTTCGCCGAGTACTGCGCCTATCCTGGTACGAAAAATCCACCTACCTTTCTCCAGTCATCATGTGACGTGGCTGATTCCTGATCGATGACTCTAGCCGGCCGTGTCTTCAAAATCAAGAACCTCAACGACGTTGATGCCACCCTCCTTGAACCTGCCTCGTGTGCCGCACACGGACTGGACAAGATCGCACCCAAGATGGGCTCGACAGTCCTGATGTTCGGTGCCGGTCCCACCGGTCTTGTTCTCTCTCAGATGTTGCGCCAGAACGGTGGTTGCCACGTTGTTGTTGCTGCGCCCGAAGGTCTCAAGTTGGAATTGGCCAAGAAGCTTGGTGCGGGCGACGAATATATTGCTCTGTCGCGTTCCGACCCTCAAGTCCAGTTCGAGAAATTGAAGAGCGAGAATCCCTATGGATTCGACATCGTCGTCGAGGCTACTGGAAGCGTGAAGATTTTGGAAGACGCAATCAATTATGTCCGTCGTGGTGGTAAGCTTGTTGTGTACGGCGTGTATGCCAACAAGGACCGAGTCAGCTGGCCTCCCAGCAAGATCTGTAAGCTCTTTTATTTTATTTTTTTTTTCTTCTCCGTTGCATGACGAATAGACTGGCTGACTGATCAGTTGGTGATGAAATCACCATCCTGGGATCATTCTCTGAAACCTACAAATTCCCGGCTGCCATTGACTACCTCGACCGAGGCAAGGTCAAAGTTGCCGGCATTGTCAACAAGACCTTCACGCTTGAGCAGTGGGCCGAGTGTCTGGAGGCGATGCGGAACAAGAGCGCCATCAAGGCTGCGATCACTTTCGATTAGGATTTCGTGTCGTGTCGTGTCTTGTCTATGGCCTTGACAATAGTTCCTCGATATTTTGCTCATGTTGCCATATAGCATGCATATCTCAGGATAATGATGACGAATGAACGATTAAGGGATTGAATAGCAAGACGTAAGAAATCAGAGGTCGGTGGTAGATCCTCTTTATATGGCTCACCGTCTTTTGGATGGGGACCTTGACAGCGCATTAATCATCACGATGATCGCACGGGCTAGCCGGGCGGCTTTCTGCACGGAAACGATGATCAATTGACCTGTCAGTTACGACAGTAAATTCTATATTTATAAGCTTACTGCTGAATGCGTATCAAGCAGTAAGTGCAAAATAGGGCGTCTAGTAATGCTCATTTTGTGTAGATTTCTACTACAGTAAAATACTCCCGGCGAAGACGTCCCGCGTTAGGGCTAATCCTCGCTAGCCCTAACAGCCTTGAGCTCATAGGTAACTAGTTTGATGTGACTTGTTTGAAGCAGCTTGAAAGACGTTCTATGCCACAGCAGAGGTTAGGTTTATACAACCAACCGCACATGAACGAGTTGGTCCGAACAATGACTAAGTGCTTACGCATCAACTCTGCATACAGCATGGTAGAGTCTCCTCATAGCTCCAACGCAATAGTGCCGATACCACGAGACACGCAACTCAACATAGCCGAGCACTTTTCGTCTTCTGCCAACCCCGACCCTCGATGCTCGATTCTCCCATTTCTCACCCCGACGCGACAAGTGCCGCAATTCCCTGCCTCGCAGGACGAAGCAATATCGAATCCCGCTTCTCTCAGCGTGTCTAGCAGAGTCTTCTCCCCTTCGATCTCGATTGTCATGTTTGACTCGACCAACTCTGCCGTGAATGGATCTCCGGACGTTGCAATGCCGAAGTTCTCGAAATGTAGACTGCCCGAGGCGATACCCAGCGAAGCTGCTGTGGTGCGAATGGAATTCTGTAGTCGCTCCGAGCCGCAGCAGTATATATGCTCTCGGTCATTCTTGACCTTACCCAAGACGTTTTCCGCGTTGAATCCCCTGCCAATAGCCTTGTCGTACACGGTGACGTTCTTCTCTCCAAATTCAGCGAGATGCTCCTTCAAAGCAACGCCTGCCGAGTCTCTAACCAGATAATGCAGGTGATACGTGTAGCCCATCCGCTGGCAGTAGCTTGCAGACGCTATGAATGCGGTTATACCGATTCCGCCGGCGATGAAAACGTGGCTGTCGGCATGTTCGGAAAGAGGGAAGCTGGGCATGATATTTCCAACTTCAAGAACGTGACCAGGCTGTAGCTGGTGGTGAATGTAATGTGAACCGCCTCGGCTGGTCTCGCTGAGAGCAACGGCAAGTTGAAAGTTGTTTGAATCTCCAGAGACTACGGAGTATGCCCGAACCAGCTTTCCGCCCAGGCGTAATTGGACATGAGAACCCGGGGGCGCAATCTTCGGGGTTTTCGATGGTGCCAACGCGTCAAAGACAAGGGATACAATGCGAGGCGTCTCCTGCTTTTTCTCGCTAACCCGGTACTCGGTCCAGCTGCTCAGAGCCTTATCGGCGGTCCCCTCCAGTCGGCGCGCCTGGTTCTCATACTGCTTCTTTAGTCTATTATTGAAAATCCCACGGGCTTCACCGCCTAGCTCTTTGATCTTGACCAGTTCTTTCATGACCTCCTCATTGCGCATGTCATGGTAGAGATAGTACTGGATTCTGGCCACAGTCCATTCAGGGTTCGGCCGTTCCAGCAGAACCATCTGGTCACCGGCCTGGATGTGGCCTTCCTCAAGGATCCGGTAAAACCAACCTGTACGAAACATATCCTGCGATCGTTTCGACATGTCTTTGACCTGAAACCTGTGGTTTAGCTTGTAACATGGCTGTCGCGGTCCAGTGACCTGTGCAATGACGGTGCCAATCCGGACCACGTCGCCAATGCACATGTTGCGCTCATTCGCACGGGTCGCTGCGAGATTCTCGCCGAAGCCGCCCACGGTGAAAAGAGCCGCGCTCTGGGGATGCTCTTTTTTCCACCTAGCGTAGTGTAGCGAACTGTACTGTAGCAGGGCCTTCTCGGGGCCGCCGTGGAACTCGAATGCATGCTCGTCCCCTTCGCACCCTAGGCTGTTGACAGTGACGGGCCCGGATTTGATCTGTTTGAAAATCGCAGATGGTTCCTTCGTAGCAAAAGCCGGTTTGATTTTGCCCGTTCTGACTTGGACAAGTTCCTCGTTCTGCCAGGGCTGTTCCAGGATTTTGATGGCTTCGACGTCGTCGTCTTGGAAGGGCGGCATTTCAAGTGTGTCTGTTTACAAGTTTGGGTATTAGAACAAGAACGTCAGTCAACTTCAGCGGAATATTGGCCGTTAAGTCACCTCCGGAAATAGTCTTCCCGGGCCTTTTGGTAGTGCTTACTTGACCTGATATTCCCATTGAACCGAACGGAGGTCGGAGATGGCCGCTCCATACATGTTAAGAGTACTCGGACAAGGACGGTAGTTCCTCTACCTAGATACCAATTCCAGACGAAGTACGGTTAATATGGTAGAACTGCTAATTATCACATAATCAACAGTAGTTAGTTCGTGATTGGTGCAAGCACTTGTTATGTCGGATCTATGAGTCACGTCCGGAGGCTACTTATGACTGTACATCTGAAGAGCAGAAGCAAGAAAACGAAAAAGAAAAGCACACTCGGCATGTCTGATACAGCACATCCCCTGTCTCTGCAACCATCAGCAAACCTCACTGGGACCCTCTCAGCGATGCCTGGCATGCCCAAGCCAACCCCCACGGATTCGTCTCTCTCGGACTCGGAAGCAATACACTGATGCAAGAACAGCTACTGCAACGCACCAACACCAGCTTCGTGCTTTCACCACAATACCTCTCCTTGAGCGGCACTATCACGGGTTCTGAGCAGCTTAAAACCGCCATCGCGCGCTTCCTCAACCGCCATCTCAGCCCCTCCAAAAAACTCCAGCCGTCACACATCATTGCTACCAATGGCGTTTCGTCCGCAATTGAGCACTGCTCCTGGGCTTTCTGTGATCCCGGCGAGGGCATTCTGGTTGGCCGTCCATATTATCGCGGGTTCAACAGGGATTTCGGTCTACGACCAGGATCGAAGCTTGTCCCCGTGAGCTTTGAGGGCATGGATCCTCTTAGCGTGTCTGCTGTGTCCAGATACGAGGACGCCATTAGGGACTCGCATGGGCAAGGCTGTCGAATACGCGCAATAATGCTCTGCAACCCGCATAACCCGCTAGGTCGGTGTTATTCTCGGCCATTTCTCGTTGAGCTGATGAAGATATGCCAAAGGCATACCATTCACTTGATCAGCGACGAAATATATGCTCTGTCGGTGTGGAGACATGGTCACGACGACGCCACAGCGATGGAGGATTTCTCTTCGGTCCTCTCTATCAGACCCGATGGCCTGATTGACCCCGGCCTAGTCCACATGCTTTGGGGCGTCAGCAAGGACTTTGGCTCGAATGGCGTGCGACTGGGTGTGATCATCTCCCAGGACAACGACGACCTGCTTGAATCCGTCCGAGGCGTGGCCCAGTACAGCTCCATTTCCGGACTGGCGGATTATCTTACTAGCACCATTCTCGCCGACGAAGCATTTGTGGACAATTATATCAGGCATAACCGCGCGGAACTGGCAGCATCTTACCGATATGTCGTCGCGTTCTTGCAAAACCATGGCATTCCCTACGCTCGCGGCGCAAACGCTGCGTTCTTTGTCTGGTGTGACCTGCTAACAGCGTATCTGAGAAGACGGCCTCGTCGGCCCCATGGCGAAGACACGGCTGCAAGCTGTAGCGAGCTTTGTGGAAAGCTGGCCTTGCGCAAGATTCATCTCGGAAACGGCGAGGACTTTGGCAGCGAGCAGCCAGGCTGGTTCCGGTTGACCTTTTCGCAGTACCGTGACCAGCTTGACGAGGGGTTGAGGCGGATTGTTCAAGTTCTTGATTCTTCTACCTGATTACGAGGAGGAAAAAGGACGTTAATAAGAAATTGAGTAGGTACAATGATTTCTCGCAACTTGTATATTCAGTTACCCTACGAATTATAAGGTATGAATTCAGTTCGTATATGTTAGACACAACCACATGACTATGTAATAGGCATAATATTATAATTGAATAGCACATTAATTGGTTGATCAGACTCGAACAAAGCTGAAACTATCCAAACTGCGTACTTGCTACATCATTCTGCCCGCTTCCCGCGAGCAAAAAAATCCTCGGCTCCGACAGTCTGACACCTACACACATACACACATAATAGTTACACAATACGCAACCATGGTCAAACCACTATCTTTTAAAGGCGACAAAAAAGTCAAAAAGCGCAAGCACCGCGACGACGACACCGAGTCCTCCACCGTACGCAAAGCCCGAGCCGAATCAACCCAAGATCAGATTCAAGAAGACGCCGCCGCCGACGAAGACAGCCAGAACTGGGTCTCAGCCGACGTGCCCACCGACATCAACGGGCCCATCATCATCGTGCTCCCTTCAACGCCGACGCCGACCTGCATCGCCTGCGACGTGAACGGGCAGGTGTTTGCGAGCGAGCTCGAGAATACAGTTGACAACGATGCGCGCACCGCCGAGCCGCATGACGTTCGCCAGGTGTGGGTTGCGACGAGGGTGGCGGGCACAGAAGGCCTGAGTTTCAAGGGGCATCATGGGCGGTATCTCTCTCTCTCTCTCTCTCTCTCTTTCTTTTCTTCTTGACTCTAGTTTTAGAGAGGACTAATGCGACACGATAGATACTTGAGCTGTGATAAATACGGCATTCTGAGCGCCACGGCCGCCGCTATATCGCCCTTTGAATCGTTCATCGCTATCCAGCCGCCCGACACGCCGGGAATGATTGCATTTCAAACGCAGGGTGGCGAGGGCGAGACGGAGACATATCTGACCATGCGGGAGAAGACAAGCAGCAGTAATAGTAATCGTGGCGAAGATAGGAACAAACAGATCGAAATCCGCGGCGATGCAAGCTCGATAACATTCGAATCTACGCTGCGAGTGCGTATGCAGGCCCGCTTCAAGCCCAAGATCAGAGCGTCAAAGGAGAGTAAAGCAAAGGAGAAGATTTCGAGGAAGGAACTTGAGGCGACGGTGGGGAGGAGGCTGGAGGATCATGAGGTGAAGAGACTGAAGAAGGCGAGGAGGGAAGGGAATTATTATGAAGAGGTTTTGGATGTGAGGGTTAAGGGTAAACATGACAAGTTTGCGTCGTGAGTTGCCAAAGGGAACTTTGAGTCAGGATATACTTCCAGGTTGAATCAAGCCGAGTCGATCGGAGACGGCCGTGTCGTCCTACTAGATCGATTGGTCTGCCCGTTAAGTTCTGGACAAATTTAAAGGCAGGATCAGTAAAGATCATATGGATGAGATTTCACCGGCGGCATTACAGCCCGGCCTTGTTATATTTCTCTGTTCATCTGCATAACATGCGATAACACACAGATCTACACTCTTATGACAGTAATAGACAGTCATATATAGTAATATTATAATTCAACTTCCTCTTCCGCATGATTGTTGCCCGCAGACACGATAGAAATCTCATTCCATGCGTCGAACGTACCAGTGCGGGCAGCCTTGAACGCTCGAAGACGGTTGATACGTGCGTTGCTAGTACTCGAGGAGTGAACCTCACTGTCAGTGTCCTGCGATCCGATCACCAGCTCACAAATCAATTCCTGGCTTGCGCTTTCTGCCACCGGTGTGGACTTGCCCTCGTTTCGCTGTTCACTTATACGAACAGAGCTAGTGTTTGAAGCTTGTTCATGATCGTCTTCTCTGGTAGACTGGGAGTTTGTTGCTGTTGTTGTCTCATAGGAACCCTGAGAATGATCATCAAGAATTTGGTCAATGTCATGAGGTAGTGGCCCTATATTAAAGTGGACTTTGCTTCCCATTGCTTGCAATTGCCGTCTGGTATCGCGCATTATAGTATACCGGATTCGTTTGCTTTCTTGCTCTAGTATTTCGCCTCGAGCATCACGTAAGTGCTTGTCGTGGACAAACTGACTTCCAGAGCACAGGTGCGCAAACAAACTCTCCATGGAAACGGATTCGTCCCATCTATTCTCATCGACCGTGCAAGGAAAAACCTCCTTTGGTCTGAAGGCTTGTACAAGCTCGCAGAGCTCCGCGTATGACGAATGACGAGAATAGGGAAATGTCTGTTTTCTAATTAGCGTGCACGAAGAAGGACGGTTTGTGTGGACGTACAATGGAATTAGTGTCTGCGGAGGTTTCTTCGTCCAAATTACGGTTGGAAAGTCTCCTGATATTGCCGAGCATGGACGCGAGATCCTTGAGCGAGATATCAGCGTCCTCAGCGAGTCCAAATTCGTCCAGCGAAAGTGCTCTGTGCCTCGATGCGAAAGCTAGCTTCAGGGTCTCCTTGGCCTGCGAGAGTACCCTTTCATCTGTAATATGTTCCGACAGTAACTCCTCGAGTCTCTGAACTGTAATCTCATCTGGCAACTCTAGTTCGTGGAGCTGGTACAAATCTCCCTTGCCCCCGCCAGCACCAACCTCTGGAACATCCACACCATTTCCATGACGGGTAACAATAGGTGTGATGAATACCGATTTCTTTGATTTCATCGTTTGGCAAAAGGCCCCAGGTTCGCAGCTATGGAGTCGCACAGATTCGTCGGATGTCAAACAACCGGGAACAAATCCGTTGCCTAGCTGGAATCCAGAGAGATACGTAGCTGTGTCGAAGCCGGTTCCGCCATGAGAGCGAACTGTCAGGGCCTTGTACAAATCATATTGGTATCTGTCAACATGAACCTATTCGAATTTAGTTCCTGCAATATTTCTCAATTGTGAGTATTAATGAACTGGAACGATGGGAACTACCTTGGAATCTAAAAAGGCCGACAGAGCCTGCCAAACTTCTTCGTAGCCAAATGTCCAGGCTCTCAGATAGAAGATAGTATCTTTAGGATACTTCTCCACCTTTTCCAGAAGCTCCTTGATCCCTTCTGCTTTTGGTGCAAAGTTACGGTATATATCCGACTTGACTGCAAAAGTAGTGTCGAGATAGATGTTGTCCAGGGTCTTCAAGCCGCATGCATAAGGAATGAGTACAGGATTGCGAGTCAAAGAATCAACCCACCAAGTCTCCGCTATAGTATGTTTGCAGTCAGAATTATATAGTAAGACGGAGGAGGAGGAGAAGAAGAAGAAGAAGAAGAAGAAGAAGAAGAAGAAGATAGTACCTCGAATATCTCCGGTATAGAGAATTGCCTTTCCTTGACCTTCGATCAAGAACATGACTGCGCCAGCACAGTGATTGGCCTCAAGAAGAGTCACGCGAATCCGCTTCAACGGCGTAAGTTCAATTTCGGTTGGAGTATTTAATGGAATTGGTCTCTAGCAAGCGGTCAGTTGAGTTGACTGGCTGACCTGCGGACGCAAAGGACTCACCAAGAGCTTTGCTAGATGTCCATAGTGCTGCTTTCTGGCCTCGAGTATCCCCTTGGAAAAGTTCATGCGATGAGGGTATTTCTCTATGCGCAGCAGCAGCTTCATTCCCAACGAGTTAGTAACCACTATCTAGCGATCGCCAAGTGAGAGGGAGGCAGCCGTACTTCTCGCGTCACGGCCGAGCAATAGATGAATGGCGACCGAAGGGACTCCAGTCCCTGCAGGTGGTCGCTGTGCACATGGCTGAGAAAGCAGACCAGCGGTGCTGGCTTGTCTGATATTTTGCGAAAATAGTCGACTACGTGGATTGTCAGTGGCGGGACTCAGCTGTGCAAGGGGCGGCGAGGCAGACATACTCCTGACGAAGGGAAACTCGGCGACGACCCCGTTGAAGGTCGACATGCTTACGCAGCAGACATGGCGCAGTTCATGATTGTTGTCGTGGTGTAGTGATGTGGTGATGTTGTGATGTTGTGTGATGTGGTGGAGGAGAATTGTCGCCCGGGAAGTACGGCCTGCCTCTTTGGGATGGGCGCCAAGATTTTTGCACCTCGACGATTTCTTTCTTGCCGGTGATTAATCCTTGCTACGAGTGAATAAGAAATTAGGCAACACTCCGTGGATGATAATACTATGGATGTATGAATACGACGGAAGAGTGGCAATGGCAATGCAATGAATGCAATGAATGCAATGCTCTCTCTATGTATGCGATGCCTGCTTAGTATTGAATGGATGCATGTCTGGAGGGGCCGAAAACACATCGCAAGAAGAAAAACTCAAGAAGAGCACGTAGTTCATTCGCTATCGTCCTGTGGAGGCGTCAAGCATGTCGTAGCGCTACAGTCAGCCTGTCAGAGCTGCAGCTGCGATGAATGCGCTGGTCACTTGCGCGTTGTCCGAGTTGGCAGCCAGCAGATGCCTCAAAAGCCCGCCCCGTCCTCTCCTCTCCTCTCTTCTCTTCCTTTTCTTTCCCTGCTCTAAGAGCTAGGCCTCACCCATTCTTACCCCCCTGAAAGAGAGAGAAAACCAGAGACCGAGAGCCCGCGAGTATGCTCTAAGCTGCATCCGTCGGCGTGCCTGGAGCCAAGCTCTCTTCTAACCGGACCGTTCAGCCTCATTCTTGCAGTCCAGAACTCCTCCAGCAGACCGGTGACTGCAGTTCTCACGTATTACTCGCATTCCATCTTCGTTGCAACCGGACAACAACTAGACGCTTGATGCATAAATAGCGCTTTCGTCTCCTCAGGCTCCAACGTCGCTCAGTAGTTAATTGCGGGAAAAAGTCCCGGGGCCGGAGCTCACTAGCCTGTTTGTTTCTATTCTTACATCGACACTGTCCTTTGATAAATGAGCTTACTCTGTCTCCCAGTGGAAACCTCACGCCCCGATCACCTCGACTCATCCAAGATGCACAAGCCGTCAATCGCGCAGATTGTCTACAATGCCACCTTCCCCCGACCCAAAAGCGCCGACCCGACGTCCTTTTCTGTGCACATCACACGCAACCTAGTCCCCGAAGTGCGGATTGAGACCTCCGCCTTTTATGGGTCGCTCGATTGCATCGAAGCGCAGTACCCTGGCCTCGACTACTCGTATGGACCGCACCGCATGCGACTCAGCCGTTTCCCGTGGCATCGCAAGCTATTCAAAGTGTTTGACGACCTACGTTTGACCGAAGCTGAAATCGCGTCATTATGCCGCTGGGAAGGAACAAAGTCAGCTCGAGAGCGCTATGAGAAGGAAGAAGGCGTCAAAGTCAACGACACGACTGCGGACGACGTCCGTCCGGCGACTCCGGCCCCGTTTCCCTCCGCTCGGTTCCCTACAGATGACGAGGCAACAATCTCAGACTCCGAGTACAGCTCGGCTAAGCAGGGAGGGCCTGTCCAGGAACTGCTATCGATAGTTACAACGCAGCAGAACGAGACGGAGGACGGCGACTTTAGCGATGAAGAGATGGAAAGCTATGGTGTACAACTCAACCAACGTCTTATATACGCCACAGCGGCCCGTGAACGAGGCAATAATATGCCTTTGGACGAGGACTGGGAGCAATGGCTCAAAGAGGCTGTGGAGAGAGGCAGTTACTCGGATATGCTGAATGCGGTGCGGACTGGCCAGCCCTTGGAGACGAGATCGCATAACCCTGCTTCGCCAATACCCTCTTCGCCCGGTGCAGCTCTGATGAACCAGCTGGCACTTGCGGCCCAACAACCAGTGGCAGTGCAAACCGTACACCCGGCCTCGGTCTTTCGACATCCGTCTACTAGTAGTACCTCTGGGGTTGCTCGATAAAGATCGCATCGCTCTCGGCTTTATGATTTAATACTCCTTTTTCTTTTCTTATTGCTCATCTCTATTCAGCGACGTTATGAGGTCAGGCGTTGACAGGGGCGAACTTTGCATCCCAATCCAACTCGATTGACGAGCTGGGTCTATTTTTATTGCTTTTCAATTTTTTGCTGTCCTGTCATTAGACTCCTTGCTCTTCCTGGCCATTTGTTATGAATCACTCTTCTACGAACAATACCCTCACAAGCCCTTAGCTAATTTTACTCGACACATCATATATGCTCAATATCAGGCATGCAGATCTGTTGCTTTTTGAATTTTGATATGTCTCTAAGATGCTAAACTAGCTACTCAGTCGCCGTTCTACGTCAAAAATTCACATCTTAGGTATTAGAGGGACTCGTATATAGAAACACCACAAGTTTATACCATTGTCACTCTAGCCATGTTTGTGAGGAAATTGTATGTAAAGCACAAAGTATCTCTGATTGGCTGCTGCTGCAAGCGGCAACTATACTGGACTGGCACTAGCGTATACTAGCCCCTTTGGGTTTTAGCGTGATGATATGAATGATTATTGATAAGGGTTCATCTAAGCTCACGCATTCATCACTTCTTCAAGCTTCACTTGCATACCTCCCCCCACCGATGTAAATATCTCTGCGCATCATCAAGAGGATATGCCAGGCTACACTCCACTTCTTCCGCGTGTCAATGTCTGCTGCGCACCATGATCAAGGCAATCTTCTATAGCAAATTCGACACCCAGGAAGGTGCGCAACCCACGATGCATATATTACCATGGCTGATCTCAAGAAGAAAAGAAAAAGAAAAACAACTTACAAAGTGCATATATCTATATACAGGCCCCAAGGTCGTCCATCAAGTCCCCGATGGCGCCATTGTCCCCTCGTCAACAGCCGCCGCCCCGTTCTTCACCTTCTCCGACATCTCGTTCTTCGTGATCCCGCGACAAGAACTATGCGGCAACCTGCTACAGGTCTGCACCGGCGGATACCGCATACTGGGGTACCCGATCTGCATGAAATCAGCCGCCTACGACCGCAACGAATTCATCTTCAATTTCTGCTTCGTGCTAGCCGAAGAAGAGGACTTTAGCAAATACAAAAGCATTGTGCAGAAGCTCGCTGATCTGATGCACGGGCTCGAAGAGCAGAGCTATTTTCTCAGTCGCGATCACTCCCGGAGCGGAGAAGGGAAAGTGTATAGTCTGTGTGAGACGCTTATGGAGGATCTCAACAGCTATAGCGAGTGTATGATTCCGATCGACAAATTGAATACCCTGAACTTCAAGCTGTTCCCCGTCTATCCTGCGCCTCCGCATGTGAGAGCGTGGGATGTGCCGCTGTTCACGGTTCGGTATGAGGCATTCCTGGACGAAAACTGGGATCTGACGCTTCAAAAGGTAGGCCACCAGTACCCTTACTCGCATCATCATGGCTTACTCGTTCTAGATCGTCCCTTATATCAATGGCGTAAACAGCGTGCGCATAATCTCAATCCTCGCCGACGTCGAACTCTCCCTCGCCTACAGAGCAATTCGGCATTTGATATACTATGGATGCGTCTTTCTTCTCGATATATTCTCCTTTTCGGCCATCTATGCACCCACAGCCACTTTCCATTCGAGTATTGCATGCGACGAGGGCATGCAGCAAGAATGCGCCCATTACGTCAACACACGCTTTGCGCCGCGCACGGGGACATCTTCTACGACCATGGCATCGTCCGTTCTACTACCTGACAGACTCGAAGATACAAACGACAATATCTGGCCGCTCATTGGCAGCGGCGATGACGAAGATGTCTCCGACAGTGACAGCAGCAGTTACCATGGCAGACGAGGCGTGAAAGATCGAGGCTCAAGATCGTCATCCCGACGACATACACCAAAAAGGAAACATCTCGACGGCGTCGGAATAATTGAGCTGTACGCTAGTCTGCGCCAGGGACAAAGCGTCAAGCAATGGTACATACTGCATGAGCGCCAGCTAGCCAACGTCGACATTCGACGATTCATTACCTTTGGTATAATCAAGGGCTTCCTCTACCGCGTGCACAAGTACGCATACGGACCCCGTCCGGAGGGATTAAAATATACGGGCTCATCAGCTGATATGAAATCAATAACGAAATCGGTGTCCGTTTCTTCCGTGAAAGGGGTTGGCAGTACTGGCGATTTCAGCAGAGAAAGTTCCTTCCGACCTGATCAAACCATATCAGGCTCATATCAAAGTACCAACAACAGCAACAAAACCCATAACATCCGCATCCGACTTGAAGCATCATCCGCTAATTCTTACGAGAAAAGCAACAACAATAATCACGATGACGACGATGACGACGACGGCGACGACCTACACCACACCAACAACCACGGTAACGACAGCAACGAAGAAAGCAACGAAGAAGAATCCTTACTAGAAGATGACGAGGAACAAGAAGAAGGCGAAGAAGGCGGATCACGAACAGCGCAGGAAGCCATCCGATTTCATCAGAATTGCAAAGCTCTAGAGAAATATTTAGATGGCCAGCATTGTTTTGATGAAATATGTACCGAGTTGGAGATAAGCGAGCGCGAGCTGACGGCCAAGTTGAGGAAAATTCCTTGGAATGTGCATATAATTCATCGATAATTTGGTTTATTTACGATGAATTAGAACATCTAACATTTAACATTTATCAACCATGTCGTTAGAAACATTAACAACTCCTTGACCTCCCTCTGACATGGGCATATCCACCAGTCAATCGACCCTAACGCCTGAATGATAAAAAGAAATATATATACATAGTCAGCTCAAAAGGTATAGATAATCTGACGAATAATAAAGAATTGGCAGCATAACGTGTCGTTAACGATATCGGCTATTCCTGCTCCTCATCCCACCCCTCCAGCTCAGCCTTTTCATATTCCGCCATCGTGACCGGATCGAAAACACTCTCCTCCTTCGACGGAACAGTTGTCTTACTATCCTTGAAAATGGGGCCGATGCAGTCGCGCCACCGCTTGCGACGATCCATGAGCGTGCGCGCCATGTCGCCAATACCAGGACGTCCGACTCCCGCGGCACTAACGACATGACTGCCACCGCCTGCGCCTCCGGGACGGTGTTTGGCTTGCGATCCTTTCTTGCTTTTCCCTAGGGTGCGAGTTCGCTTCAGATAGGCCTGCTGGACCTGCGAGTCGAGGTCGTCGTGAATCGTGCTGTATTCCTGGTATGCCATGCGTTCCTTGGCGATTTCCAAGAGTCGCGTCTTGCGCGCTCCGTTGACGAGCATTTGTTTCTTGAGTTCGCTTTGGAGGAGTCGGAGACGCTGCGCGATGTCGTCGTCGTAATGGGCGTCGAAATCCGGGTTGTCGTCTGCGCCGAAGAAGCCGACGTACCGGAGCTCGGCTTTGAGTCTCTCGTCGAGTTGCGCGTGCTCCAGTTTTGCTGCGGGGACTTTGAAGCCGTTGGGAGATGCGTCGGGGAAGGATGTTGCGGCGGGCTGGGGCTTGGAGTCGGTTTCTCCGAGTGGTTGGTCTAGGTCCATGAAGGAGTCGCCTCCGAGGAGTCCGTTCATTGACGAATCTCCACCGCCGCCGCTGCTGCTGCCGCCTGCTGCTCCATTGGCGCTGTTCTCATCGGGTTCTACGCGATGTTCGTAACGCAGAAGAGAGTAGAGGCGGCTGACGAGGGGTGCTACGGAGACTTTGTCCGTCTCCGCAACTTCGTCGGTCAGCTGCTCGATATTTCCTCGTCCTTGGTTCAAGGGGAGTCTCTCTTTTTCGGAAGAGTGGTCCAAGCTCATTGCGCCGTCTTCCTCTGCCCATATCTCACTGTAATGCTTCTTCCCTCGACGCGGCATCACAAAGGGAGTTGTGCGGTCGCCCTGTTTCGAATTAGTAATGAATAATATACCGGGATAAAAAAAGGGGGGGAAGCGCGGGGGGCGCGCAGCAATAAGATGAATTTACCTTCTCCTTTAGAAAAGCAATATCTTCCTCCGTAAGACCACGAACAAAAGGGTCAACCCAAGTAAGAAAAGTATTCGCATTAACCTGGTTTGTCGGCTTCGCGTTACTGAAATCTTTGTCTGGGGGGGTTCCGGCCATCATATGACTCAGATCACTTGGAGGAAAGTGCGCCACGCTATAAATCTCCCTTTTCATATCATCGGTCGTCTCTGGGGTCACATCGCGAATGTGATAGATTGTTGGGTCATCGAACTTCAGCGGGTCGGGCCCGAATACTTGGAATTGAGGGACTAATTGGGCTGGCTCTGGTTGATGCGAATCGTCACTATCTTCCGACGAGGAAATACCAGCGGCTTCCTCTTCTTTGGGGATAGGTGAAGCCATAGACGGAGGCGAGAGGGAAGACGTGCTGGACGCAAGGTTTCGCGACTTTTTGGACGACGGCGATGCCGCTTCACGACTCCGTTTACGCTCTCCTGTAATGTAATCAGTCTAAGATCGACCCAAAACAGCTTGTGGGAGTCAGATAGAACATACCAAGTTCTCCACCATCCTGTCGAGAAACTTCATGTGCGCCCACTGCTAGAGGGCGATCTTCCTTTTGAGGCCGTTCCTTGCGCTTCTTGAGTTTGTTCCCTTTGAAAGCTCGACTCGTCTCCTCATCATCGTCCGCCTCCCTCTTCATTTTGACCCTATCCTCCGCGTCGCGCTCCATTTCCTGCTCGCGCTGCTCTTCAATAACCTCTTTCCGCCGTTGCGAAAGCTCTCGCATACCAGCATTGCATGTATCACCGCGAGAATCAGCTATCTGACTAAGCGATTTCAACTGCTCACTGATCAGCTCCAGCGTCTTTATATCTGGGATATGCCCGCCCCCGCCAGTTTGCTCCAGGAGATCAGAATAGTGAACGGAAACTGCAGAAAACAGCCTGGACAAGTCATTGTCGAGGTAGCCGGGAACAACGGACGAAACACCAATGGTCGTGCTCGCGCTCAGCCCGGAGCTGGGGGTGGTGTTGCGACTGCGTGACTGGCGCGAGTCGCGGCCTTTGCCTTTGCTTTTGTTCGCCATTGGCATCGCCTTGTGTCTGGAACAATAAGGGAAACTCCGTGGAAAGGGCAAGTCAATTGCGCATCTTCCGTCGGTGAGATAAACGAGCGGGTCGAGGCTGGGCCCGGTTCGAAAGAGCAATGATAGACGCCGCTTGTGTGTATAGGCTTGTTCGTAAGGCGGACTTCGATCTGAAGACAGGAATATGGCGATAAGAAGTGGCACAGCGATGAAGGGCGTGAAACGCTCGTCGTCCGGCGATGTCTTATGTAAGCGTCCATCCAGTGGCCCGTGAGCAGTCACGTGAGCCGCAGCCGCATCTTCTCCGCGTCTCGGCGTCTGAAGGGCCAATGAGAGCGCTTCTCTTTTCGCGCTGGAGCCGATGGCGGCTCTTCTTCTTCTTTTCTTGTCACTTTGCCGCTCACCTTAATTCTTTATTCTGGCACAGCAGCACAACGCTGAATCCTGCATGACGTGTTGAATCTGAAAGCTGTCTTAGAAAAATGCCGATAACCTTTCACTATCGATCTAGACGAGATTAGGTTCCAAGCAAGGGGAGCATTGCCATGGCCACCGCACGAGCTTCCAACATTCGGGATCAAGCCGAGGTAATAATAATATAATAATACTAAAAATCGTAAGGTATGCATAGTACGGAGTGCTACTATTTGGTAATGAACTATGTACGTAGTATGCACGAATTAATCAAGGTTGCTATTGCGACATGACCTGTGAGCAGGCAGGGTCGTACTAAAGGTACCGGCTTCCGAGCAAAAAAAGACTGAGCGCAGCAATGATGCCTTCTTTATCTGGCCGATACGACTTTTTATGGCTAATAGATGAAAACAGACGGAATTAGCCAGGCGGTGTTTCCCAAACAAGCATTCCTGATTCCGCAAACATGGTGCATTCTTTTCCCTTTTCGGCACTTCCGGAATGGGCACAGATTTGCCCTAATAATATAACTACGAAGGATGATAAAAAGCATGTGCGAATTATCTATTCAAAATAATGTCCAGGTGGTTTTCGACTGCATACATACATATATACTATTCTCGCGGAATTACGTTGGAACGATGTCCAGTCGACGGGCATGACATCCACGACTTACCGGTACTTACTCACAGCAAAAAGACGAAGAATCTAGAAGGCCTGATTCTATTGGCCTCATGCAGCAGTGCAGATCATGACTACCGTGACGACTTTATTTGCAGGGCCAGGGACACTGCAATGCGGTCCCCGCTACGGCAACGTGAGTCTCAACTATACAGATCAAAAGTCAGGAAGAAGATAACCAACACCTCTCCCCAAACAGCAAAGCATAATATTCCACTACGTGATCGACGGCACAATCCGAACTCTGTCCAGCACCAATCAGCCCGCCCAAGAATCATACAAGGGCCAACTATTCGTGCCCAGACTCGAAACCGACGACGTCTGCACCAACATCACCGCCCCATTCGTCCCCTCAAACACTACCAGGAGAAACGACTTCCCACCCTTTGACCACCACCACCACAACAACAACATTGGCCTTGCGCCGTGGATAACCCCGGAATGTGCGCAGGCTTATCTTGCTGCGTCGCGGCGCGATGATGCGCGTGCGCTCATCTTCTATGAGCCGCAGAGCAAGGATTCGGGGAAGCCGCCGCCATCAGATAATGCGCTTTGGGACCTGGGTGATGGCGGCCAGTGGAAGAAGGATAATCAGTATCCTGTCTATGCGGTTCCGGGGCCGGCGGGGTCGCATTTGATGCATCAACTTTCGCAGTACTCGGGACGTCTGGGCTGGGATAATCGTGATGGTTATAATAGGAGTAATGGGACTCTGACGACAGAGGCGCAAGTTCAAGAGAATTGTACTCGGCTTTATGCTCTTCTCGATCTGGGTATGACCTCCCCCCCCTCCTCCCTCCACCCTTGACCATGCGTGTTAACGACTAACGGCATGCATACATACAGAACCGGAACAATCATCCAGCGTGCCGGGAGTATGGGTCTTCGTGCTCGCAATCCTAGGCGCCATCGTGCTGATGATGGCATTTGCGTTTTTCACCATGCAGCATGTCAAGAAGAGGAGACGCGAGGGCTTGCAGCGACGTGTCGTGGCCGGCGAGGTTGATCTGGAGTATTTGGGGATTAAGCGGCTTGTTGTCCCTCCACAGCTGCTTTGCCAGTTGCCAGTTTACGTCTATCCAGACGAGCATGACAGTAAGGGTGACGGAGGCAAAGAAAGAGAAACAGATAAGAAACCCCAACAAGACGAGAGCGAAAGCGAAAACGAAAACGAAAGCATATCCGCCATTCTCGAAGAAATCATGCCCAAACTCCAGCCACCGCCGCGAGCAGCAGCAGCTTATCAGAAAGGGAACCAGCACAGACTTACATTCTCCCAGCGCACCTGCGCCATCTGCCTCGACGACTTTGTACCGGGAACATCCCTCGTGCGCGAACTGCCCTGCACACACATCTTTCACCCGGAATGCGTAGATGTATTCCTCATGCGCGACGGCAGCACGTGTCCCGTGTGCAAGCACAACGTCCTCCCGCCGTCGTTCGTTGAGTACCAAGTGCGCAATCTGATGGCACAACACAGTCAACAATATCATACTACTAGTAGTAGTAGAAGCCATAGTCACTATCATCACCGCAGCCCCATGCACGAAACGCAATTGCCCGATTTGCCATTCCCGGTTCCTTCTGCGCGGCGTATTATGAGCAGGTTGGGCGCGTGGATGCGCTTGACTAGTAGCAGCAATGATGAAGCACGGATTAGTACGACTGCTGCTCCTGAGCAGGGAGAAGATGCTGTCCAGCAACATGAGAGCTACGACCCTGTGCGGAGGGAAATGATGCAAAGGAGGGCTATGGTGTTGCTGGGGAGGCCTGTTGGTGATCATCCGGGGGAATAGGTAGAGCACTGTACAATTTGTATATATATGTATGTAGATATGTTTGTATGTTATTCCTGTTTCTTGGTAAATCAATCAAAGACATGTCAAACCAGATCGTACTTTCAATCAATACACAAAATACTGTTGCGTCAACGGCAGGCTAGTCGATGGCTCGGCCGTGCAGAGCTGTCCATCCGCTTCGACAGTCTACATATCAATCAGCCATCGTGAATTTCAAGAAGTGAGAATGAGAGAACATACGTATCGCTCCGGATCAACTTTCATCTTCGGCATTACATCATTATATTTCATGTCCTTCTTGCCTATATTGCGGCAGTTTCGCACTGCCTCCACGCGTTTGCGGAGGTTGTATGTTTCTATTATACCGTGCGAGATGGAGGCTTGGGAGACGAACATTATTGACGTTGAGGGGAGGAAGGACTTTATATAGTCAGAATATATCTCTTGTCTCTGTTGATATGCATTTACTCACTCCGAATTGAGGTCTCATGATCACCGGCTCAACGGTCGGGATGGATGCATTGGGGTCTCCCTATAGAAAGTCATTAAAACATGTAAATTGGCATTAGGCATGCTAACAAGGGAGAAGAAAAGGGTTACCATCTGAGCAGCAGCAATCATCCCCCCCTTAACAACCGTCTTGGGCTTCGTGCCAAAATTGTCAGGCGTCCACAACACCAGATCGGCCAACTTGCCCACCTCCACGCTGCCAATAAGATGCGCCATACCCTGCGCAATGGCCGGGTTGATGGTGTATTTACTAATGTATCGTTTGACGCGGAAATTGTCTGCTCCCGTGCCTTCGTCCTCTGGCAAAACGCCGCGTTGCTCCTTGTTCTTATGTGCCGTGTTCCACGTCCGCAGGATGACTTCGCCGCAGCGGCCCATGGCCTGCGAGTCCGAGGACATCATGCTGATTGCGCCAAGGTCGTGGAGCACGTCTTCTGCTGCGATGGTCTCGCCGCGGATCCGGCTCTCGGCAAACGCCACGTCCTCGGGGATATTCTTGGAGAGATGGTGGCAGACCATGAGCATGTCTAGATGCTCGTCTAGTGTATTTAGCGTGAATGGCCGCGTGGGGTTGGTGCTGCTAGGAAGGACGTTGGCGTGCTCTACCACAGAGATGATATCAGGCGCATGGCCTCCGCCAGCACCTTCAGTGTGGTAGGTATGGATGGTGCGGTTCTTGAACGCCTGAACAGTCTGTTCCACGAACCCGGATTCGTTCAGTGTGTCTGTGTGGATCATGCATTGTATATCGTATTCGTCGCATACTTCCAGACAAGTGTCTATCGCAGCGGACGTGCTGCCCCAGTCTTCGTGCAGCTTCATACCGGCTGCTCCGGCAAGACACTGCTCACGGATGCTTTCCTTGCCGCTATCGTTTCCTTTGCCTGTGATTCCCAGATTAATCGGTAAAGTGTCGCAGGCTTGAATCATTTGACGCATGTGAGTTGGTCCCGGCGTGCAAGTCGTAGCGTTGGTTCCAGTACTTGGGCCTGTTCCGCCGCCCAACATGGTCGTAATCCCCGAAGAAAGAGCCTCGTTCACCTGCTGTGGACAGATGAAATGAATATGCGTATCAAACCCGCCTGCAGTGACGATCTTGCCCTCAGCGGCAATAACATCGGTCGATGATCCGACCACCAGGTCCGGGTGGACGCCGTCCATGACATCGGGATTGCCGGCCTTGCCAATGCCGACAATAAGTCCATCCTTGATACCAATATCGGCTTTGTAGATTCCGCTCCAGTCAATGATCAAAGCATTAGTGATGACCGTGTCCACGCACTGCTTAGAACTCTTTCCTGAAGACTGGCCCATGCCTTCGCGCAGCGATTTGCCTCCGCCAAACGTGCATTCGTCGCCATACGTAGTCAGATCTTTCTCAACCTTGACCCACAGATTGGTAGACCCCAACCGGACGAGATCGCCAGTCGTTGGACCGAACATGCGGACATACGCTTCACGCTCCATCGAGAAGGGAGCGACGGCGGCAGTGACAAGGTCTGCATCGGCTGTTGGCTCGGGTATATGGGCAAATCCGGCTTGTTGTATCCGGGCCAGAATCTCTTCGATACGACTGACGTCTACAGTTCCACTGGCAAGTGAGTTGCCGCCACTGATGATCTTGTTTCCGCCGATTTCGACCAGAGTGACAGTCTTGGTGTCACCGGGTTCGAATCGGACGGACGTGCCAGCAGCAATATCCAGACGATAGCCGTAAGCTTTCGCGCGGTCAAAATAGAGCTGTGGGTTCGTTTCAATGAAATGATAATGCGATCCAACCTGTAGCAGTTAACTTTTTCCCCGCCCTTCTTGTTCACTAACGAGCTTGACATTAACACACCTGAATCGGCCGATCACCCTTACTCATCACCCTAAGTCTGATCCGTTTACGGCCTTCATTAAGCGTAATCCGCGAGTCCTTGACAGGCACAACAGCACCGGGCTGGTTTTCAGGCTCATAGTCCACTGGATCCGGGTCCGGAAAGGCCTCCTTGGGCGGCACAGGCAGAAAACTGCCGTAAAGAGCCTTCTCTAGGTCTCCATCATCGGAACTGATGGGATGATGCACCGTGACCAGATACGTGCCCGAAGGAAATGTGCCTTCCACCTGCAATTCTACGAGACTGGATACGACCGAGGGCAGGACGTGGCGACGGCCCAGCATGGTTTTGCCGATGGACATGAGGTCGGCGACGGTGTGGTTGCCATCGCGAATGAGCTAGGGCAGTCAGCCTGGAAGTAGTCAGGATAAGTCATTTGTACAACGCACTTCTTGCAGGTTAGACGATATCAAAGCCTGCCAGTAACAGTCAGCATGGTTCCCATGGCTACAGTGCAGGCCGGGTGGTACAAACAGTAGCTTCGGCATGGTTCAAACGGACGCCCCGGGCCAGCCTGCGCTGGGCCAGCAGACCCAGCTGCGAGATGACCAATTTATCGATCTGCATGCGTCGTTAGTGAGTTATAAACAGTGACGGCGTTACACAATGGGCACTAGACGAGGAAATAGAACATGCCTCCTTGGGAATCAACTGCATCGTGCCCTGTGTTACTCACTCGCTGCTGTAGTGATCTGTTTTAGCAAGGGGCCAATTTGAACAGAATGGGACAGACCCCTGTAGCACGTACCGAGAACGAGAACAAGGAAGGGCGTGTTTGGGATACGACTGGGATAGCTGAACGACCAGCAGGCGATTGACGAGAGAGAACGCGAGGAAGCGAAGATGAGGCTCTGGCGCTGCGGGGAGTTAAACTGGGTGGCAGATAAGATAAGAAGCTACTACCTCAACCCTTGCTAGCTAGACCGATCAATGATCAATCGTCAAATCTACACTGACTGACTGATACTTATTGTTCACAGAGACGAAGATTACAAAAAGCATTACTATATAGAACAAACACATCGATGATGCCCTTGGACGCGAAATACAAAACACCAAACTGAACCCCCGTAATTATGAACCAGAATGATAACGAGAAAACTCCAATGACTCAAAGCACTACTCGACCGGGGTTTGCGGGAAATCAGAGGACGCAAGGACAAAAGAACAACCCAAGTACTCCCTATCAGCATCTGAAAACAGAAAACAGAAGAAAACATTTCAATATACACATTGTTGGTTTGTTCTTACTCCTCGCCGGCAGCCTCGCTCTTGCGCTTCTTCTTGCTGCGCTTTTCGCTGGTGCTGGGCGCGGATTTGCGAGCAGGCGTGATATCCTTCTTCAACACGGGAGTATGCTTCTTCTTTTCGGGCGAGGGTTTCTTGGTGGACACGGGAGAAGCAGGGGCCTTGGCACGACGGCGCTTGTTGCTGGGAGGCGGAGTGGGCTCCTTGGAAGAATCTTCGGACTCGGAGTCTTCTTCGTCGGACGACTCGGTCTCTTCCTCGGCCTCGGCGTCGGCGGCGGCAACGCTCTGTTGTAGCTGGTCGTCCGCCTTTGCGTGGTCGTCGTCGGGGATGGGCTGGCCGGACTTGTACGCCTCCATCTTCGCCTTGTAGACGGCAAGGTTGTCCAAGTACAGTCTCTTCCAGACCTGTTTTCATTACATTAGTATACATGGTAGACGGCAGAAAGTTGGAAGGTAGTTACGGAAGACAAACCTCCTTGTCTTCAGCGTTCATGTTAGCCCAACGGCGAGTGCCCTCGTCGGCAACCTCGCCGCGCGTGGCCTGTGGGCCCAGCTCTTCGGCGATTTGCGCACGATTGTGTTGCATGTAGAGAAAGTAGGCAGTCAATGCGCGCTTGGGCGCATTGGGGTCTGCCGGCGCACGCTTGCGCTTCTTCTTCTCTTCGGGCTTTGCTTCTTGGCCGAGCGCATGGTGAGCGACAGCACTGCCGAGAAGGCCATTTTCCAGCAGACTGCTCGCAAGACCGCCGGCAAGACCAGTGCTCAGGCTGCTTTCCGTAGACACGGGGCCACGGTTCAAGACGGTGTTGGCATGGTTGATGTAAGCGCGCGACAAATCAGACACGGCGGACTGAAGAGTGGCAAGGCTGACAATCACCTGTGAGTACGTTAGAAGGCGCTGTTCATGGGTAGTGCAGTCTTGGAGGGAGCGGATGCCGGCGCTGGCCCTCTGGATCTCTGTTGCGGCGAATTGTAGGGGCACCACCAGGTCGCGCAGGCTCGCCATTGTTTGCGCCGCGAACAGACAGGTAGCAGCAGCGTACAATAGCGAGGGAGAGGGGGGAGGAAAAATAAAGACACGGAATTGAACAAGTCAAGGAAACGAAAATAATGCGCGAGGGCAAGAAAGGCCACGCCTAAAGACACAGCGCGCGATGGGGAACCGGGGGAGGGGGGCGCAAGGTCGCGCTCGCGAACAACAACAATAGCGGCCAACGAAAACGACTGAGGGGGGGGGTGCTTGGGGGGGTGGGCGCAAAACAGAAGAGAGAGAGACTTACGCTGTCGCGAGTGCGGGTGAAGTCGTCGATGTTGACGGTGACAATGGCATCCTTAGCCTTGGTATCGTCCTTGCGTGACATGGTGGGCGTGTAAAATGTCTACGTATGGGGGGGAATGTCGGGCGCGTCCACGGTTGAAGGTTGGGAAAAGAGAGGGAAAAGTTTTCGCGCAGGAAGGGCGGCCAGGGCGCCACTAAATACTTGGGAGGGCGGGTGCCGCGGGCTGCCGGGGGAGGGGGGGCGCCCGTGGGTGTGCCGCACCACCGTGTCGTTGCGCGTGTTAGGCGTTGCATTGTGTCTCTCTGCTGCACGCTGTCAGTCTGCTTGGCTGGCTGAGGGGTGCCAGCCCACGCTCTCTCTTTTCAATCCATAGTCAGACAGGCCGTCCCTCTTGTTAGTATAGAACTGCTTTCTTTTTTTCCCTGTTCACTGCTATTGCATCTATGCATATCTAGGTATCTAGCAAGTCACTCCGCCGCAGTCTACCCGACAGAGTGTCTATAGATACCTCTGTTTACAGCAGGACAAGGAACCGGTGCACAAAGGCCACGCAGTACCTAGCGGCATAGTGTACCTAGGTAGTGCCCGAGGGGCTGGCCATAAGGAATAGATAGGTACTAGTCTATCTGCGTATCTAACAACACATGCCGCACAGCGTCTACACTCGATATACAAATTTGCTCCAGAAGTAAAATTAAAACTTAAACACCTGCTCCTTGTCGTACCCAAGCTCCTTCAAGATGCCAGTCAAGTCGCCCTGGTCCTGCGGGCTCTTTTTGCCACCGCTCACAGCCTTGTACATGCCCGGAGGTCCGCAGACAAACAGCTTGATGTTCTCTTCCTTGGGCTCGGGGAGGACCGTCTTCAGGAGCTCCTTGGTCACGAATCCGGAGCCACCAGTCCATTCCTGGGGAGGCTTGTCGAGGAGGTAGAACACCTTGAATCGCTGCGGGTACGTGTTCTCCAAGTCCTGGAGCTCCTTCTTGAGCAGGATGTCGTCCTCGGTCACGTTTCCGTACACCAGCGTAACCTTGGTCTTGTCCTCGGGGTTGTTGAAGATGGCCCGGAGCAATTGGTACATGGGCGTGATGCCAGTGCCGCCGGCCACCAGTCCAATGTGGTTGTGCTTGTTGGCTTCCCAGGGGTACTTGGGGATGGGTCCCTTGAAGTTGAGACGCTGGCCGACAGCCATGCTATCCAGATGCGAAGACATCTTTCCCTCAGGGTAGCGCTTGACCACGAGGTCCAGATATCCGGGTGTGTCTACGTATGATTAGTCAAGCCGTCACGACAGGCAAATTTCATGCGATTGACCTACCCTCATCCGAGACAGGTGTGTACGGGCGGATAATAGGCTTGCCCTCTGGGGGAACATACTTGGTGATCAAGGCAGCTACATATGCGTCAGTTCAGCGCGTACGACAGAATCGAAAGATACGGTGGTGCTTGGCCAACTTACAGGCGACATGCAGACCAGAAACAGCCTCCTTGTCCGGGAATTCGAATCGGTATCGCTTGGTATTGTTGCTCAGGATCTCAATCTCGCTGAGCTTCAGGTCGATAAACCCTTGCTCGCCGCCAGTGAACACCTTCTCGCGTTGCTTGATCTCTTCGGCAGCAGCGGGCTTGTTCTGCATGTACCTGTACACGCCCGTGCCGACGCCAATGGCACCGACGACAAAGGCGATGTTGGTCAGGCCATTTCCCTTGGCCGGCGCTTCGGTCGAGTATTTGCGAAAGCTCTGGGGAAAGCACAAAGTGGCAGTCAGCACTTGGTGTCTTCCTCGGTGAGCGAACGAGAATTGTTTATTTGTTTTTTCTTTACCTGGCGCGCAGGCTGTGAGAGCCTGAAAGCAGATCTCGCGAACATGGTGGGAAAGGAAATGAAAGAAAGTATAAGCCAAGGACAATAGACAAAGGAGATGCTTTTTATACAACGGTTGTGCTGGTTGGTAGGTGGGAGGTGCAAAGGAAAGGAACGAGAAATAACTAGTCGGCCGGCGGAGCTTTATTAATCAACGAGAATAACTTTTGAGTAACCCGCGGGCTGTAGGCGCCATGACGCAACGCCGTACCTAGCCTAAGTTACAGTCAACACTGGATTGAGAAACATTTTGGAAAGCTTCATACTCATAATAATCATGTGTTTAAGCTTAGTCGGTGCCGATAGAAATATGATATTTGTTCGGTAGGTATTGTTTAAAAGCCGGACAGACCTTGTTCTAGCTACGGATCTCGTCTACTAAATAATATTGAATTGAGAGATGCCATGAGAAAACCGCCAACCCCGCCTATAGGAAGAAGAGTAGCCAAATTTTAAAGTGATTGCCCAGTAATACTTTCGTATTGTTTATTTGTTTTCTTTTTTGTTGTTGTTTGGTAACAAACATGAATGCTATGGCCATTACACAATCATCGATAACCGCAAATCCCTCATTAACCCCAAAACAAACACACTTATGCGAACGTGGATGGACGCTTGTAGGCGAAGACCTTCTTGCCGGACTGGGGAGGAACACGGTGGGGAAGAGGGAAGCTCAAGCCCTTGGTGAGGAGCTGCTTGATGTAAGGGCGGCGGATGCTCTCGGCGTCCTGGATCTCGACGACACGGAGAATCTGCTTCCAATTAGTGTCTCATACAGGTGGACGTGAGCGGGAAAAAGAAAAGAAAAGAAAAGAAAAAAGAGCATACGTGAATAGAGCCAAATCGGGCACGGTGGCGGGCAGCCATGTCCTGGTAGAGGGACTCAACGGCATCAGTTCGGCTGAGCTCGCGGAACTCCTTGTACATGTTGTGGGTGCCAGAGCGAGAGTCGTAACGCAACCAGATACCGAAGTTCTTGACCTTGGTGGGGCGCTTCTCGTTGATCTTCACGAAAACCCAATTAGTTCGTTTCGCCCTGTCATGAGACATGTGTGTGTGTACATACCACGTTGAGGCTGACGATTTCACCGTTGGCCTTCTTGACCTTCTTCAACTTGGTGAGGAAGTACCAGAAGCGCGACTTGGCAACCACTGTGTTAGGAGCGAAGATGCGCATGCGGTACAGCTTGGGCGTCGGGTTCGCCTCGGTGGGCAAGTGGCGCCCGATAACCTGGTACTCGTTGAGACGGCCTAGCAAAATCATGTTAGCGGTTTGCTCGATTGGACATGAAAAAAATCCAGCTCGGTTCTCGCTTGTCAAGTCCTCGTCATTGTCGTCGTCGTCGTCGTCACAGTTTCATGGATTATGCTGTTTGAGTCGATGCGTTGGTTTCTTGTTCGTTTTTCTTGTACTTGTTGAAATTTTTTTCATGTCGCTAATTTATGAGATCATAATTTCTGTAGGATTCGACATGGTCCATCTCGAATTTTCGCATTTTGTAATATGCGCACCCACGATGAAATCAATTGGATTTTGGTGTAAACAGTCCTGCTTTATTGTAGGTGATCGAGTGTGTTCCATTCGTTTTTCGTTGAATGACAGAGCGAGAACCGTGCTGAGCATTTGGGCAATGGACCGTAGGAGAATTGGTGAATAAAACGTACCCATCTGTCAAGTCGCAGTTAGTACAATGAAACGGGATCAGAAAATGATAGCAGTAGCACTTACTTTGTGTTGTTGTCGTGTCGAGTCTCCGAGAGAGAGAATATGCCGCTGTCTTGTCGAGCCCGGAAATGGAGGATTGTGAAGTTCTTGGGTGCTAGGGCTGTGGCCCTCCGCTTAAGCGAACCTGCGGCTGAGACGTGCACTAGCCCCCTTTGGCGGTCACCAGCCACAGTTGCGGGATGGAGACAAACCCACCAATCACGGCGTGTGGCCCGCCCATCTTTAAACATCGAATAACATCAAGTGGCCGCCTCAGTTTCATTCAACAGCTCCGTCGCTAGTCATGGCGCCTTCGTATCCGTTCGCTGATTTCAAGGCAGCTTTTGCTCTGCAGTCGGGTCCACTGCTGGCTGCTGTTTTCACTCCAGAGTCTCCGCCCGAGGATCCCTATCGCCTCGAGGACTTCCGCAACTTCTCAAACCCTGTCAATGCCGAGGGCGATATCCGTCGCTATCTCCTCCAAGACAAGCATACTGGAGTCAAACTGAATAAGCCACAGGGCCACGCCTGGGTCAATGTCGTCAATGCCTACTGGGCTGCGATCGGCGAACTCAACAAAGCCTATGTATATGGCACGTGGTTGAAAGCCCTGGAGGCGTGGAAGGAATTTGTCAACCACGTAATTAGAGGCTACTCGAACAATCACTTTCCGGCGTGGACAATTCCGTTACTATACGTTGCTGGGAAGTATCTCCGCGCTTTCGCTATGAAAGCCGATGCCTCGGTTGCATCTCAGAATGATGGTGGCTTCGGCAACGGCTTCCAGGAGGATGTGGTTTCTAATAACGATAAAAACGCTAATCTTGAGGATGCTGCGAGGATAATCAATCGGATGTTTACTCTCTGTTTGGGAGACCGGTACGTGGTTTTTCTACTCTGAATCAGCTAGACAAGTGGACTCACTCTTTTCCGCAGTGCGCCTATAGAAGAATCACGTAAATGGGGTATATATGAGACGACAAACCTGTTGTTTAAAACATACTTCAAGGTACGCTTCTTCGTTATGTCGCTTGCTTTTATTGATTCAGCGTCCCAAAACTGATAATATATCTAGTTGAACCAAGTTGGACTGTCGAAGAGCGTCCTTCGTGCTTTAGATGCCTCCTCAGCAGACATTCCTGGTCCTGAACAATTTCCCAAATCTCACATTGTTACTTTTAATTATTATGTCGGAGTTATCAACTTTCTGGAGGAGAATTACAAAGAGGTATGTCACGACACTGAGCATGAATCCGAACCCGACTAATACGATTCGTCTAGGCCGAAGAAAGTCTTACGCAAGCCTGGCTCATGTGTAAAAGAGACGCCTGGAAGAATAGAGAGTAAGCTTTGTTACAACCTGTTATGTCTCTGTTATATACTTACATGAATCAAGGTTGATCCTCACTTACCTGATCCCCTGCCATCTCGTCACCACGCATCGACTACCAAGCAAAAACCTCCTAGGCCCATTCCCTCGCCTAAACCAACTGCTTCGACCTTTATGCGATTGTATCAGACAAGGCAATCTCGTCGGTTTCGATGCAGCCATGTCAGCCGGGGCAGACGAGTTTGTCAAACGCCGCATATATCTGCCACTTGAGAGAGGTCGCGATCTGGCTCTTCGCAATTTGTTCCGCAAGGTCTTTATTGCTGGTGGATTCGAGCCTGCAAAGGATGGACAGCCGCCAATCCGACGGACACGTGTGCCTTTGACGGAGTTTGCGGCTGCGCTACGCATCGGTACCAAGGCCGATGAGAAGGTCCGTGTCGATATGGATGAGGTTGAGTGCTTGTTGGCCAATATGATATACAAGGTATGTCTGCTTTTTTCCTTCTCAACATCAAGCTATAAGATGGAATTTAGAGAACTGATGAATCCAGAATATGATGAAAGGGTACATCTCGAGAGAACGTGCCACAGTCGTGTTAAGCAAATCCGGCGCATTCCCGGGAACGGGTGTTTGAAATTATTTGCTTGAAGGGTTATTTATTATCCTCAAATCATTGACACAGCGAAATTGCTATCAGGGACTCCACTGCTGGTGCTTCTAGCTACATGTGGGTTTATGTCTGAAAGCCGCACCCGGCACGACAGTATCCTGATAATGAAGAATATCAGTATTTACTTCCGACTACATGATCTATGAACAGTCCATGGAACTGATGAACTCGCCATTCGACACGCCTGATTTCCCTCTTACATACACCATCATGGAAGGCATGGCGAGCTGTTCGGCAGACGCGCAGACTTGACAATCGGATAGACAGCAAGCCACGCTTTGTGCTATACATATCAAAATGGTTGTGTAGCCTTTTTAACTCTCTGCATCCCACATGACAAGCGAATGTGCGTTTTCTTATTAAAGCAAGCCAAACATTCATGTCCGTACCAATTCGTTCATAGTCATTCACAGCCTCCACTATGTATAATAATTACATGAAAATAACCCATAACTACTAGACAATACTCTGAGAATCGAGTGTCAAACAGCATTGACGAGTCGTGGTCTACTCATCCGAAAAGCTTGATATGTCTCTCCATGGTACATCTTTCTGACAAACATCGTTTCAAACCTGACAAGCTACAGCGGTACCCAGTTAGTCAGATATACCATAGCTAGTTAGCTAAGCCCAGCAGACAGCCTGGTCATTTACAGCTCAGTGCCAAACGCGTCTCCGCTCCCCTCATCGCCAAAGTTGCGCGAAGTCACGTGGTTCATATGGTGGATTAGCATGACTGGCCAATTTATATCCAATAAGTAATAATGTGAAGATTTAGGGGATGTTGGATGTGTTGACAAAGATACTTTGCAGTGTAGCAGGTATCGTTGTTGAAATAGGAGGAGGCTTCTGGACTTGCTCACTGCCTACTTGTTCTAGGTTAGTTTGCATGTTGCACAAAATGAACTACACGAATGTATATTGATTATACCTAGATATGCACTTGGTAGTGAGTCAGAAGGTTGAATGGGTCTTGATTTAATGTTACGCCATCTTTTGACGAATTCGCTTAAGAACGCAGCACTCTCTAGGCAGCCTGTTCATATGTATGTCTGCATGAGTAGAAGAGAAAAGGATTCACTATAATCACAATTTGAAGGAGGACACGAAGCAAAAAGAAAGAAGTTAATAAAAAAAAAAAAAAAAAAGAGATAAACGCCAGATATTCCTTGTTCTTCCTATTCCTCATAACTCGTAATTGGTTACCCAAACACACTCCGGCCCCTTACGCCATTAAGTCAATTAAAGATCTTTCGTAGCAAGAAAAGAAAAAGAAATGTACTAGAATATAACTTTCCGCGCATTCTTGGGGTGACTCTCGCTCGGACAGTAGGGGCACTTGAATTTGTTCCCCTTGCTGATTCGTTGAAGCGACTCCTGGGCAATGACATGGCCGCATGGCATCATCATTGGAGGATTTTGGTCTGTAGTCTGCTCCTTGGAGACGGGACACACGAATATGGAATGGAAGAGATATGATCGAGGTAGGGGTATTTCGACCTGGTCACATTTGCCCTTGAGTTAGAAACGGCGACATGGCCTAATGTAACAGAAAGTAAATACATACCGGAAGCTCATCCTGTGTTGTCCATTCCGTCCTCTTTGCCTTCATGATGGTTTGCAGTTTCTGTAGAGTTGGGAGAGCGATGGCACCGGCCGTCGCGGCTATATACAGAGGCGAATCTGCCGACAGCCCTAGCAAGGAGCAGAACTCTCGTGTGAAAGATTGAGCGACTTCCGACCAGGCAGTCGGGTTATTGAATATATGTCGATATGGAGATTGATCGAGATTTGGCCAGAAAGCCATAGCCCCTATAAGTTGCTGAATCTCCTTCAAGTACCGTGGCGTGAAGCTCGAGAACTCCATCCTCGCATATTCCAAGGCAGCTTGTCGACCGACGGAGTTCGAAGAGTGAGGATCCATTCCACCGTGAAATAGCCAGAGAAACTGAAGGCGACAGAGTTCAAACTCGAGATTGCTTCCACGTGCCTCTAGTAGTGTTCGATGTTCTCTCGCCCATTCAATTGCCGGCAAAAGATTGGCTCGCTCCCGAAGCTCATACAGAATATGATACATGGTGGTGAATTCTTCCCGGATTCTACCGGATTGTATCTGGTCTAGGAGCAGGTGTGAGTTATCGTCGTTGCTCGTTGAAGCGCCTGCTCCGTCGTATTCGGGCTGGGCGGGAGCCTTCGCCTGATTGACTTCGTCTAGAAACGTGCTTGCTACTGAAAACTGGCCTTCCCGCAACAGATGCATCGCTATCGCTCGGTTGACAAGACTCGGGGAAGATGAGAGGGCGTCATATTCGGTACTAGGGAGGGGACGATCTTTGAACAGCTACACCAACAGCCCTGTCAGCCACTTGGTACTCGCGCGCATGCTATTATTCACTCCAGTTCACCTTGTCTAGTGCCTTTGTATATTTGTTAAGACCGCTATGGGTCTCTTTGAGACTGTCGTTGGCCGCATCAAATGATGCTTTAACTGGGTTCTGTAGTTTTGCAAGGGTAATCGAAGCCTTGGTCGGGTCTATGAAGGAGCGCCGCAGTGTTAGTACAGAGCAACGACACAGTCACAATCACCTCCATGAATAGCAGGCAGTCTCTTACCAGCAGCGATGGCACCCCGGGCTTCCTGTAGCAAGTCGATTGTAGCTTGGACGTCGTTGATGCTCTTGGCAGCTTTCATGCGCTTCCAGACCCGCTCGTGCTCCTTCTGTAGTAAATCCATGGCTCTTCCACGCTCCGCAGCAGCTGGCTCCTTCTTTCCATGAAGAGTGGCAGCCGCAGAGAGTGTGATTGTTCGATGTAATGTCGAGTGAGTTGTCTTGCTGCAGCAATTGCTGGTGGCGGTCACGAGGTCTGGGCTTCTGCCGGCAAATCAGGACGCTTGGCCGCTCTGAGTGACGTCGTCGTCCCCTCGATGTTACAATACACCGCTGCCTGCATACAACAACAACTACTACTACTATTTGACACAGAGCAGACCGCCGCTCCGCTATGGTCTAGGATCAGCAGCAGAACCCTTTCTACCAGGCCTATGCTAAGGGCAGACACCTCCGCCTCTTTCTCCAGACATGCCCCGTTCTTGCGTCCATTCGGCATTTGTCCAGGGACGCTTCCCCTTGAGGGCCAGTCTCTTCGCCGCGTCTAGGTGATAGTTGATTTTTGACTGCGCAGCTCTGTAATATAACGACATTATTGTCGCGAAGAAATGTCGCCGGTTTCTGTCGACTCCCCAAGCACGGCCATCGGAGCGTCAACTCCAGGGCCGAGCCAAACCACCCATGCTCGTTCTTCTCCAGTCACGGATATCAGGCCCTCTTCGGCAATCAACAGACAGACAACTACTGAACAGTCACTTCAAAAGAGACATCAGAAGATCGTTTTGCCGGATCCGGTTGCCCTGATATACCTGGAAGAGGATCCGTCAACGACCCTCTTCCACCGCCGCGAAATCCTGCAAGGATACGAGATCTATATCGTTGAGCAGTGGGCCTGTTCTCGAGTCCACCCGACCTTTATAATTGCTACATACACGGGCGATCCTGCGCATCATATTAGAGTCGGGGTACTCGGCGTCCCTACGGATAGAGACAGCTGGTCGCCACGTTTAAAACTATACTTTGATGCTGTGCAACAGTACCATGCGGTGGCGAAGGACACCCCTTTGGGGGCATTGATGGTTACAAACCTAAGCGCCTTCCCTTCCGCACTCACTGTTATTGCCATACCAGACGGCGATATAACAAAAAACCGGGAGCACTTCATCGTAAATGAAGATCTGAAGCGTCTGGGATGCGCAGGCCGTGCAGGCTTGAAGCTTCAACCTCCGTCCCCGGTGGTCCAAGCCAAATTTTATCAACTGTACAAAACAAGTGATCGTGTGCCCCTGTATACAGCGGTCGTGGAAGTTGTCAAACACTGTCAGCTTGCGCTCGTCATTTTCGACAAACTAAGACCAGAGTATGCTGACGGTCTGTTATGTGATGTCACCGAGAAGGCGATAGGCGATTGGTGGGCAGATATTGGCACGGATCTCTACAATATTGAGCCGAGTGACGGCATATTAGGTGCTACCACCGTTGCGGCACTTCTGGGTGCTTTGCTGGGTGCACGCCATAGGTTACACGCCGCGGGGGCGCCAGTCCCCAAAGATGCCTTTGATCTGTCGAGTTTGAAACGTGGCATCAGCAGTTTTCAGAAGTCACAGAAGCTGGAGCGGACGCGTCGATTAGATCGCGACACGTTAGACAGATTGCATCGAGTGAGTCAGAAGGCCACAAATTCGGAACGTTGGACCGGTGCCGTCAAGTCCACCGTCGCTGAGCTCAGTGGAAAGGGCGGCGAGATGGTTATGGGCATGGTTGGTCGCGAAAAAGGCTCGATATCTGATATTGAAACCCTGGATCTGGAACAATTCGCGCAACTAGCCAATGGTGAAAGAGCTCGATGGCTTTGGCAGGGCAAGCCTCGCAAAACTGCCTTTAACTACGGGCTTGAAAACGCTCCACGCGCAGATGATCTTATTTTTACGACGGATGACCAGGGTAGCTATGTTTGGGCTGGTCGTAAACGGAACAACGGGTCAGACTCGGGAGCCGACCGAGCAGCGCAAGACAGTGACAGTGCAAAACGCTCCCAGGATTATTTGACAGGAGTGGAAGACAAGGATTCGAATCTATCACGCTTGGTTTCGCGAAGTCTTACTGGGAAAGTGTCCGATGCGCGTGCTGGCTTTGGCAGGTTCAAGGATGCTGTTGGCCTCCCTAGTCGGCGATCCCATCAATCACAGTATTTAGGTCAACAACAACAACATCACCACCTTCACCGCCACAGGCATAATAAAGAGTCTGTCAACCTTGATAGCAACGACATCTACAACATTGGCGGCGACAGCGAAGTTGATCAAAAAGAGCCCCGGGCAACAACCTTGGAGAGGGTGAATACTCTACACACGGAAAATGCCAACGAATCTATCGAAGAAGATGATAAACAAACACCAACTTCTAGATTAGTACCACCGGAAATTCACATTGAACCCGAGTCTCCTCCCCTCGAGGAAGAAAATGGCGAAAATTTAGCACAACCCAAGGAAGCTACCGCACTAGAAGAGGAAGAGGAAGAGGAAGGGCAAGAAGATGACTATAAGGACTTGGAACTATCCAAGACCAGGTCGACAGAAGCCATGAGTGAATACGACGCTTCGGGAGGGACAGCTTTCAGGTGCCTTCGCCGGTCACAGAGCTTCTCCGAAGAAGGCCACGGCAACCGGTTTTCTTTAAACAATGGCGGATGCACTCGTCATTTGTCCTTTAGCACAGTTGAGGAAGTTGTCCTTGTCTGGGAAGGCTTCAAGACCGACTCTGACAAGGAACCCAACGGAAACCTCGACGATGCCATTCTTCATGAAAACATTCTTCTATCGGATGCGCAAATATTCCGCTCTAGAGTGTTGGGGTTAACTCAACAGACAGTGCCTTGGGTTGAGGGACAGGTCGCTTCAGTGGATATCCTGTACCAGAAGGCTAGTGCTCTGCAAGAAGAGTTAGAGTACATCTATCCCGAGCACGTCGAAGCAATCCAGGACTTCCGCGACCGCATAAACCAGTTATTTGGCGACGAGGGCTCTCGCGTGACCGAGGAAATGAAGAAAGTCGAGCTGTTGGGGGCCAAGCTGGATTATGAATTAAACGTGCTGGAATCCAAGATCGAAGATGTCGAGGCCGGATTACAGGATTTTCAGCGAAACGTCGATGTTGTTGAGAATCGAATACACAGACTCGTCCAGGGAGAACAGCGGAATGATACCTCTTGGTTCTCCTGGGCTGGCAGGAAATTTTGGCGCTTTTAGCGTATGTTATCTGCATTTTTTTGGCGTTTTATATTTCTTTGTAGAATATTCAAACAACGGGGTTTTCACTTCTATGATTGCTTTTTTTTTTTTTCCCATTCAGTTCATTCAGGATACCTAGGTATGAACACACGCAAAAGATCAGAATCTGCTAATTCATATACCACAATCATTAAACCACATCAATATAAGGCATGCTCAGCATGTCAACTGTATTGTACACTACCTATATCTAGGTATATATTCGACATTTTGAAACCGGCAGACAAGGGAATCCCTTACAGTCCCTCCGTTCTGGAAAACATTGCAATATAAAAAGTAACGGCAGAGTAGAGAATCCAATAACCATGTCCCCGGACTTTCCTTCTTTCCCTTATCGATTGAAATAGAAGAATTCCCAAACCCAAAACCCATAGACATGCAGTAAAATCAATCGATTTACATGCCGAAACCAGGCACGCCACCACCTTGCCTATTAGCAGCCTCTCCCTGCATCTTCTCGCTGACCTTGATATTGACGTCGAAGAACTTGGAGACGCAGCGGTCTAGGCAGACGGACTCGCCCTTGTTCAAATCGGATTCTCTATAGTCTGCGGGGATGCATTTGGCGGTGCAAGATTGTGTAAGGCTACAGAAAAGTTTTTTGACATGTTAGCTCCCTTTGTCCTTTGCTGTTGCAGTTGCTTGGGCCAGGATCGCAGCACGCACCGATTGAACATGTCAGAGACCATCTCTACCTCTGTCTCAGCAGCAGCAATCTTCTGCTCTGAGGACAGCTGGGGGCGACCGCCGAATAGGAAAGACATGTTGTGATGTGGGTGATGTCTGTGACAAGATTCTGCGAGGGAATACCGTCAGCGACTCGATGTCATGAACATACGGGTTCGTAGATAAAGACCTTCTTATAGACGCAGAAGCTCAGGTGGAGGAGTGATAGAAGAGAACTCTGGCGGGTGTCTGGAGAAAAGACGTAACAAAGTCGACTTGATTGACCGCGGAAGCTTGGACCACCTTCCCTTCCGCAGGTAAAAATTCGGAGACTCTCATCTTCCTTCCTTCCCTCCTCCTCCTTCTTCCTCGTCCACTCTGAATAGCAGAAGCCAGCTACACGCAGCCCAATGCAATCCATTGGCCCCAGGAGGGCCTCCCAGAGCCTTCTGGGTAAGTTGTCTCAATGGTAAGCTCCAGCTTGTTTTATTTTTCCTTTCCCTTGTCCAGGACCTAGTCAACTCGAAGAGGATGAAACATGCCCTTTTTCAGAACCGCTGCGAATGAGTCTTGCGCTTTTGTGCAAGTGATGATCATAACAGGTTACACTTTTTTCTGATTCGATGTTATTTATATCTGCTGATATCAAATGAAACACCGAGCTGAGTATTGTGGATTGTTTGTTCCGTGCTAACTGTGTGTAATAAAGTTGTCGGGCTTCCTCTGTATCATCGTCACATTCAAAACTCGCTCGCCCTCTCCCCCTGGAAACGCCCATTCGGTGTAATAGTACACAGTCTACCGCTCAGCAGCCTGGTTTCGCAGACCGCGTGCAAGAAGTCCAGGCCGCTGTACAAAACGCGTATCCGCGGTTAGAGAATAGTCCCAACAGGCTCGGCGTGGAGGAATTTCGCCGGCGATACGACTATCTTGAGCCCAATCAGGTAGTAGAGGAGGACAAAGTTGTGGTCCAGGGTAGGTTGCGGCCTTTTAAAAAACCGGGCTTCCTGCTAGCTTTAAAATCTTCCATGTACTTAGTGTATCTTGTAGGCAGAATACGAACATACAGGCTGGCTGGCAGCAAATTGATATTCTTTGATATCGTCCAAAATGATCACAAACTACAGGCCATGTGCAACATGCGTTTGTTGGCCGATGTAACACCTCAGAAATTTAAGCAACTATATCGTCTACTGCGTCGCGGAGATGCCTTCTGTACGTTTTGTTTCTATAACTTCTTTCGCTTTTTTTTTTTCGACAGTAACTGACTTTTTGGTTTCTCTTCAAAGCTATCACAGGAAAACCGCATCGAACCGGACGAGGCGAGCTCACAGTGCAAGTCACTGAGCTCCCAACCCTTTTATCCCCTTCTTTACACGATATCCCCGTGGACACCAAAGAGCATGGCACCGATGCATACCCTCGCCATGTCCAGTTTCTCGCCGACAAGCCAACGTCGGACACCTTGCGAATCCGGTCAGCAATTGTCCAATACATCCGCCAGTTTTTTGTTGGGCGTGATTTTATGGAGGTCAACACTCCTATCATGGCAGGCGAAGCAGGAGGCGCAACTGCCCGGCCCTTTGTTACTGCTGCAAACGAGTTCCCAGATAAGCCACTTTACCTGAGGATAGCCCCCGAGCTATGGTTGAAGAGGTTGGTTATAGGTGGATTCGATCGAGTTTTTGAGATTGGGCCATCCTTTCGGAATGAAGGTGCGTGTATAATCTGTCATGGGCCATTGCCATTCACCAGCTTACAGACATATGCTGCTGTTAAGGTATTGACAAAACTCACAACCCCGAATTCACGACCTGCGAATTCTACATGGCCTACGCAAACCTGGAGGATGTCATCTCCATGACTGAGAGACTATTCTCAGGCCTCGCCGCGCATGTGTCGCAATGCAAAGAGCGCATAGAATCAAATATACCAGACCCAAGCCTCAAATTCACCACCCCTTTTCGCCGCATAGATTTTATTCCGGATCTGGAAGCTGCCATGAATCGGACACTACCAGACTTGTCCACGGCCACTGCAGAGGAAGACGTGAAGAAGCTTTTCGAGGAGCTCTCCATCCCTCTACCGGAGCTTCCTACCTTGCCTCGCTTGATGGACAAGCTCTGCTCAACCTATCTCGAGCCGCAATGTCACGAGCCTACATTCATAATGCACCCCCCCGAATGCCTTTCGCCGCTCTCAAAATCCTTTATACACCCAGCCACGCAGAATAGGCAGCGCGTTGCTGCTCGATGCGAGCTCTTCATTCAAGGCAGTGAGTATGTGAATGCGTACGAGGAGGAGAACTCCCCGTGGGAGCAGCGGCGGAAGTTTGAGCAGCAGGCAGTCTTCAACCAGCAGACAAAAGAGTCCGGGGGCGTCGACGAAAGCTATCTGCAGGCCATGGAATGGGGTCTGCCGCCTACTGGAGGATGGGGGTGTGGTATTGACAGGCTTGCGATGCTCTTTACGGACTCGAGACGGATTGGTGATGTTTTGCCTTTTAGGAGCTTGAGGGCTGTTTCGAGTTGATGTGCTGGCTGATGATAATTGGATCCTTATGAATGTGTATTATACGTGTATTATATATTATATATTATAGTGTTAATGGTCTGGAGATTCAATAATGACATGTTTCTGTCGGTGAACAAGATTTCCTATCGACTGATGGATTATCAGGTTGATTACATATAGTGCGGGGGGGTTTTACTTAGGCTTCGGAGCTTGCCGACTGTTGATATCTTTGCAGTCTCTCCAACCTTGGAATGTGACTCTTTTCTCCTCTCTTAGCTATATACCCTGCAGTGTACAGAGATCCCTGGGGAAGAGAAACCATGTCGCAGTCCATCCCGCAGGCACAGCCTGTCACAGTAAGCCTTCAGGATCTTTTCGCAGGTGAGGGGCATAGCAGAACCCGGGGCAAACCAACATAGTCATGATACAGAGATCAGAAAATCTGACGGTCAAAATCCAATGAGTAGGATCTGTCCCCTTCGAGGCATTGACAGAGGCATTTGGGCCTTCTTCCCTGGGCATCATCGTGGTCAAGGATTTGCCGCCTCGCTTCAAGGACTTGCGAGCTCAGGTTCTCTCCAACTCGTCTTACCTGGCGTCTCTGCCGAAGGATGAATTAGGTATGTCTCTCTTGCTCCAATGTTCTCGGACACACACTGACTATGTGGTCTGATAAAAAAAAATAAATAAATAAAGAAAAACTAGAAAGCCCCCAATCCAAATATCTCGTGGGCTGGTCCTGCGGCAAAGAAACCTTGCGATCCGGCCACTTCGACACCCTCAAGGGCTCGTACTACATCAATTGCGCATTTTATCAAAACCCAGTGTTACAGAATGCCCCCGCAGACGACTTTCCGGACTTCCCTCAATACACAGCGCCCAACATATGGCCGTCGGAGGCAAAATTGCCTACATTCCGGCCCAGCGTGGAGGAGCTTTGTACGCTGATCATTGACACGGCGGCACTGGTAGCTAGGGCTTGTGATCGGTATGCATTGGCTAATGTTGAGGGGTATAAAGAAGGGTATTTAGAGCATGTGGTGAAGACGAGTCTGACGACCAAGGCTCGTTTGTTGCACTACTTCCCGACAGAGGCTGGCTCGTCATCGACAGAAGAGAAGAAGAAGAAGAAGAAGGGAGATAATGATAATGCAGGTGATGATGACGACGACGACGATTGGTGCGCAACTCATGTAGACCATGGCTGTCTCACAGGTCTTACATCAGCCATGTTCATTGATGAAGCTCTACATTCGCCCACATCATCGCCATCAACAACGCCTCTCGCAGAGCTCACCGCCTCGCCAGACCCCAAAGCAGGCCTCTACATCCGATCGCGAACAGGCCACATCGTAAAAGTGAATATCCCAAAGGACTGTCTCGCATTCCAAACGGGGGAGGCGCTCGAATTGATAACACACGGAAAATTCCGTGCTGTGCCACATTTTGTCAAGGGAGTTTCAGTTTCGCCCTCTGCGTCAGCTTCGACTACAGCAAGGATTGCACGGAATACGTTGGCGGTCTTTACGCAGCCGAATCTGGGCGAGGAGGTGCAGAGGGGAAAGACCTTTGCGGATTTTGCGAGGGAGGTTGTTGAAAGGACGTATTGACATAACTAAACATTGACGTTTACTAAGGTGTGCGGTAAGGTAGTTAGGTACAGTTGGGAATGCTTCTCCTTCTTAATTTCTAAAACATATTTATTTGTATTACTATTCATATTGTCAGATAGGTTAGGTATATGACCTCAATATTTATAACCCAAATCTCGGCCGTTTAGCCTGTTGATCATTTGTGGGCGACGCGTCGTTGCCCCTGATGGGAATAGGAAGAGGCTTGTGTGGGTTCACCACTACAGCTGCGACATCCTTCACTTCTTCTTCTTCTTCTTATTTTTCTTCGCCGCCGCCGTCATTATCATCGCGGTCCCGAACAGGTCCAGCGATGCTAAACGGAGAATTCGAAGTGGTCCTCTTGATGCTCTCTTCCTCATCCTCATCCTGCTCCTCCTCCTCCTCCTCCTCCTCAGACGTATTAACCGTCTCATCGCTCGAGCTGACATTAGCACTAATATCCATATTCAATCCGCTACTAACCAGCGAACTCATCTTCTGGATCTCCGCAAACCTCGACTTCGGTCTACCGGGTTGTCTGCCAGCGCTTCGAGGCAATTTTGCCGCATTCCAGTCCGCCTGCGAAGCCTTGCCGTCAAGAATATTAAGCACGCCCTTCCACATCCGCGGATCGCGTGCCTCGGAGTACCGACCGACTTCCTCCCCATTCAGAGTGTCGATGCCGAGTGCCTGAACGCGGTGGTCGGCCCAGAACCAGTGCTGACCTTCTGCCATGCGGTTATCAGTCTGGCGAGAATAGTCGCGGCTGGCGAGCATGCCGAAAAGATCAAAGTCGAGGCACGGGGAAGAAGAAAAAGACGAAGAGGAGCGCCCAAAAAGTACCTGCATGGCCGGCGGCTCAAAGCACCGTCCGATAATCATGTCTTGCGATATCTCGACGGTTGTGCCGGGCCGGTGCGTGCGATACCAGAGTCCATACTCGCTCATGCCGACTTGTTGAAAGGCTTCGATTACTTCTTGGCGGTTGAGGGGTAGGCTGCTGTATTCGCCTTCCTTGCGATAGGCTTTGTGCGGAGCTAGTGTATAGACGTTGCCCCGTACGCGCACAGAATAGGATTTGGCGAGATGCGGAGATTGTGCGTCGTCGATGCATGAATTCAGTCTGAATTCTATGCGCTTGATGACCATTATATCTGTCACGCTGGGCAATGCATCGCCAGCACTACCGGCTTTGGCTCCTTTCGGTTTCAGTCGCACCGCGTCACCAACAAGAATCATCTCTGGCCCAAGAAACATCCCTCGACAATAGATCGATGCATTGGGCCATACCCCCTTGAAACGGTACTTGTTTACCATAGAAATCGAAGACATGACCGTCATCGCATGTGTGATTGAAGGATGCCACTCCTTCTGCGGCACATGTTCGAGCCAGATGGGCCACGAATTGAACGGACGCAGGACATAGATATGCACATATTGATATTGAAGTGAAGCGCTCTTGTCGTCGCTGTTTGGGTCTGGAAATGTCTCGACCCGGAAACCCGAGTAATTGACCTCCCATTTCTTCTGCGTCGGTTCAATGAGATCATCCAAGACCACGGGGTCCTTATCGGGAGTCTCGCTGATGGTCCCCGCTCTCCACTCGGGGATTCCCTTGAACCGCGCCTTTTCATGGGAGAAGATCTGATACGAACCGGCTTGTTCGTTATATCTAAGCTCGTCATGGCGGCTGAGATGCGGTATCCAGAGAACAACCTCCCCGACTCGGGGAATGTATGAGCCTTGCATGTTGATTCGAACAAGCTGTTCGCGTAGCAGCTTATTCTCTGCCCTCCAGTCCATGCTTTGCGGTTCAGAGATCGGTTCATCTATTTCGCCTTCCTTGCTGAGTCTGGTCACTGTTTCCCGGAAAATGTCCGGAACTCCTTCAGAGTCCGTGAACTGTCTTGGTGCGACATCGGGTCTGAAACCTCCTCTGGACGGTCTTCCTCTGGACGGACGACCTGGGCCGCGATGATGTGCAGTAGGAGTAATAAAATCTTGGTTTTTTGTTAATATTCTTCCTCGTCTCTCTCAATGATATGGTGTGAGAAAAACTTACCTGGTGTACCTCCCTGTGCAGCTCTAGCCTGGAATTTCTTCTTCCTGCAAGGTTCACAGGCACACAAGCCCGACCTACCGCTCATCAACCAATAGAAGTGAGGGAAGAAATTATTTGGGGAGTTGAAAGGGGCCCCTGAGGGGTGACCATAAAGAAACTTGTCTCGCTATTTCCCAGTCAGTATTTATTTATATACATACAGAAACAGGTAAGATTCCACACTCACAATAGTGGGAGCACTAAACCGAGGCCGATCCAAAAGGGCAAATTGGTCAGGCAGTTTGTCCAGGATGTACTGTTGTCCTGTAAATCGGTCAATATCAACTCAACATAATCCTCATTTAACCCTAGGTAGGCGTACATACCTTTCACCAGCTTATTAGTCTTCTGCATCCACATCATCGCCAGCTTGTGACGATAAAGCCAGTCATCAGTCTTCCTCCAGTAAGCCTCCTTTGGCCAGGCATCCTGATTGCCGTCACTGAAACCTGGCGTTGAAGGCAGGGGTATGATTTGGAGGTTATCTGAGGATGTCTGATGTGACATTTCCCTTTCTCTCTCTCTCTCTCTTTTTTTTCCCTTTGAACAAATAGAAATCCTGAAAGAAGGGATATATTTTATGAAATATCTCTAATTCTCCTTTTCATGCCTTATTGAATCTGTTAAGTGATGACTGATTGGCAGAAAAGTGGCATTCATTCATTGTGGAACCGTGGCGGTGGCAGCATCTCTATAATCAAGCCTTGAATATATAAGTGACTGGATTATGAAAGAGGCTTGGATACATCTGAATTCATAAGTGGTTGAAATAGTCAAATAGTAGAGTTAATAAAGAATAAAAGAACCAAGGTGAGCTTGGATTGCAACTGGCTCAGCCGTGTTCACCGCCTTGCAATTGCCCAAGTGGGAAGGCCATTGTCGACAGCAATCTATAGATTTGGGTATTTATTGATGGATATGAAAGATTAAAATATTTTGGATTTAATGAAAACTGGATTCAAGCTCATGGATATTGAACGAAATAGCTCTGCAATCAAAAAGTACAGCACAGACCAGTCATCATGTCGCCTTGTATATAGTTAGCTACATAGATGAGATGTTAAATCTCACGTCTGCTCATCCGAAGCCTTATGTGGAGGTGGTGCAAGTTCGCCCTCAGACACCCACACCTTCTGCAGCTCGCTCTCAATCTCTTCTCGACGCTTGTTCCAGGTCTCAACGTTGTCGAGCCGTTTGCGCAACTCCTGCAGTTCCTTTTCCACGCCCATCTTCTCCTTCTCCGTGCCAATCTTGTCGAATTCCCACTCATCCCCGCTCAGTCCAAGCCCGAGCGTAAGCTGGAAGGTGTGGTATTTCTTAAGCGAGGCTCGCGTCGAAATCGTGATGAGCGTGATGCCTTTCTCCTTTGCTCGTTCGTACAGTAAACCTTCAACATCGGACGAGACGGCAGAGGTGCCTTCGTCGATGAAAGCATAGCGCGGTTCATGATATAAAAGTCGTGCAAATGCCATTCGTTGCTTCTCGCCGCCGCTCAGGACATCCTTCCACTCCTTGCGGCAATCCCAACCGCCTTCGCGCGCCGGCAGATAGCCCAAGTGCACTTCTTCAAGGATTTTAGCAAGCTCGATATCTGTCCGACTATATTCACGCATGTCCATCTCACTATGAGGGTAGATGACCTGATCGCGCAGAGTCCCAACGCTCAAATAAGGTCGCTGAGGAAGAAACATAATCCCATCCATGCCGAAGTTTCTCGGTCGGCTTACTAGACCCCGATATACTGGCCAGAGCCCGGCCACGATGCGAGAGATGGATGACTTGCCCACTCCGTTAGGCCCACAGACAAGGAGATGCTCGCCAGAATGTACGATGAACGAGAGTGACTCAATAAGGTCATCACCACCTTGTGGATAAAGCGACGGGGCAACGACAGGAACTTGCTCTAAACGAACACCATCATATCCACTATGCACAGTACCCTGGACATCGGAGAGAGAGAACAGCTCCGGGTGAGTCCCGCGAGGTTGGTAGTAGGCATTGGCGTGCACCCGGTGCAACGCTGATATCAACGTGTAGACGCGGGAAGTATACCCGGCTAGTTCCGAGACGTCCTTGATGCTGTACATCATTCGCCCTCCAGCATCGGCCAGAGACAACATTAAGCGTTTGTTGGTGATGAAGTCCTTCATGCGACCACGCTCTCGGCTATCCTCTTCTGCGAAATCAGCCAACTCTTGCCTACCACCCACGCCTCCCCAAGCGGGGAGAAAAATTGGTATCGATGTGAAAAGATATCCGAACGCAGACCATGTGTACTTCAAAATCATATCTTCGAGCATATTGTACCGGATTTTGAGGCTGTAGATACCTTTCATCCACCGCTGGAGATCCTTGAAGCTCTTTGATAGGAAAACCTTTTCAATGTCGGCACCTCCATAGAAGGCTATTTCTTCAGCGTTGGCCAGAAGACGGGAATGTAGACCTCTGAAATCACCCTCGCGTTTGGCTTCAACGGCTTTCAATTTGCCAAATGGTGGGGAAAGCCGACGGAGGACAGTGGCGGTCGTAAAGTAGCCGCTCATAATACCAGTCAGGGCCAGTGGACCTAGACCCCGGTAGAGTTGGTACGTGAAGAATATCAGGTCAACTGTTGGTTTTCCCAGCGAGGATGTCAAGGCAGCAGCAGAGGCGCAGAAAAGAGTCAAGTCCTGGGTGATAAACTGGTCGGCTCCCTGGCCCACGGCGCCGTCTAGGTTTGTTAGTTTATAATAGTTTCTGTTTTCACTCAGATAGAGATCGTGAATATATCTTGTCAGACGTGTTCGAAATGCAATGGATATCTTGGACTGTAGGAACTGAATCATAGCATTCGTATAAGAAGCAAATGTCCCAATGCTACACCATTTGAGCAGCCCCCAAATAAAAGCCCGGCCTCTGCCAGCAACTAGGTCTCGGACAATCTCTCCATCCAACCGTGCGACGATGAGCGAGAGATACGTCCTCAGCAGGAGGAATGCACCATGACTCATCAAAAGACCGGTTTCTTTCGAATGCCACCGCGGATTCATTATGCTCATGAGACTGAGAAACTGGTGCAGAAAGGCCAGGTTTAACCCCGGCTTTGTCGACGGCGGAGGGATTTGGGAGATGGAATCTCCACTCCCAAGACCAGCTGCTCGCGGTGGATTAAGAAACAGTCGTCGGTGGGCGTCAAATGTGGTTGGTTTTGTGGGGTGGATGATGACTTTGGAGGTCAGATTGTCCTTGTAGGGAACATAGATAATTCTTGACCCGTCTTTTCCCCGAATGCCTGAATTCCTCCGCAGCATACGCCTTCCCTGTGCATGCTCCGTGGACCGCTTGCGAAGCCAAGTATAGCCGCCATAGCTCGATCCAAGGATGGCCAACAGTAAAGACAGCGTTGCGATCAGTTTCCTGGTCTTGGACGTTTGTTGCAGGCGAGTGCGAAGTAGCTGGGCGTAGTGCCGATAGAGCGCGACGAGAGGATCGTCTAGGTTCCGAAGGGTTGATTGCACCGCCATGTTGAGGGGTGCTAAATCACGTAACTTGATGCATTGGCAGACGACAAAATGACCGCCGTAGCAGGCCGTTCGGCATGCTTTGCAGATATAAACAAGTGACGACTCGGTCCTCTGTTCGCGGATTACATTCCACGGTCGAGATTGGGGAAGGGAGAGGAGGAGGAGGAGGGCTTTACTCGAGACAGTTTTGTGACGTCGTCGGCGCATGTGAAGATGACCTCGGGCCGCAGCAGAGCACGTGCCTGGCCGTCGTCGCCTCAGGCTCTCATTCTTGAGCTCTTATTTATTCTCGCACTCTCGCACTTTTATTCTTCTTCAATAACTAGTCCTAAGAAATACCCCAGCTGTGACGGATCGAATTGCTACGCCACAGGATATTGAATACTACAATCGAGCAAGTTGGGGGCTATCGGTCTATCATATGCAGGTGCATGTCGCAACAAGAGAGATCATATTAACGAGCGGCAATGATTCGTACTTCTTCTTCCCAAGGTAGCATTCGCGTAGTCCCGGCGCATCGAATCGCCAAACTGGTAAGATATCACCAAGCGGACAGCTCCAGTCCAATCCTTAACCGCCGGGCTCGAGTCCAGGCTCGGCCAGTGACAGATCTGCATTGCGCTCCATCGGACGAGCGCTGGGTTCATTGGGCTGCGGCAGCATAGGACGACAGGGCTTGGAGCGAGTGATTGGGCGGATAACCCCCCGGTACGAGGAGCTTGGGTGGTGTAGGCTTGGACTAGCGTTGCACAACAGGCTGAATTATGGAGGTTGACCCTGGCTCTGCAGCACTGGCCAGCGAGAGGCTGCGGCTACCAGCATGGTAGTCGTCGCTATTCCACGGAGGAGCTGCAGCTAGTCGGTGCATCACGCATAGCCAGGAGTTGTGCTTGCATATAAATAGAACAGGAGAGAAAAAACGCAACAAACGTAGCAGCGTAAAGAGAGGAGGAGGCTACCAGAGAGCTAGCCACCGCTAGTCGTGTATGTATCGTATCGTATAGTATCGTACTGCGTTACAGATACCCACCCAGATTCTCGCAGTCTGGCCCCGCAGCCTAGCGCTCAGCCGGTAATACCAATACCAATACGGCCTGCCCGTCGCCTTAGTCCGCGTTGGGCGATCCCACGTACAGACCGCATCGCCGCCCAGACGCAGAGCAAGCAGACCTCACCACCCTCCTCGCCGACACAAGCAAGCCTCAGAACCCCTCGTTCGTCCTTTTGAGAGTCCTTGAGTCGAGGCGTGGTTGCTGTTGTCTGCTGCGGCTTCCTCTCCAGAGACTCGTTTCTGCCGGTCCCCCCCACAATCAGGAAAAGAGAGAGAGAGAGAGAGAGAGAAGAGACAGACAAAAGAGGGAGAGCCGCTCCTCATCAGCTCAGGAGTTGATCAACGACGCAGGTTCGATGTCGACAACCGCACCACAACACGCCCTCGGTAAGCAAAATCTACTATCGCGTGCGTCCCCTGCTAACAGTCTGCTGTCTTCTAGGCCCAGATCCCGCATTGTCACAGCACTCCGCCGGTGAATTGAACCCAGCGCAACCTCCGCCATCCGACCATGATACGTCGGCCATCGAGCCATCGTCCACCGCGGGCCCTCAGAACAACTTGACGGCCTTCCCTGCACAGCCCAAGAAAAAGCGTTCACTGCTACGTGTGACCTCCCGCTCGTCCTCAAGGGGCAGCAAAAATCAATCTTCGGAAATGACGACCGACACGGTGCAGGATGAGTCGGTGACAATGGCGAATTCGCGCACCAATCTCACCAAGAGGCGAAGGGATCCTAGCGAGTCCAGCAGTCGCCGGTCGCAACGGAACGAGCAAGAGAAGAGCCAGCATGCGAGGAAGGACCAGCCCGAGGAGCCAAGCTACGCCAGGGTTGAACGGAAGCCAAAAGCGCCGTCAAGGTTTTTCGCCATCTTGAACTGCTGCAGCTCTTCTGTGCCAGACAACGAGGAACCCGACCTTCCTGCGAAAAAGGCTGAGCCCAGACAGCCGTCCTCCCTGCGGCAGCCGACCATACCAACTGCAGCAGAACCGACGCCAGCAGAGTCAAAACATGATCACGAAACCCTCGATGAGAAGCCAGAAGACCTCCAAATCGCCCAACCAACAGAGGATGCCATTCCTACTGTACAACCAGTTCCTGTCAAGTCGGATTCGACAGAGGAGATCTCCGCGCCGCGCCGTGAACCATCTTTGCAATTCGCCGCGGTGCCGGATGTGGCACCGTCGTCGGCGGATGACAAGAAAGATGAAAGCGAGGATGCGATCGAAGATGAACCCTTAAATCATGCGACGACGGAAGAGCTGCATGGTAACCATGATGTCCCCATGCCTGATGCACCCGCCGTTGCGGAACCAGAAGAGCAACAGAAGCTAAAAACACCAGAGGTCGTCGTTCCTCCCCAACCACAACCCCCCGAGCTTCCTCTCCCGGGACCACCTCCAACGCCTGCAAAACCGGGCGCGTGGTTACTTCCTCCACCGCTGCCACATTTACGGGGACGAAAATGCCTGGTGCTTGACTTGGACGAGACCCTTGTGCACAGTAGCTTCAAGGTTTGTTGGCTGCTAGCCGTCCTCACTTCTTTTTCCTCTTACAATATTAACTTGCAATAGGTTCTTGAACGAGCGGACTTCACAATTCCAGTAGAAATAGAAGGTCAATGGCACAACATCTACGTGATCAAACGGCCAGGCGTCGACCAATTCATGAAGCGAGTGGGCGAGCTCTACGAGGTTGTTGTGTTTACGGCATCGGTTTCGAAAGTAAGGCCTTGTACTCCGAATGAAGACTTAACCAACAGCTACTAAAGACAAGCCTATTTAGTACGGAGATCCCTTGCTAGATCAATTGGATATTCACAATGTCGTCCATCACCGTCTGTTCAGAGACAGCTGTTACAACCATCAGGGCAATTATGTCAAGGTCAGTACCTAGCTCACGGGACTGGGTTCTTCAGCGGTTTAACATCATATAGGATTTGTCACAAGTTGGACGCGACCTTCGAGAAACGATCATTATTGATAACTCACCTACATCGTATATATTCCACCCTCAACACGCTATACCGATTAGCAGCTGGTTTTCGGATGCACACGACAACGAACTTCTCGATTTGATCCCTGTTCTCGAAGACCTTGCCGGTGCCCAAGTTCAAGATGTGAGCCTGGTGCTTGATATTGCATTATAAACTTCCGTATATGGTTTCGACATCCGTCTCGACCTTGACTCGACCTCGACTTGAGCTTTTGTTTTCCTTTGTTTTTGTCTTTTTTTTTGTGTTCGTCTCTGAATTACACTACACTACACATACTAACCAGGAATTGACATCGTCTTCCTCCTCCCCCGTTCAACCAACCCGCCCTACATTGAGCCCCAGTCTTTCACCCTTCTTCTCTCATCACCTTCTCCGTCATTCTGATCATAGCGACCATTCTAGACCGACAACTGAAGGATTGCACTCATATCAAAACGCAGTTCTACATGTGACACAGCGACAGGAATTCGTTCAAGTTACCATACTACATTCTGCATTGTTGAGCAGCTCTGTTTTATTTATTTGTTTCTGTATTTTCCCACCATCTGTTTCTTTATTGGCACATTTCTGCCCCATTGATTGATCATTGCACCTTGATTTTGACAACGGTTGAGACCGTTTTGCCGCTTTTTTTTCTTTCTTTTTTTTTAACTTCTTGCTCCCAGAGAGCCTGCTGTCCGATTTTCATTTTGTGTGATTCTGAGCATTATGCTGGCGTCTGATTCAGGTTATCAGTCAAGATCTGCTCAGCCTTGTATTCAGTCTTTTTTTTTTTCACTTCTTTCATTTTCCTTATCTTTCCTACTCTATATTCTCCCCCTTGTTTGATGTTTTGAGCTAGCTATACACGCACGACCATATTCCCCCCAATCTGCCTTTCTTCTTCTTCGTCTTATCTGATTAATCAACTTGATTGTTGTCCAAAACACTGTTTCAATTACTATTTACTGGCCTTTTTCTTGCAGCTGAGGATGTCATGTCGACTAGAAGTGTGCTTTACTAGTCGCGATTGTAATTGTGGTGTGTACATACATGCGTATAATCAATATCGTTCATGTTGTCTGATGCTCGTATGTAACTAAGACTTGAGTAGTTGGATAAAGTAAGCAAAAATAAATATGACGGAACGAACGACTGGCGGCCGCTCTTCCCCGCATGCCATCAGAATAAATTACTTGACCTACCAACCAACGTCCGCTGTCTCTCGCATCACAACGCAGCACAACGCAGCACAGCACAGCAAACCAAACCATGATCATGAAGGACCGCAACGGCTGGGATGGAAAATTGCGCGTCGACGACGAGTCGCAAAGCGAGCGCCGAGCTGTGCTCGCCAACCCCGAAGCTCTGGAGGACCCCGACTACTCCGACGAGGATGCTCTGCCCGTCGAAGAGATTGGCCCCGATGAAGGTATTGATTTAATCCCTTTTTCATGCGGAATATGTCTTGGCTGAATTGCTTGGTTAGACCTCCTGGAGGACGAGGATCCCAATGTTGAAGTATGTCTTCATTCCTGACGTTCTTGGAGCTTGCTTACCGACGATCTCTCCGAAGGATATAGACCTGGTGCATTTTCGAATAAGCTCCATAGCGGCCTTGAAACTGGACAGATTCACCAAACTCGAGGTAATTCATATGCTACTACAAGCGTCTTCTTCTTCTTCTTCTTCTCCTCCCTCTTCTTTTCGTCCAGGACTAATCGGTCCTGTCCAGAGATTATGTCTTCGCCAAAACCAAATCAGCCGTATCGAATTCCCCGCGCAGCTCGGCTCGACCTTGAAAGAGCTAGATTTATACGACAATCTCATCGGACATATCAAGGGTCTCGACCATCTCGTCAATTTGACAAGCCTTGATCTGAGTTTCAACAATATCAAACATATCAAGAACATCTCGCAGTTGAAGCTGTTGACGGACATATATTTCGTGCAAAACAGGATTGCGACGATAGAGGGGCTCGATGACTTGGTGCACTTGAAGAATCTGGAATTGGGCGCCAATCGAATTAGGGTAATATCCTAGCTACATTCTACTTCCTGCCCGGAAAAGAAGAGCAGACGACGAAACTGATGCGATGCTCATGTAGGAGATTCAAAATCTGGATAATCTCAAGAATCTGGAGCAGTTATGGCTGGGGAAGAACAAGATAACGGAGATGAAGGTCTGTCTACCCCCTCTGTAACTTTTGCCGTTTTAAATCTATCTGACAGACATTGCGATAAAAGAATCTCTCCGCCCTCTCCAACCTCAAAATCCTCTCCATCCAATCCAACCGTCTCACCAGCATCACCGGACTCAGCGACCTCCACAGCCTCGAAGAACTCTACATCTCGCACAACGCGCTCACCTCCCTCTCCGGCCTAGAGTCCAACAAAAACCTCCGCGTCCTCGATCTGTCGAATAACCAAATCTCCAAGCTAGAAAATATTGCGCATCTCAGTCAACTAGAGGAACTCTGGGCGTCGAATAATCAGCTATCCAGCTTCGAGGAAGTCGAGCGTGAGCTGAAGGATAAGGAGAATCTGGAAACGGTCTATTTTGAGGGTAATCCGTTGCAGACCAAGAGTCCGGCGTTGTATAGAAATAAGGTTCGCCTTGCTTTGCCGCAGGTTAAACAGATTGATGCCAGTAAGTTTTTTATCCCTTACTACACTTCAATTTTGGTGGAAGGGAGGGATGCTAACCATGTTCTAGCTTACGTGCGTCTTTCATGATACAAATGGGATGAGGCCATAATGAAGTTACGTACTAATATATTGACTTTGCTAAATGGGTGGAAGTAGCATAATACTATGATTGTTTTTTTTTTTTTTTAATTCGTATATGCTCCAAGTCTAGAAACGTTGACAATCACTTCTCCATCAACGCCATCAAACTCCTCCTCGAAATCAAATCCTCCATTTCTCTCTTGTGCCGACTCATTTCTTCTATTTCTCCCTTTTGCAGAGTCATCTCTGTATTCTCTTCACTTTCATCCTGCAGCGCATTATCCGCCACCCCCGTCAGAAGACAGTCCGCAAACTCCCATCTCGGAATTCCCGCCCTAACAACATCGGCTACACGAGGGTCTCGTCTATTCTTATAGTAATAACCCTCTGCCGTGCGATTATGATTATTATTGATCGGCGTCTCATCGTGCTCCGCTATATTTGTGCCCGTCGCGATGTCGCAGTGGATAGTGATCGCTTGGCTTGCATTGAGGGAATGTTGGATCGGAAGCAGGATCGTAAGCGGAGACGCATTTATCGCTTTACTTGCTGCCTCCGGCGTGTCGTACGTAGCCGATATTCTATCGTCCTGGACATGGTAACCATCCACATTAGGCCTTCTTTTCTCTCTCTTTATATTCGGGAATGTATAGAACCCAACCGTAACAGCCACAAACCTGGCAACCTCCCCAAACCGCTGCAGGGCGGATAATAAGTATCTCCGCTCAGAGAGTTTCCGTAATGGCTGACTGGTGCGAATGTCGACTTGTGTTGTCGTTGTCGTTGTTGGTTTGCTGGCGAGGAGTCTGCTCGTTGTGTGGAATAGTCTGTTTCTGATTGGGTTGCTGGTTTTGGTTGTTGTTATGAATGAAATGCGGGTTGAGGAGAACATTGTCCTTCCTATGCGACTAGTTGGTCACATCTTTTTATTTTCTCTTCTGTTGTTGAAGGTTGTGTTGCGTTGTGTTGTGTTGTTGTAGTTGAGAAGTTCAAGGATGCTCAAGTTGGGTCCGGCGGGCGGCTCTGATTGGCTAACACAGACTACGACTGTTCTTCAAGAATAATACACACTGCACAGTACATTACACAGTCTTGTGAGGATTCGGGATAAATATTTTATAGTCATTCATTTCTATAAGAGTACAACCAAGGCACATTTATCCCCATCCTACATCGATCGAACGACTAGACGAAGATAGGAATGTTGAAACCGTACTAGACACGTAGTTAGCCTGGATGTTACAGCACGAAATACTTAGGTAGGGACAAAAACATACGTTCACAGGATCATTGAAGCGAAGTCCAAGGTCCAACTTATTAATGGCATCGATATCCGACTGGTCGAGGTTCCATCCGGTGACGTCCAGATTCTGGCTAAGTCGAGTCGGGTTGTTGCTCTTGGGGATAACAGCAACGTTGCGCTGCGTGGCCCACCGAAGCAGGATCTGCGCTGGCGTCTTGCCATGCTTCGCCGCCGCAGATTTAATCACCTCATGCTCCAGAAGTGGCGGAGTGCTGTGGGCAGAGTCCATGTTCAGCTCAATGAAACTCAGGGGCCCGAAGGACGAGTATGCGGTAACCACAATGCCCTCTTCTTGCACATATTTCACAAGTCCCTTCTGCTGCAGATAAGGATGATGCTCAATCTGGAGTGTGGCAGGGCGAATGCGCGCATGACGCAGCAGGTCTATGATCAACTGGGCGCTGAAGTTGCTAATGCCGATGCTGCGCGCAAGCTTCTTGTCGACCAGCGACTCCATGGCCTGCCATGTCTCCTGGATCGTGGCATTGCTGAACTCGATTTTGCCCTCGGCATTGGTCCAGCCGGGAGGGTAGCGTTCGGCCGGGTCGACATATTTCAGCGCAACGGGGAAGTGGATGAGGAACAGGTCGAAGTATTCCAGGCCCAGGTCGTCTAATTGCTTGCGAGCCGTGGGCTCGACTTTGTCGCCGTCGTGGAATGTGTTCCAGAGCTTGGAGACCACGAATAGGTCCTCGCGCTTGACGAGGCCGTCTTTGATGGCGCGAGCAATGCCCTGGCCGACTTCCTTCTCGTTGCCGTAGTCTGAATGTGGGTGTTTCCCATTGATGTTAGATTCCGAGTCGTGTGCAACCACAATTCATTTAACACTTACCGGCAGCGCCGTCAAACAGACGGTATCCAGCCTGGATAGCTGCATAGACCTGGTCGGCGCAGGTCTCGTTATTGACCTTCCACAACCCGAAGCCGACGAGGGGCATCTCGTAGCCGCTGTTGAGCTTGACTGTAGGCGAAGACATTTTGCTGAATATCCACTGACTAGCTGGTATAGAAACCGGTTACCTAGGTATTGTTAATAGTACAAGGGGTGGATGGCTCCGGATGTGAAGAGAGAGAAGACTTCGGCGGGGATTTATATAGAGAGAGAGGGACGAGCGCGGGGCAGAGCGTCATTCGCTTCCATATTGTGGCGCTTTACTAGAACCAAAGCATCGACATGGGTCCTGTTGCTGCTAGTCCTTGACTTGATGCGCAGAGAGGAGTGTTGGAAGCAGTGCAGTGCCTGGTGGAGGTCCGTGGAATACTATTCATCCGGCTAAATTCGAAGACGGAAAATAGCCGGCCTGACCAAGGAGGCTGCACGGCTAAAGTGCCATGCATCGAATTTTTTTTTTCTCTTTTTTTGGTAATTTTTTTTCTCTCTAAAGATTTCTAATCCAGTACTTAGACGATCCGGATAATTAGACAGGGAAATTGCATGAATACGTCGCATTAGACCCAACATGGCAGAACGTAACCCTAACTTCTAAGAGAACGAGCCTTGGAAAACATTGACGTGGATATAACAGTAACAGCTTCATTAACCCGGGGAAAGCTAGCAGCTTTCAATAAAAATTATAGAAATGAACATATGTGGGAATTAAATGACATCGCGGAATCCATTCGTCAGGCTTTTCGTCTCCAAACGCTAGAAGAGTAGTAGATAGGATATCCTTTTGCAAACTTGAAAGAAAAAAAAGAAGAGGGAAGAGGAAAAGAAGAAAAGTGAAAAAGAAAAGAGAAAGAAAAAAAAAATTGAAAGAGGCAATGGAAGAAAGAAATCATTGAAATTATTCGTTCATTATACCGGTTCCACCGCGTTGGACTCCGGATATCGTGTGTTCCCAGCACTTGTACCGCCGAGATGAGACTCAGTCGGCACACTGCCAACCAACTTATCAAGCAAGTCATCGGCGGGCAGTATGCCTTCCAAACCGCTGCTCTGGTGATCCCGAGATACAGACACTGGATGATGAGCGTGGTGTTGATGATGTTGGTGGTGGTGGTGTTGATGGTGGCTGCTCGGAGGGAAATGTAGGTGGCCGTAGTTATCCGCGTCAAGATCGGGATGAAGAGACGATGCAGCGGTTGTCTGGTGTGGTTCCCATAGAGAAGGGGCGTGGGTTGTATTATGGGAAATGCCATGCATGGATGAAGCTGTAGTTCCGAACATGGAATTCAGGACATTATTGTTGCTGTCATGGATGTGTTGCGGGGGCATGTAATGGCCACCATGGCCACCAAGACCGTATCCAGAAAGCTGTGGATGTGAAGAGAGTGGGATGCCATGGACGTTAAACATGGGGTCGCCTGCAGACGAGACGTTTATGCTGCCGGCCTGTGTGCTATCCGGCGCGAGTCCAGTGAAGGAGTCCAACACTGATGTTACCGACGTCTTGTCTACTATGCCATCTTCCGGTTTATTGATATTGCCCAAGAAATCATATGATCCTTGGGCGCCAAACATGTTGGTGACGCTGTCCTGCGGGTCTGTGTACACCGGCCACTGTTGCTGGAGACTGGCTGCTGCCGGTGGTTGATGATGTGGATGCATCAGTCCGTCATGGGAGTTGCCATGATACACGTTGTCTTGCGGCTTTGTGGATAGCAGCGACTCCAAAGCGAGCGGAGGAGGCAAGTCAATACCCGCGGCCCCCCTGGGACTATTCGTCGTGCTGGGCTCATGAGGTGGGATGAGGCGTCTCCAGGTTGTAGTACCGACTTCGCCAGGTCGAGTCTGGCGGAACTTCCATAAGAGGATGGCCATCCGTTTGCGTTCTTCCCCTTGGGTGCTGGTATTAAAATTATTCGACATACGGCGGTGGCTACTAGGCACAGCCGTCAACTCTTGAATGGCCGAAAGGGAGCGGAAGAATTGTCTAGTATGATCATCCGCGGCCTGGATAGCCTCTGGCTGTCCCGAACTTTCGGCCATTTGTTTCTCCTGTGTCAATTCGGTGAACAGCTTTGCCCACCAGGACGACTCGAAGAATGGCTTTATCTTGGTAGATGATGCCTTTTGGAGATCGTGATAGGTTTCTTGCATCTTTTGACTGCCTTCATATAGATGAGTGCTGCAGGCCCAGTCCTCCATCTGGCTTACGAGGGAGACGTCTCCCATGGTAGGATGTGCAAAATCAAGATCCAGCTGGATACCTAGTCGGGACCGAGGGGGCGGGAAATCAGTCATCAGTTGAAGGTTCACTTCTAACAAAATTATATCGCAATCGAGAGAGCAGTTGACGTCGTCAACGAGTGAGGCGAGGTAGGGAAAAGACGGGCGCCATCCTGAGAGATTCTCCAATGGCATGGGAAGTGCTACCGGTCGATGCTGGTCTCCCTGAAGGCGAGTGTAGACGTGCAACGCCTTATCAATTCGATTGTCCTGTTGAGGCGCACTAACCCACATGTCGAAATTGAAAGCATGAATCAAGTGGGAATGGGTGTCATATATGTTGGAAGCCAGCGTGATCGGAGTCGGCAAGTCTCCGTTGTATGTATTGGAAGTGGCGCCGTAGTCAGGACACGATGAATGGGCTTGACTATTAAAACCTCTGGAAAGTCCGTGATCAATGGATGATGTCCGGTACTCGGGATTCGTCGTTGGAGGGTGAGGATTTGGCGCGTCCGCCTTTTCTCTGACAAGTCTTTCCCCTAGGGACTCTGTGAGCACAAGGAATTGACCAAGTTTGTCTCAACATATAGCATCGTCTCACTTACACTCTGGGTCACCCTTAAGGAAAGAGTCTAGAACTTGAAGGTGACTAGAGACTTGCTTTCTAGTCCGTCGCTTCCCAGTCAGCTTGAAGATATATTCCGCAATCAACTCGTTTCGCCCATAAGATTTGCCACGTTCAGACCACTTTCTCCGACCCATAGGGGGATTTGCTTCCAAGGCTGTTTCTCCTCTTTAGTGATGCAGTAGATAATCAACGTTTGAACCCTCACTCACCCTGCTGGAAGGCATCTTCCAATGCATCAGACCAAACAGGCTCTCCATCCTTGCCGGTGTCGCGACGCGGTCGTGCCCTATACTCCAAATACTTCTGAGACTTTAGGTAGCTGCGCTTCGGGCGCATCGTAGGCATCGAATGGGCCGCGGATTGAAGCCGTCGAAGCTTTTTGGCTTGTAGACGCGCCGCGAGGACATGGCTATCGTGCAGACTAGTGCTAGATGCCGAGTGATGGAAAGGAATAGGGACAGGAGGATATTTCAAAGCCAACGTTTGAAGATGGTCATCGTGATGACTGCCACCATCTCCATTCATGGCACTGGCTCCATCTGCATACGATTGTGCATTGCCTGAGGTGTGTTGGAGAGCTCTATGAGTGCCTCGTCCAACACTATCGAGTGACGATTGTGGTTGCGATGCGAAGGACTCGGCTTGCCAGTCAGCCATGGCGTGGACCAACGACAAACTCTTTCCCAAAGAATGGCACTGGAATTCCAAACAGGATGAGCAAAGGTCACAATGCCAAAGCCTGACACAGTCTTTTTCTCTCTCTCTCTCACACACGCACACCTACAGTCACAAGGAATCGGGATCAAGAACGCAAAATGCTACAAGAGAATGTTGGAAACTGGGAAAGAGAATGTAAATACCGGAGCAGAAAAGATGGTGTTTATAGTAGTAGAGCATTCATTCTCTCTAATCTCCTGTCAAAGGGCTGGCCAAAATGGACCAAAGACCCTGCTACGCCTAAAAAACGGGTGAGTAACAGCATGCTTCCCCTTTACAGTATTCCCGCTCTCTGATCGCGACGGAGGCGGGAACGCGAGTTCAGGGCTGGCCATTCGAGAGAACTCGAGAGGAGAACCTCTCCCAGGTGCTGTGTCCTTACTGCCGTGATAAGGGCTCACATAAAAGGGTATGATGTTCAAGATACTAGGCCAAGCAAGGGGCCGACAGGCAGCACGACCCAGTCAAGGACCAGTCGGAGATTTTCTACCAATGCTCACAAGCATCTGACATTGAAGAAACAGCGTACAGCACCGTGAAGGTGGTGTCAGCTCTCAGTGGCGATGGCGGTCGAGGAATGTCGGTCGTTCACCAACGAGTCCGAGTCTTGCTGCGAAGAATGTTGCTCAAATTAAAGGTTTGACAGACAGGAATGTAGGTCGATCAGGTACAAGAATAGTCCTGGTTTGCGATTCGCGATCAAGGTACGCACGCACACAAGAAGACGCAGGATTTTGCGCTGAAGGGCGACATGTTCTGTGCCTGGGTGTTTTGCAGCGGGAGCACGAGGCCTGCAATGCACACTGCGGCAACCCTAATGAAAAAGGAACGTGTTGAAGGAGCATATGTATGCGACGTGACAAGATCCGCCACGCAAGGGGGTAGGTATACAACAACCACAGGTACATTTCTCTCTTCTTCCTGAATTCAACCCTATGAACAGGCAGGCAGGCAGGCTCTAAGCAGCAGCCTGTTTTAACCCTCGTCCTCGGCTGCCCCTACTACAAACTTCTTCCTCCCTGTTCCGGTAAGACTCTGGAGTTTCTGCCTGTCGACCTGTTGACCAGTCTTCTTCTCAATCTTACGGATCTCCTCTTCAGCATCGATGGCCTCGGCAGAAGCGTATTCTAGAACCAACTTTCGCCCCAAAAGATGGGTGTTTTTCAAGGCATCCATGGCGTTCTCTGCCTCGCGAGAGCTTATGAAGTCAGCAAACGCGAATCCACGAGCTGAACGGTCGAATTTCTTTGGTACGCGCACAGAGCGAAGCTGTCCGTACGCGCCAAACAAGGACCGAACATCGTGTTTTGTCGCTTGAAATGGCAAGTTTTTGATGATAATCTTTGTTCGTCTCGCCGCCAGTTTCTTTGCTGTGTCTTCTTGCCGTCTACTCTCTGCCGCATCTAGGCCCTTATGGGACGTCTTAACCACAAGCTTGTGCTGGTCCAGGGTGTAGCCATCCATAACAGCCAATGCCGCCTGGGCTTGCTCTTTGGTGCGGAATTCGACAAAACCGAACCCCATGCTGAGCGTCTCCCCTGGCCGTTTTGGATCGGTCTTTGTTTTGACTTTGGCTGACAAGAACCCATCCAAAGATTGGAAGACCTCGGAAAGACGTGCCGTGGTCGTAGTAAAATTCAAGTTCCTGACAAACAGTGTTGATGTAGGTAGTTGTGCCTCGTTGTCCTCTGCAGCAAACGTATCTGCAGCAGAAAAGCCTTGGGTCCTAGCCTGCAGTCCTTGCACATCAGAAACAGAGTCTGATGCTGTGGCTGGAGATTCGAATAGGTCTTTCGGTGCACGCTCGAGGAACAAGATAGAATCCCCCAGTTTTCGATACGCCAACCCTTTGAATGCTTTTTGAGCCTCGTCGGGTCTTGCGAACTCCACTATAGCGATAGTGCCACTGGGAGGCATGAGCAGGCGAGTCAGTTGCCCGAAAGGTTCGAAAAGTTTTCTCAACTCGGCTAACTTTACTCCATAGGAGAAATTCTTAACTAGTATTGCTGTTGTGCCGCGCTCGCGTTGTTTGAAAGAATCTATGTTTACGCCATTCGCAGTGAAGTAGGCTTTTGTCTCCTGAATCACATGTGTTTCGGCATGCGCCTGCTTAACGGCTGCATCTGAAGAAGTAGGATCAAGCAGGTCTGCCTTTGACACTCCCAACCTGTCTGCTACTGATGTCATGACTGCATCGGTCTAGGATCATTGGGGTTAGCATTGATTGCGCATAACGGAGCTTCAATTTGTGTATCTTACATTCATATATAGAGAATTCCAATTGAAAGATGCCGAAGAGGCTTCCATTTTGCGCTTGATCTGCTTTTGCTTCTTCAAGGGCAACTTCGACAGTTCATATTCATCAATTTTGTAAGACTTCTTCGCAGAAGCTGGGAGAATGTGAAGCAGACGACCCTGGAAATCTTTTCCATCGAGATCCTTATACGCCGCGATGGCCGACGATGGGTCCACATACTGTATATACGCAAAGCCTTTACTAGACGTTGTGCGAGTGTCGACGGCGACGTGTATCTAACAAATTGTAAGCCATTGTCGCATACTGATTTTTAAAACTCTTCTTTTTTTTTTCTTTCTTCTTGTTGCTCTTCAGATTCTAAGAGGCATCTACTAAAATACTCTTCCTGGTCACATCATGTATGCATTGCATATCAGATGTCCCTATCAGGATAATCATCACGAGAGCAGTGGTTCTAAAGATAATCCAAAGACTTAGTAAAATGAAAAAGCGACTCACCTCATCAATTTTTCCAAATGGAGCAAAGATCTTTTCCAAATCTGCGTCGGTAGCGCCATATGCGAGATTGCGAAGGAATAGTCGACCGGAGATACGAATAAGTTCAATGTCGGCATTGTATTCCTTCTGTTCGGCAGCCTCAACGGCCTCTTCCGCGGCAGGCGATGCTTCAGGCTCATCGCTGTCTTCTTCAACAGGTTGAATTTTACTAGTCGGTGCAGCAGACCGGGTGGGTAGATCTGCCTGTACCTCCTCGTCAAGAAGACCCAAGAGGCGACTTGTCTTTGATCTAAGCCAGTCCGCATCAGATTTCGGTTGTTCTTCTTCTTTTTCATCTTCCGCATTTGGAGTCTCCTCGTTGACTCCATCAGCTTCTTGATGTTGTTGGGCTTGGTCAGCATTTGACTGTATTCTGGTGTCAACAGGAACTGCTGGGGTTTCCCGAGTTTGATGGGAAGCGGTGGTGGCTTCGTTCACTTTAGACTTTTTATTAGGGTGAGATAGTCCCTCTTTGCCATTTTCAAGTGTCTCAGGAGCCGTAGGATTTATTGGTACATTAGCCACAGGCTGAATTAGATCATCGTCGTTTGCCCATGTCCTCGTCTTTGAAGTATGTTGCATCACACTGAGAAACTCCTGGAGCTTCGCGTCATTCTTTGAGTCATCTGTGTCACGCTTGCGCTTAAGATTAGTAGAGGTGGTGTCTTGTTCGGAACGTGTTCTATTTTTTACGGGTTTGCTCTCTCCAGCCTGCTCTGTGGTTAGCTACATACACAATTCAGATGACCTTGCAATGCGTCAGCCCGGACGGACAGAACAAAAAAAGAGATGACACTCACCGGACGAGCCATTTCGACCGAGATCTTGGACATGCGAAGATATGTCCTGTTAAAGTACTTTGCAGCCTGCATGGCAACATCTGCATCCTTAAATCCCACAAAGCCGATGCGGCGATTGGGAATGACATGAGAGTCCGTTACTTGGAAGCGAGCAGCAAAGTGCTTGCCCAGCTCATCATTGGTAAGTGTGGGCGGAAGCCCAGAGACAAATACTCGCGTATTCTCCATGCTGCTCACCCTGCGGAGAAACGCAGTAAGTATGACACAATGTGAGGGAGAATGTGAGGAAGTGAGAAGAAGAAATAAAACATGAATCAAAAAAGAAAAGTCTCAAATAGTATTTTTTTTTTTCTGCCCCCAGAAGGCGGTGAAAAGAGCGGGTATTGGTCGACGCTAGCCCCTGATTGGCTCAGAGCGGCTTGAATGACTCCGTAATTGACTAACAACAGTGACTCGCGGAGAAGAAGGCATCTACAAAAATAACCCCATCCTTCCTGGCCTCGACAACCACAACTACTCTACTTCACAGTCCCCTCTCGAGACTTTTCTTTTCACTCCACAATGGCTACGACAGAACCCCCAACACAAGAGAAGATGGAGGGTAAGTGACAAATCACCAATCCCGCCAATATCATTCATTCATGTGCTAATGTCGGTGCAGCCCAGATTAAATCGGTCGACATGGTACGTTGCGCATTGCTGCTTTCTAACAGATTGAACACTCACCATTGGCGACGCTAGACCGAGGATATGCAAAACGAGGCCGTTAATGTTGGTACGAAGCTTGGATCGCGCTTTTTCAAAAGAAACATGAATGGGAAGCTGACTTGAGCAGCGAGGGAGGCTATGGAAAAATTCCATATCGAAAAGGTATGTTCTCAGCTTGGTTCTATCTCTTTTTCCTCCCCCGACCGTTTGCTTACTTTTTGTTCGTCAACTAGGATATCGCGCAATACATCAAGAAAGAGGTTCGCATTCAGCTTGCTACCTTTCTTCCACTGTGATCTGAGCTGATCTGAGCTGGCTTGATCCATGCGATAGTTTGACTCCCGCAAAGGCGCTACATGGCACTGCATAGTTGGTCGCAACTTTGGCAGCTTTGTGACTCACGGTAAGCCTGAGTCAGATCCAATTGCCGCTCCCAGTTCCGTAACTAATAGATTCATTCAAACTTGACTAGAGACGAAGCACTTCATCTACTTCTATCTAGGCCACTGCGCCATCCTCCTCTTCAAGACCCAATGATAGCCCCTCAACAAATGTTCCGAACTAGTACCTCGCGTTTTACTAGATCACTCCCGCAGGAAGACGGGCGACGACGACGACGACGACGATAATGATGGGGATGTTCATACCCGGCTGAGTCGGCGTTCAGGATATTCATTTGTGGACCCCGTGTCAGCTTATACTTATACGTAGTTGATATGTATGAGCTAGTTTGTTTAGATATGTGATCAAGATACCCGCGCCAGATTGTTGTAGCAGAGACTTGTCGATTGCGTGTCCTTGGCTGCCTGCCGTACAATATATCATGATTTACCGATTCCTTGACTGGAATAATAAGCTCTATATACATCTAAGTAGCTCTTGTATGAATTGCACTGAAGAATATCAAAGGACGTCATGTGCCGCCAAGCTGCTGCGCCACATTAACGCCGCACGTCCAGGATGGCTGTACATAAGCATAAGCAACTTTGTGACAACTCCAACTCCGTCAGATCACATACGAAAACCCTCTAATTCGAAATTATAGAGTGAGGAACACACCTGCCATATCAATCATGGCATTTTGTATCACCTTCGGAATGCATGGTGCGATAATCCTCTTTGTTTTACATCGATTATCGATTGCCAGCTAACCACCTGTCTAGAGTTTACATCTCAGCTTGAGGGATACGAGCAAACCAGGGCACATTGCCAGAATTGTATGTTTATAACCATCTTAATTGCAGGGTATGAATGCTTACTTCTTTCTGTGCAGGCGGAAACTGGGATGGACATTGTCAGACAAGATGGTAAGCTACTAACCTACCCAGCCCTCCATTTATGTGTTGTACTAACCAAGCTAATAGGCCATGGTTTACGGTCTGTTTTATTGTAAGAATGGCCTCTTACATATCACTAACAGCTGCTAATTTTTTCTTGCAAAGCCGGTCATTCCGCTAGCAACCCACAAATACAGGGTACGCCCAATATCATGCCAACCACACATCAGGGTTCTAACAAGCTTATAGGAAGTACGCTGTTACCGATGCGGGTTCACTCAAGATCTAAGGTCTGTCCTACACTCCCCCATCTGCATATTTAGGGCTGACATCAATGTCAATCAGCATACGCCCTGATATAAACCCCGGTACACAACCGCCACCTGGAATGCCGTGGGGACCAGCCTATGCGGCTCAACCACAGGCATATGGATATCAAGCGCCGGCGGGACCCCAAAATCCTCCTCCCATAGCCTCAGGAGGAAACCCTGACGCTGGGCATGTATACAAGTAGGCGGAACTTGATACGTCAACCCTACTTAAACTGCTTGATTTTGAATAGCATGGCTTGAATTGGATGGAGTTGGAAAGGGAGCATTGACTACACCCATTGTTATTATGATGGATGATATTACATTTTGTTTCAAATTAGCATCATTTTATTTTGTTCCTCCGTTTCATGGCATTTGAAGTGCATGTTATTTGCTAGTGGGTGGCTGACAAACTACCTACATAAATGAAATGCATGCCAATTTATGCTCTGCCTGATCCAGTGAGCGCGCAGAGCCTAGAATGGAGCCCCCAAAGCTGCACTGAAATTTGGCATACTCAGCCTGTGAAATATTTTATTCTGAAAAAACGAGGCTGTGATATGCAGGCGAAATTATTAGACAGGCCAGGTGATACGCTAACTAAATATGCTTGTAAGCACCGCCGCCCCTGTGCAAGGCTCTTCCTTCTTTCCTAGATGATCTAGGAATAGAGAAACACTTTTTTTTATCCTATCTGAGCCTATGGAAAGCCTCATTCTACCATGTCCTATTCTTCAATGCCAAAACGGCAACCTGAAACACACGATGAGAATGGCACTCGGAGCCGCAAAAAGCACAAGGCTGAAGACCATCTGAAAAGCTAGTCCACGCTCTCCAACCAAGGATCTTTTGGTCTTCAAGAGACCAACGATGCGATTATGGATATTGATATTCGAGGTGATGGACCAGCTGCAGAGCAGTCACAGAACAACGGTAAGAGACAGCCTCCCAGTCATTTACTCACATCTAACATATTGAAGATCTGCAAATACTATCTGAAGAACGTGACCTGTTACCGCGGGTCTCAGACTACCCTATTGGCCTCTATGATAGAAGCACTGGGACTGAAACTGGCAATATGACAATCGATGAGATCTTATGCTTCGGATTGGTATGTGCAAACATATCAGCCTTTCATTGGCTCTGATGTTGGAGGTAGATGAGTGCAATAGATCGTTAATTAATATAGTTGAAAAATATTCCTATCCTCATCAACCCCAGTCGAAACAAGCAGTCTATCACTTTTGAGGAAACTGGAACAACATAACAACGTTTTCGCATCGCTCGAGCTTGATATTGGAGACCATCGGTGCGCTATCCTGGCAAAAGGAAACCCCATTGCTACGATGAACACGAAAACCCATTTCGCCCTCAAGTCTCTCCGGAACAGAGAAAGTCTGAGCTACGTTGGCTTGATACCTCGTTCCGAACTTCAGCAGAAGCTAGCTGCTGCTACCTGCCGACACCACTTATCAAAACCCACAATACTTGGAAAGGGCGGGGTCGTCCTTTGCCAACGGGCCTATTTTACCCCCTATTTCAACCGAAGCTCTTCAGAAAGATATGGAACAGTTTGCTGAGCTTGAGCATAATGCTATGCCCAATCTCGAGACAGTGATAGATAACCTTCGCAGAAGTTGAGCAGAAAATAAGCACTACTCTCTTAAGGTGACCATTCTTTCTTCCTTTTAGCCTCAAAAACATGCTAATATTTTGGCAACAGCCACCAAAGAGAAGCAGTTGATTTTATCATGAAGAGAGAATCAGCAGAGATTGATTATACGAATTCGAGGAGTTTGTGGCATCAAGAAAGTCTCAGCTCAGAACTAACAGTGTAGATACAACTTAAGACTTATCCATGAGCAACAATAGCTAATCGAAAGTAGATACAGACATATCATCACCGGGTCGAGGAGTCCCACACCGGAAGACATACTGGGAGGCATTCTTGCAGATGACATGGGTCTAGGGAAGACGCTGGCTATTATTTCTAGTATCGTGGCTAGCCTTCCTCAACTGAAGGAGTTTGCTAATGAGCAACCTAACACACCTTTGACGCCTACGAAATCCACACTGATTATTGTACCCTCCGTGTGTTAGTATATTTAGTGCTGATAGATGGCCGGATTGATGAAATTGAGAAGTACTTGTCGCTGTAGCCTCATAACTTTCTCTGCTAACTCTTGAAAGACACGTTGTGCCCGGAACCCTGACATACTATAAGAAAACAGAACTCTCTCAAGACTGACGCCCCTTCCGGATGTGGTCTTTTCCACCTATGGCACGGTCGCAGCGGATGTGAGTCAAGGGGGTGGCATTCTAGATTGTTTCCACTGGTATCGCATAATCCTTGATGAAGGTAAAACTATGCAACGCTTTCCTGATTATCTTTTCCTAAAACTAATCTTCCTATAGCCCATTTCATACGAAACTCCTCCACAAAGCCATTCAAAGCTGTGGCAAGTCTACAGGCGTCAATCCCATGGTGTGTGACAGGAACACCAGTCCGGAATTCCCTCGACGATCTTGCTTCGTTGATAAAACTCCTTGGAGTTCCTCTCCTGGAGGACACAAAAACCTTTCGACGATATATTGCTAAGGTGGAAGGCAACGCCACTGTCCTTTTTGCGCAGTACTTCGGCAGCTCGGTGATGCAGTCAATCGGCGGTTCCATCTTTCAAAACAAGCTTCTCGATGGCCTCGAGAGCCGAGCACAATTGAATTCTACCGGCGTGAAGACACTTCTTGACGCAGGAAACATCAACATAAGGCAGACGGTGCTCCAGGCTTTTCCTAGTCACCTCGAGGCAATACTCACGGCATATACTGAGGCAATCACTATCGTCTTTGTAAGATTTCCACTTCCGCATTATATAGTTTCCTGTGTGATATTGCTCTACGGCGTTGCTGACCTCTCGTGCCTCTCCTTTGCAACCGCCAGTACCCTGGCTCTTGTCTTGTGCAGTGGGATGGAATGGACTGATACTAATACGCCTCTCCAGAAGGACAAAGCTGGTGACTCGGCAACTTGACCACTGAAATCGCGGCCACCTTACTAACATTTTGCGATTCATGTACCTAGATAACTTTTCAAGTGCATCTTCTAGTTACTTGGGACGTGTGATGATTACATAATCGACATGTCATTGGTCTGTCAGGCAGCTGCTTGAGCTTTTTCTGTTAAGAACATACATCTCCTTTCCGATTTTTCTTTCGACAGTCTCGATAGTGAAGAGAGTCCAACTTCAGTGAAAATGGCTGGACAAACCTTTTTTCCTTTAGCGAGACCTGGATCGGCAAGGTCGTCGATTTTGAGGAAGTCGATGATGATAACAACAAATTACTCTCCAAGAAATGGCAGATCGAGGAGATGCTACACGAGAGGCACGATCAGGGCGACAAAGTAGAATTCAGTATTAAAAGACAGACAATTGCCTATTATGTTTATCCATTATATACTAACCCCAAGATATCAGAATCCCATACACAGGTTCAGACTTCTCGTCGCCTAGTATTAGGGCTAGTCAAGCATCCCCTGATATGAAAATAAAAGAAGAAATCGCTTTATCTACTTTGACACAAAAGGGATGCACGCCATCACCATCACTTTTAATAGCAAAAGAACAATACAGGAAAATAGGACCATTACCACCGGACATGATACAAGATCAAAGCATAAATAAGTCGGCATGGGAATTTTGAAGCATACCTAGGTACTGTGAGAAGCGGCTGCTGGTGGTGGCGCATTCTATTTACCAAGAATTAGAAGGATATATTCGTGTGACATTGTACATAACAGGTAGGTGAAAAGTAATAATAATAAGAATGAAAAACAGACTCGAGTGGACATGCTATCAGTCCGGTTCGATTTAATTCTTTTTTTTTTTTTTTTTTTTTTTTTTTTTCCCCATCTAGGCTCCTTGTTAGCCCTAACTTCCAGTTTTAATTGGGCGGATTATGACACCTGCTTCTTATCTATATAAGTGGACAAGCCTCGGGATAAGCTAGTCTAAAGATGCATAAATATAGTCTCAGATAGCCCCTTGAACATAGTTATATAACTTAGTGTTTCTAATACTAGTCAATACACTGTCGTTATAGAAATTCCCTGCAGCCTAGCAGGCGTATCTAACTCTCCCCTCTCCTTCTCCCTGTTGGCAGTTGGCAGGCAGACAGGCTAGCACGGCACAGATGGAAAACAACATCACAGAGTGCGGCGACAATAATTTTGGGCCCCAGGTCACTCATTGCCGGGGTGGTTTCGATTTTACATTACTCTTTGAGGAATGTTTCTTTTCCATAGTGCCAGCGGGGCTTTTGTTACTGGCCCTGCCCTTTCGTTACAAACACCTTTTGAAAAAGAGAAGCAAGCAGGTTGTCCAGAGTCCGATTTATTGGCTTAAAATTGTGTGTACTCGCCTTGACCGCAATTGGGCTGTCTGTCTGTTCTAATCATTTATCCAGCTATTCGCCCTGGTCTTCGGGGCATGCCAGCTCTCACTTCTCGTCATCTGGGCATTGCCATATACTCCGCGAACACAAACCTCACTGGCTGCAGCAGTATTGGCCTTTGTTGTGTCAATTGGCTTACCATTACTGTCGCACTTGGAGCATTTATATTCGATTCAGCCTTCTTCTCTGCTGAACCTTTCCCTATCGCTGTCATTGCTGTTTGACATTGTACGAGTGCGGACACTATGGCTTGCACATTATCCCGCAATATCCGCCATCTACACGGCCAGCATCGGGTTAAAGCTCATCTGGTTTTATCTCGAATCGAGGAACAAGGAGGCATTCTTCATTAATCGGACAACACAGCATGGATCTGAAGAAATTCATGGTCTGTATAGTCGCTCGCTTTTCTGGTGGATCAATCAACTATTCTTTTCTGGCTTCAAGAGTGACCTGACGGTGGAAAGCCTACCGCATTTGGACCAGGCACTGTCATCCCATGAAGTACATCGTGCCGTCACAGAAAAATGGAATGCAGGTAGGATGGTGGCTGGTTGTGGAATAAACAGACCTTGGCTGATTCTCGTATCTAGTCTCGAAATCGAATCGGAATGCCTTGGCATGGTGTACTTTGTGTGCTTTTAAATCTTCAGTGACATATTCCTTTTTGTCGCGACTGGCCTTGATCGGGTTGAACTACTCGCAACCGTTTTTGATTTCACGCTTGATTGCTTATGTTGGCGAAAAGAACCCAGATAGGAATGATGGATATGGGCTGATTGGGGCATATGCTCTGGTCTATATACTCAAGGCGGTATGTCGTTTTCCTTCGACGAGGTCAATCGCCCCCCTAAATGAATACCACTCTTATATATTTTTTTTCTTTACTATAGGTTTTCAATGGCTCTTACGAGCACCATAATTTTCGCTTCATTACCCAGATACGTGGCGCAATGGTGTCTATGATATATGACAAGACACTAGATGTGCAGCAAGATGAACAAAACGGCTTGTCAGCAGTGACACTAATGAGCAACGAAGTGGAAAACATTTCATTGGGGATCCAAAATGCTCACGAGGTCTGGGCAAGTCCGATTGAGTTGGCCATCGCCATATTTCTCCTAGAACGTGAAGTTCTCTGGGCTGCAGCTGTCCCTGCTGCCATTTCATTAGCAGCCTTCTACTTTACCGGTTTAATATCAAAGACGTTCCCCAAACGTCAAAAGGCCTGGATGCAAGCAGTCCGTGAAAGAGTGGCATTTACATCGAATTATTTGGAAACGAGCAAGATAGTTAAGATGCTCGGCCTTTCCGAGCAGGTATCATCGATTGTGCAACGATTTCGCGTCCAGGAACTGAACCTGCAGAAGAAATATCGCCATTCAATGGTGATGATGAATCTTGTAGGTCTGTTAACCAAAATGTGCACCTTTATACAAATAAGAATAATACTAACAAAGACTCGCAGCTGGTATAACATCTAACTTTAGTCCTCCCATTACCTTTAGTCTTTATACTGGAATTGCACTTCACATAGGCCGAAAGCCCCTGACTGAGTCGCAGATGTTCATGGCGCTTTCCATCATCTCGTTGGCTAGCAATCCATTATCAAATTTGGTATACTCTGCCCCGAGACTTGGCGGAACTATTGAATGCTTTCAGCGGATACAAGAATACCTCTTAGCAAACCCAAGACATGACTATCGAAGCTTTGATTCCCTCCACAACTCTGGCAAAGTTCGAGAAACGAAATTCGTTGACGAGGGGTCCGGGTCTGGATCTGGGTCATTAGAACTGCAAGAAATAAATAGTGACAATGGGATGTCAAAGATTCAATCATCCGGAACCAAGACAGATGCCGTGTTAAACCAGGCCCATTTTGGCTGGAATCATACCTCATCAATGCTAGCAGATATAAACCTCCAACTGCCTTCTGCGTCACTCACAATGGTTGTCGGTGCGGTTGGTTCAGGGAAAAGCCTTCTTTTAAAGGCTATTTTAGGCGAGGTTCATTGCACAAAGGGTTCAGTGCAGATACAACCGTCGAAAATCGCTTTCTGCGACGCAAAGCCATGGGTTCGTCATGGGTCTCTCCGTGCTAATATATGTGGGCCACATGCATACGATGAGGAATGGTATAAAAAAGTGGTCTATGCATGTGCTTTAGAGGACGACATCAAGAGGCTACCTGAAGGCGACCTCACGCTTATCGGGAGCAATGGGGCTGCAATTAGTGGTGGCCAGCGCCAAAGGATTGCTATTGCTCGTGCAATCTATGCCCGTACAAGATTAGCCCTCTTTGATGATGTTTTGAGTTCCTTGGATGGTCCGATATCTGAACATGTCTTCACACACGTCTTCGGAGAGCAAGGAATTTTGCGCCAGCACCGCGTAACTACAATTTTCGCAACACATGCAGTTCAGTATCTTGGGTTTGCAGATCAAGTTATTGTACTTCAAGATGGGAAGATAGTGCAATATGGATCCCCACAAGAAGTTCGAGCGAGTGGTGAATCTCTCTTGACTAATAGACTTCCTTCTCACGATATTTCACCTGCAGATTCTGGCTTAACAACTAATGATCAGCAACCCGCATTACCTGTCCCTGTGCCTTCTGATCCTGGAAAGTCTATGGACCGAAAGCTAGGTGATCTAACGGATTATAAGTACTATGTGCAGGCCGCCGGATGGAGATATATGCTCCTCTACTTTGGCTGTCTTCTCATTGGAGCCTTTTGCTCTCAGTTTCCCAGTAAGCTCATACTATCTGGGCCTAAATCTTTTTACGCCAGCTAACAACAACAACAAAAAAAAATAGGCCTGTGGGTTCAATGGTGGGCGGAAGAAAACGCCCGTTCTCCATTCGGACGGCTGGCGTTGTATATTTCCATCTACGCAATGTTGGCCGCCTTGGGTTCATTTCTATGGGCTTCATGCATGTGGCTGGTCTTTTGTCGCATTGTTCCTAGATCTTCCAACCGACTTCATGATTACCTGGTTACTAAAGTCAAGGATGCGCCTCTGCATTTTCTGGCATCTACCGACAACGGCATTACCCTCAATCGATTTAGTCAAGACATGACTCTGATAGACACGTCGCTACCTGCGGATTTCCTGAAGACGTCAAAAACTTTGTTCCAGTGTATAATGGGTGCTATTTTTATTTCAGTGGGAGCCAAGTATATTGCTTGTCTCATCCCTGTTTCTGCATTCGTTCTCTATTGGATTCAAAAATTCTACCTACGAACCTCGCGACAGCTGCGCCAGCTAGATCTGGAGACCAAATCCCCGCTTTATACACAGTTTACAGAAACCATTGATGGTATTATCACTATCCGGGCTTTTGGCTGGCAAAGAAAGTTTCGAGAGGAACACCAGCAGCTACTGCAAACCTCACAACGGCCATATTTTACCCTCTTCGTTATTCAGAGATGGCTGATTCTAGTTCTGAATCTGTTTGTGGCCGGTATTGCTATTCTTATCTCTGTGTTAGCTGTGTTCGTTCCTAATATTGGTCCCATTGGTGTCTCCCTCATTTCATTGGTGACATTTAGTGAACAACTCACCGAGTTGATCCATTTCTGGACCTCGATGGAGACTAGCATTGGCGCTATTACACGCATTCGAAGCTTCAATAGCGTTCCTTCAGAGAATTTGCCTGGGGAAGATCATATTCCTCCTCCTAGTTGGCCGTCTGAAGGACGTCTGGTGTTTCATGATGTCTCTGCCGGGTATCAACCAACATCACAGCCAGTCCTTCAACATGTTTCACTGACGGTAAATCCCGGTAAAAAACTAGGGGTATGTGGACGCACGGGGAGTGGGAAAAGCTCTTTACTCTTGGCCATCCTCCGCATGATTGATATCCAAAGTGGAGATATCACGATTGATGGATTGAGTTTGCAATCATGCCCTCGGGACATCGTCCGCAGCAGAGTCACAGTAATTCCTCAAGATCCGGTTTTGTTCCGAAGATCAGTGCGTGAGAATGTGGCTGGATTTACTGCTGCAGATGACTCGACGATCTTTGATGCTCTGGAAAAAGTTCAGCTGCGCGAGCATGTCGAAAGCTGCGGTAGTCTGGATACAGTGATCGATGATATCGCCTTGTCGACAGGCCAGAAGCAATTAATCTGCCTCGCGCGCGCGATTGTCATGAAGCGCAAAATTCTGCTTCTCGACGAGGCAACCAGCAATGTAGATGAGCAGACAGATCAGCTGATGCAGAGCGTGATACGGAGAGAATTCTCTGATTGCACAATCATTGCCATTGCGCATCGCGTCCACACCTTGCGCGATTTCGACATGATTGCTGTTGTGGACAAGGGCAGGGTGGTTGAGTATGACTCGCCAGGTAAGCTTCTGAGCCGTCAGTCGCTCTTCCGGCAGCTTCATAGCGCTGCTTGATTCGGATAGCGATATGTTTTGCGTTGATATTTCAATGAATTTTCTTTTCTACCTGACCTCTTCGCCTCATAAATGACAGTAGATGATGACACTAGAAGTTGAAAGCGATTATTTAGGCAATGCCAAATGGGGAAGGACCCGGCGATATGTACTAGCACCAAAACGTCGTAGCCTGAGGCAGAAGCCTGACTTCACTTCAAACATTCACTCGAGTCAACAAAAGCATATAAACCCCCAGACAAAACAAAAGAAAGAAAGAATCAAAAGCAAACATGAATAAACCCTGCCGAGACTTCATCGCCTACTCCTCTCCATCCCCATCACCATATCACATCTTCTTCCTCCCCGGTAACCCGGGGATAGTAGAATACTATGCCGGATTCCTGGCACAACTATACGCAACACTCAATTCTTCTTCTTCTTCTTCTTCTTCTTCTTCTTCTTCCTCTTCCTCCCACCAATCCCAATCCCCAGACTCTGCAGTGCCATTTTTCAATGTCGCAGGCTGCTCACACGCCGGCTTTGAAATTGGACATGACGACAATCCAAAGACAGACAAGGATGATGCTACCTTGTACAGCATCACGGCACAGATAGATTTCAGTCTCACGCGATTACGGACATACATCCAAGCCAGCAACCAAAACCAAAAAGAAAAGGAGAAAGCAAAAGTTATTCTAATAGGTCATTCCTATGGCACATTCGTCATTGCCGAGATATTGAAACGGCTATCCAGCAACACAAAGCACGACGCCAGCACCGAAAATGATACCTTCCAAATCATAGGGAGTATACTCCTTTTCCCGCCGATTCCGGATCTGGCACAAAGTCCCCGGGGGAAGAAACTTGCTGTATTTTCCTCCTCTCTTTCTATCTGACTAGGCGCACTGTATCAGCTAATTTCTTTTTTTCTTTCTGTTTTTCACTAGCTGATAGCAAGATGGAAATACCTCCCCAGTGTAGCCTCTAGCATGGCGAAACTAATCTCCAAGTTCCCACTCATCTGGTCAAATGCGCTTATCCGCTATTCCACTGGCTTGCCATCTGACGCACTAGACATAGTCCAGCAGTTTTTCGGAAGTAGGACTGGCGTTGCTCAGACATTGTACTCCGTCGCCTTTTCCCCTCTCTATCTATATTTACATACCCTAACGGTTAATAATATAGGTATTTAGCAAACCTCGAACTAGACGAACTCAAACCCTCCCGCTGGGAATCGGCCTTTCGAGCCATTGCATCGCCCAATTCTTCTTCTTCTTCTTCTTCTTCTTCTTCTCCAACATACATACGCCTCTTCTTCGGCAAAAACGATGGCTGGGTGCGTGACGAGCTGCGCGATGCATTCATGTACCAGTACTGCGACGAGTCTGGTCCGAGGGCCTTTGATGCGAAGCGCGAGTATTTGGATATTCGCGCGCGGATTGATCCGAGTGTGGATGGAGATGAGGGGAGTGTGGTGATTCCGCATGATTTTGCCATTCGTTAGTTCTCTCTCCCTCCTTTTCTACTTATTTAAATGTTGCAAGTGGCTGTGATTGTGTGTGTATGTGTATGTGTATGTGCTGAGTTGTAATAGGGCATAGTGAGCATGTGGTGCCGTATGTGGTTGAGTATGTGGAGGAGATGGTCAAGGCTGGTTAATCGGATCCATACATGGACAATTAGCATTATCGTATTGAAACTACCTAGGTAACTAGAACATAATCAAATCTTAACAGACAACTTCTCATCCGGCGACGATGGCATGGCGTCGCCTTCCTGGCTGGTATTTGCAGTCACAGCCATACCAGCTGTAACCGGTTTCTTTCTGCCCGTGGCATCCAAAAACATTGCCCGCACCGTATGCGCAATGCTCGCGCGACCCTCATACAAGGGGAAAATAATGACGCCGAAGCCCGTGAAAAACAGCCAGATAATCCCAACAACAACCCAGCCCGTGAAGAATTTCTTGCTAAACACATACCCGGAGCCATACATGGGCATAGGCCAGAGGATGAGTAGACACAGAGTCATGGCGACGGTGAGTGTGCGAGCCCAAAACGCCGCCCGATTTAGTTTTCTGGTTTCTTCTTCTTCTTCCGGTGACGGAGCTGTTGTTGCCGCTGCTGCAGTTTCGTTGCTACCGGGGATCAATTCCAGATCTACGTGTGCGGCTGCGGCGACTTCGGAGTCGTCGACTCTGCGGATGTTGCGCATTGATTCGTAGTCGTAGTTTTGTTGTCCGAAGACCAGAGTCAAAAGTGGGATGAAGACGAGAGGACTGAGAAGAGCGGCGACGTTGCCTGCAAGCATGGGGTAGCTGTGACAAACAATTAAAAAAAAAAAAAAATTAGCAAATTATAAATATTTGCAGTATGATAGCCCAAAATATACATACTTATCACCAGTAGTCGCAACGGTTAATTCTCCATACATCGACTTTGCCGTCACCAACCAGGCAATCAAGGCAACGCCGAGACCCAAAGGCGGCGACAAGGCGGCCGCAATCCAGTTCTGACCTTTCCACAGCAAACTCAACGAGCCAGGAAGGACAGCAGCCGATATAATCACGCCCATCATTAGATACAAGTACCCCATGGTGATACCCGCGTAAACGAGACCAGTGGAGAAACCCGCCATTATCAACGCGTAGACAACGCAGGCCGAGTGAGAAATCCACACGAGTCTCTTGCCCTTTGCTGCCGGGTTGATGTATGCCTGGTAGATATCATAAGTGAAAACAGAGGACACAGCGATCAGCTGTGCGGAAAATGCAGATGTGACTGCCATGAAGATCATCAGACAAGTGGCAACTGCGCCTCCGTAGCCCATCAACTGCGATGCTGCGTACGGCAGAACGAGCCCAGCCGTGACGTCGCTCGAGCTGAGGATTGAATCTCCCTGCAGAGAAAGCGCCGTTAACCCCATTGTGGTCGCACAGAGCCAGGGGATGGCGAACCAGCACAGTCCTCCAATGACGTATCCGGGGAATGCGTGCACGGGACCGGCGGCAATGGCTTTGTTGTAATATCCGTTGTCCAGGAAGACTGTGCCAAAGTTACCGATGAGGTTGATGACGAAAAAAATGCCGCCTTCGTGAGAACGCATGGTCAGATAGCTTCCACCGGCATTTCCGGCCACGGGACTGGCTTTGGCGACTGCGGTCAGGATATCATACACCTTGCTGGGAGAGCCCAGAACAGGGCTAACTGCGTATGCATTGAAAGCAAAGACAAAGATGATGACAACAATGACAATCGTATGCAGGTAATCGGTAATAAACGTAGCCTTGATTCCACCAAAGACGGTGTACAAGACCACGCCGATTGGCAGCAAGAAACAGGCCGCAGGTGACGACATGCCAGTGAGGGAGTTGAGAACCGCAGAACCTCCGGTCAGCAACATGGCCGTCACAAGGATGTTTGTCATGAGACAGAACACTATAAAGACGCAGTGGACAAGGGTGCCGTAACGAGCTCTAATGACCTCGAGAAAGGTATGGGCGTTGGGAGCCCGGCGCTTCAACTCAATGGCCAGAGTCGCGAAGAGCAGAATCTGGACCGTGGCACCAGATGCATAGAAAAACGGGCCTGAGACGCCATACTCGTAGGCGACAGTGGAAGACTGGAGCAGCGTTGCGGCCCATGTCCAACTGCTGACGACAGCCGATGCCACCAGGCCGGACTTGACAGTGCGGCCGGCAGTGGAGAACATTTCTGATGTTTGCACCTCATGTTGGTATCTGAAATGTCTGTTAGCACTGTCTGGCTGCGGATAGTAAGGGTGGTGGGGGGGG